ATCCCTTTGGCAGCGGGGCCAACAGAGTTACTCATAAATCAACTCATTGAAGCACCAGAAATAAACCCTAGTAGTTTCATTATCTCTCTAACAATCTTCTCTTTCCGGAAGACACCTTATTTATAAATGATGTTATCATTAAGTTATGGACTAAGAAAAGCACTACAGAAGTAAACCTGAACATTCTGGATCATGAAAACATTGTCGTAGATCAAATTACTTTTGCCCTACGTGACTCATCGTCTCAGGGAATAATCTGTATCGTTTGGTAAGTTATTTTAATTCCTGTCACCGAAACTTTAAGCTAACAGATCACGACTTTCTTGGCTTTAGCTCTTTGTGCGTTGAGCAGGTCGAGGAATTTGAGTGAAATTTCCCGTAACTTCCCTGGAATCCGTAGCATTGTTAAGCCTTGGCACCACGCGTGTCTGTGGAAATAAAGAAGAACAAACAAAACAGAGGCAAAAAAAGGGAAAATTGGGAAAATTATACATTAGCTACCCTTACATAGCTCTTACTCCAAGAGTACCTTCTCTCATTTCACAGAGAAGAAGTAACTATTTCGACTATTTTGTCTATCAAGAGACCCTTGAACAAAAATCAAATGGAACCAAGTTTGCGTTATGAGATATGGGGGATATTTCAGCCTCTTGTTGAGGAATTGATGAAAACGTGACCTTTGTTATCTATGTACGTCATTATTAAAGTGCCTTACTTCATCTTGTGTAGTTTGTTATTTACTCAAAGCCCTGATTATGGTTGGAATTTTTGAAATTTTGAATCTTTTGGGTATTTGACAACACTCGTGCACAATTTAAGGACTACGGAGTTATTTTGGAACCCCGGGTATCGGTTTTTCCCCTTTTATTTTTCATTTTGCTTTAAGAGATCTTAGGTAGGCAAGTGAAACTTAAGAGCATTGTAGAAATGTGTGATGAAATATCAAATCCTAAGCCATGCATATTTTATATTACGTCATCAGTTACATCCATAATCCACAAGAATGGGTGTCAAATATGCAAAGAGAAAGTAAGTGACGCAGTCGGAGGCTACAAAGTTTGATATATCATGATTGAATCGTTTAGAGGCCCTCCTATGGAACATAACTTATTACTCTCCTTGGATATCCATATTTTCTTATCTCTGTTGACAGGCCTGGCTTAGGTATACTGGGAGTGATTCCAACCACACCTTTCCTTCGAGATAGTCTTCCTCTCCAGAAAATTCTTTCACGTTCCCTGCCGCATTACAGAGTTCTTTGCAAAGTAAAGCTATCTCTCTCATTTGAATCATGTAGTTTTTCAACTTTACTTGTAATTTCGCCAAAGGAAATGCATTTCTACGTCTACCACTGAGACCCAGTTATGGCCAAGGTGGCGCCGGTTTTATCATCACCGTCTTAGGAAAGGACGTTGTGACACTAAATATTTGTAAAGTGCTGCCGAAAGGTGCTCTTGCTCCAGTTTTCCTGTGCTTAAATTTTTTATGTGCTTCAATTTGAAGCTCTGAGCAAGCTCTGAAGAAATTGCATGCTATTTTATACTCTTTTCCCTCGATCAGAATCGATCATGGAAATATCTAGGAAAAGTGATCAATTATTTCTCATGTCCGATTCCTGTGTTACATTGGAGAACGTTGAAATTTTGGAAAAACCAGGCTGTTTTATGCAGGTACCTAATTTCTTGTCAAAAACCCTTTTTGTTTTCAATTGCATTTTTTTTACATTGTAAGGGGAGAGACTTTTTTATCTTCCTTTCACGTTTCACTTGCGTTTATATGAGAAAACTCTCAAAGAGGCGAATTTCATACAAAACAAACATCACGTTTAAGTTGACTGCCCATGAGTCACACAGGTATATCTTTTCATTCCATTTCTTCAATATCATAGTTTTCTATAAAAAAATTCGCTTTTTGTTTAAAGAATGCTTGGCAGATACAATTTGCGCCGCGACTAGCTTCTGATACATCGACGAAACAAGTATGATATAAATTCAATTATTCGAGACATCAGCGACTTCTATTCAAGTTAATTTATACTATTTCATTTCCTTGGATGAATTATCAAATTTGCCAACGGTTCTTATGACCATCCCTATTCAGCCCATACAAACAAACAAAAAAGCTGTTTTTGCACTTGTCTTAAACATGTGTGAACAGTTCATACCATAAAGAAACAATATACTTCTTGAAAACTACCCAATTAACAAGAGACAAGGAATCTTGTTTTAAACGACAGTTCCAAAAGTGCTCCCGATGTAAATTCAGCTGATCACATGAAAATTACATCGAGAGGGTATCAATGGGGTGATGAATTTTTCGGTTAACGGTTTAATTTCTTCCATCACAGTTAAATGAAAAATGTCTGCGCTTAACCTTTTTTTATGACCTACCGTTGAAATTTTTCCATTGTTTGCGGCTAACGGTTAATTTGTTTGGCTGTTTTACGGCTAACAGTTAACCCCATTGAGACCCTTCATCAACAGCTCCCCTGACATTCTGCTAAAAAATACCTTTTCGTTTAATTCAGTCTCATCTCCCCCTCAACCGGTGTCCTGATTAATGTTTAATCATGCCTATCTTATTTTATGTTGAACTTGCGGAGCCCTTTTCCCTTAATATTGCACTTAGATTTAGGACGTTATTTTTCACTTCACTCTTTAGCAGATTCTATCAGGTCAAAACAAGCGTCTTTTGGATTGTTTCCAAAAAGCCCACGATGCTCCCAAGCAAGGCTCGCATTATTAAAAATAAACTAGAGACAGCTGGAGTGGATATCAAGAGAGATGAGCTACCACTGGCAAGTGTGCATCACGCGAAGTTTTGATTCATCTACACTGATCCGCTAATGAGAGGTCTACGATTGAAAACAAACATAATTAAAAGAAAAAAAACTGCAAGCTATGGCAATGAATTGGCTCGTATAAACAATAAAGAAGGATATGTCAATACCCATTTGTCTCAACCGCTAAGATTACATTTGACAAAGCCTCCTTCCGATTAGTTTCCTTTCAAACATTTTTCCTACTTAATATCCGTATATGACGATTTTGGAAGTGCTGATTCCCGCAAATTTCAGTTCACTTGCCAAATGAGAGCACAGCGCCTTTTATGGCTAAAAGCTTGCCAGAGACATCTCTGAAACTCTCGATTTTGTGTTTGGAGGCTAACAACTGCTCCAGTGGAGAGGACTAGCTAGGGCGCCACGCCATCTGCGTGGTTGATGTATGACAAGCGTTCATGTTCTCCAGCCAGAATTGGTTTAGTCGAAACCATCCTTTGTGAAGATCGTTTTAGAAAGACGGGAAATCTATGTTTGTTCGCTGATGAAGGAAACTGTTTAGATTTTAATTTTACATGGGCGTGGGGATGAGATCACACGGTTCCGGTTCTGCCCAAAGGGAAGTTCTTAGCGACTCACCCACAGAGACCTTGTCCTTGAGCCGTGCCATAAACTCTTTTAAATCCCTATGAAACAAGCGGGCTGCTATATTTTTGCTGTTCAGTATTTTAAGAGGATTGGAAATTCCACTTATGTGTGAGGGATTTTCACTGATTGGAAAGCTAAGTGGAAAACAAGAAGAATGAAATACCTTTTTGAGTATTGTCGTAAGATGCAAGCTCGAGTTCGTTCTTCAAGCTGGCCAGTGTCTGAAAAGTTATCAGTCTATTTATTAATAAGCGCGATCAGGAGAATATAAATTGTTGATATTCTCTTAGCGCGAGCAATTATTTTTGACACGAGTTAAATCCGTAGCTTTTGTATGGCCTTGTGTCTGATAAGATAATCTCTCAGCCCGTCCGTGCAAAGACTTGTTTGGAAGAGAACGCCTAACTCGATTATCTGTGGAAACGGTAGATCTCTTGGCCGTTGTTGAAAGGCACAATTCGCTCTTGAGAAAAGAAAATCCATTTAATCTTTTATTGTAATCAAGTATGACTAAAAAAGTAATATTTTAACCGCAATAGCAATTAGGGAGTTTGATAAGATCACAGCATTCGACAAGAAATTGGCACTGAAGTGACGGATGCATAAATATAAGATAGAGTTTAACTTTTAATCCAATTATTCCGATAAAAATATCTATACTGATAGACTATTTCTTTACGTGGTACTCTTTCTGTAGCCGTTGAATAAGACCCGCAGAACTTCTGGTGAAGTCTAAAATCAAGTTTTATAGGAAAATATAAGAATTTCATACAATTAGCTAAAAGCCATCCACCTTTCAAGAAGCTCCCAACTTAAGCTCCGACAGTCCTCTTACATATAACTGGGAAACACAGGTTTCGGGTTTTATAGATTGTTGCTCCACATACAGGTTAAACCAATCATGAAGGATATGCCTTTAATCGGTGTAGGGTACCTGTACGACTGCCAAAGGTATTGCATGGTGATACCATTTATCCAGGAGGTAGTCATTACTTATAGTTGTGACGATTCCTCTCAATAAAACGCTAATTATCACTAATCGCTTCATATCCCTATTAACCCGTAATTGAAATCCAGTAATCGTGGGAAATTTGCTAACTTTGGTAAATTTCTTCTGCTTGCAAGCTGAGTCTTAATTCAAACTGTTGAGGAATGCCTTAGAGTTGCGCTTCATTTGCCAATCTTTCAGAGTGGAAAGAGGGTCCGTGTTGGAGTTACCGGATATTATCAGAGTTAGGTGGGCAATAGGGCACGCCAAGAAAAATCGCACGAAAGAATTTTCAAGAGTTACACTTTAAGTCAAGTTTTAGCTTGCAACATTGGCCAATGTTACATTCTTCGAAAAAAAAAAAACGGGAAATAACACTCCAAGTGAACCCTATGTAGTTTACCCCCCTCTGCATTGAAACAAATCCCACAGTCGCACTGAATAATATGTTTCATCTGAGATCATCCGGTGCAGCAATGGCAATCGTTCCCGTCTTTGTCACGAAGGTCACGTCCAGAGAAGTTTCTCACTTCCGCACAGAGGATATAAAGAAAAAGAATCAATACAAATCTCAGTTGCCCTCAACACACAGGAGCTTCAGTATTGTAGACCATTGTGTGTAAAAGATGGACTCAAAACTTACGGTGGGTATGATGGGCAAATTTAATATGTTTTTTTATAGCTTTACCGGACTTTGCTTAAAAAAAATTATTGTGGCACGCACATTCTAAAATCATAGTTTTTAACGAACCTCATTATAAGTCCCACAGGTCTTCCTGATTGCTGGTTGGATAGCGCACCCCTGTAAGCTGTAGATCAATGTTATAAATCCATTTCGATAAAAACTTTTTGCTTAGTCCAGTTAAATATAAAGTGTTTTGATTGCAGATTTTAGCCGTCTTTTTGGTGCTTTTGGCGAACGTCGAATCAAGATCAACTGTTCGAAGCCTAAGCTCAGTTTACCGTGGACAGAATTGCAGAGGAGGAAACCTCATTAAGATTCATACAGAAAAATGTTCAACGTTTTCAGGAAAACGGCACTGTGTAGCAAAATGTGATGGTTCTCGTACTTCAGACCCTACGACAAGTAAGTTAGGTGTCTGAAATCTTGGTAACATGGAGCGCAAACGGAACTTCAAAATCATAGTATTGAAGCGGCAATTGACAAAATTTGACCTATGTGACTGACGCCAGTAAAAAAAAAATCTTACAAAGAAGTAAATTAAGGGCAAGATGAATAAGTTCGTTGATTTTTCTAGTTCTTCAAGAACCGATTTTCACGAAGGTAAAGTTGATTTAGTGTATTTCCCATTTCAAAAAGCAAATTGAATACTTTACCATGTTTATCCTCTCCTTTTTTTTTCATCGAGTTTTTGTTACACCAATATCAGTTGTAGTTTGAAACGATCTCGCAATTTATCAAAAGGATGTTGCCGTTTAATCAAAGGTAATATTTAGCGCCATATTTTCGTTCATAATCTTGTTTTCCTCTTCCATTATCAAAGGAATTAAGATTGAGTCCGTGGGAGGAAGGAAGTGCATCCAATTCACTAAAAACGAAAACGGAACTCAATATCTATATGCCTTAAAGGTCGTCAACGGGACCAATGTTGTTTTTGAGGTTAGTCAGGAAGTCTTTTGAGAATTGTTCGTGAGCAGAAGTACTCAACATCTCTGGCCACTCCTCAAGAAAACAGCTCATTTAGATCTTTGTTCTCGTACTTGAATTTGGGAATGGTAGACATAAATAAAAGAATGTAAATGTAAGTGTTACTATGTCAGATTTCTAGAAGAATCAAAAATAGTCGCGAGTCTTGCATTTTCCACGAAAATTAGCATTGATATGTAAAGGTCACGTAAAGGTTTCAGTCGGGGAACAAAACAGTGGACTCATTCTGAATTACATAAACAATCGAATTTGCTCTGCATTTCTTCAAAGTTGTGGACTAAAGTTTCCTTTTATGGCAAAGCTGAGAAAGTAGGTGGTACTCGTCTACATGCCTTATTAATGTTCATTGTTCGTATTCATCAATTGAATGTTTATTAATGTTTATTGACATGTATTTTTGTTCTTCTTTCACAGGAAGGTGGTTGCCAAAAACCAATTGAGGACGGTTTCCTCTTTGAAGAGTCAGTGATAAGGATAAGAAGTGGAAACTCGAAACGATTTGTGTATAAAAAATACAACACCATGTGTCTAGCCACTGATTGCGACGGAAATCTTTCTCTAATTAGTACAACAAACAAAATTAAGAGCATGTGCAGGTTTCTTAAGCTTAAATAAATAACAATCATCTGTTAAAGCTGATGGTAATGACGGTAATCTGTTTTTGATTTTACATCTGTTCAGCACTTATATCGCGACAATAACAATTCAGGTAGCGTAAAAGTAATTTACAGAGGAGTTTAAAAGGAGGCTAATAAATGTTATTCATCTGATAACTCAGATGTGTGTCTTTAGCTTTTACTTGCAATTAATTATGATAAACTTTCCCCAAGATTCCATGGGAGGGATCAGTCTTGGTGGCCCTAAAAATGGCGCGTCGACTTCCGGATCAGTAAGTCGGGTCTCCAGCGCCGGTCAGAGTCAACGTGCTTTTTCATTGGCCGGTTAAGTACATAACTCTTACATTGCCTTTCATCTTCCGGGGATAAACAATATTTAGAAGAAGAAGAAGAAGACTTTTATTTATTCAGGGTAGCCCATTCAGATGCCTCAAGCACTGCTATCAATTGGGGCCTGATAAAAATTAAAATGATAAGAACTACACAATCATGCTAATAAAAACCACATAATCTCAGGGAAACCCTGGCATATAGGCTATGGACCAGCAAGATTAACTACTGCTTTTCTTTTAATTCGTAAGGCAAGTTCAGCCACCTACTGTTTATTTTACGTTCGCTCCAGTCTCTGGGTTATGATCATCGCAGTAATGAATTTGCGGGGTGATTATATTGAGAACGCAAAAATTTTATCTTAACTCGCTCTTTTTTCGTTTTCATCTTGGTTTTTAGTACTGTATTTTTTCTCTGCCTTCCCAGTTACAGTACCTTTTTTATGAATGACGGCTTTCCCGCCCAGTGCAAACTTCTACTAGAAAGCAAAAATAATTAGGTCAACATTATTTTCCTTTAGAAGCATGTGGATACAGGTGCCAGATCCAATTATTATCTTTTCATTTTTAAGATTTAAGGGCAAAAAATTTTTCATCTAGCACCCACTTCACATTCCAAAAGGAAGCGCATTGGAGTTTCCTTCAGCTCTTACATGGCCTGAAAACGTTTGCTATTGATCAAGTCTAGATTTGTATGCTTCTTCCTTAAGTGTTTATTTTTGTTTCGTCACCGAAATATGACAACAAATTAACTAACCACGGAAACGATACATCCTTAAAGGACTCTTCTTATGATTGGAAGCGCTTGTTCTCTGTTTCTACTGATTCCCTTCTTTAAAAAAGCACACGATACTTAAACTGATTTCTCTTTTGCTGGAGAATTTCAGATCCTTCCATCACGAATGCATTCTAAAACTCCAAACTTCTCTTGAGGAGATATGCAATGTTTTGACAAGGAACGACTGATGCGCTAAACTAGTGGAATTAATAACAACCTGAAGTAACCAATACAAGACATGAAACTTGATGGGCAGCACGAACGTAATTCCAGAACCATTAACATCTCCCCTGGCAAGCAATCAATAATTTATTGATAAGATCGCATAAACCAGAGTAACCTTAATCAAATAGGACATTTTTCAGGTCGAAAAGGCCATAAAAGGTAAGCCATCTGTATTTTACAAAGTTCGTGTTTCGTCACAGCAATGAATCTGAACTTCACCAATTTTTCCTACAACTCATTGTGTTTTTGTCGGTCAAAAAAACCTAATGCTGGCACCATTAGCATGATAAACCATTTCGACCATCCTAATATTTGGTGATGTTTATAAATCTCTTCCTTTGCTAAGAACCCTAATCTATATTTTTCTTCAAATCCGCAGGAACATGAAGGTCCAGTTAATTTTGTGCGTAGCTGTTCTTTTGGTAGCTTCCGCAGCCGCGAGGTCTCTCGAAGGTAAGCAGAATAAAAAAAAACAGTGCACTATTTACTTCATTTGACCTACATATGACAACTTCATAAATGTAAAACAATAATCCATGTAAAGTGTCAAGAACACAGATAGTCACAGTGCATATGGCCTGAACGAGGAATAATTGTGGGATACAAATCTTCCTGACAGAAGGGTAAATTGCTTGACAGCTATTCATACCAAATCTTTCTCGAAAAAGGGGAAGTGAAAGTTTATTTGGACGCTCTTTGGCCTTTGGTACGACAAACAAATGTCTTTCCAAGATGTAATTTTCTTAAAATTGCTTAGGTTCGATACTTAAATTTATCTCTGAGAGGAATGAATCGTCAATCGTTTAGGAAGCTAGAATGAAAATAACACCTCTGAAGCGATACCTCGAGTTATTTTTACTTAAGCGGTGAGCCAATGTTTTCCGTGGAGTTTTCGCGAAATAAATCTTTGCGGTAGATTTAAATTTAAACTGGTTGAGAAGTGCCGTATCTGTGACATAGAAATGATCGCATCGTTTTGAAAAACCATGAAAGTTACTCTGAAATATTCGGGTCAATTAGAATACTATTGACGTATCATGTCCGATTACTTCACGACCGTTATAAGGAATTCCAGCAGAGAATAAAGGCAAAACGAAAGACGGACGATGACTTCAGAATACATCTGTAATCTTTAGGTGACCCCACTAGTTCTACTCTATCTAAGATCTCGGAAAAACTTGTAATGCGGGATCCTATCTCGAGTGAAATTCATCAACTGTTGATTGAAATATATGCAAGAGAATTATCTTCCGCTACCGCCATGGCCACGATGATGGTATGTTCCTGTTCTTTAGAGTGGAGATAAATCAGATTGAGGAGAGAAAATCTTTAGATTTGATTGTATTTAGAGTTTTTGGTACCGTCTTCATCGAAGTGTCTTTAAGTAAAATGATTCTGCACACAGAATTCACCGGCTAAGTTTCCGTGGACTACTAAGAATAACATGACGGGTACCTGATTTTAAAACGGTAAATAAACAAAATGTGTTCAAAGAAGGCATTAAATTTTGCGTCCAAGTTTAGAATTTAAATTTTCCATATAGTCCATCCCTACTTCTAGACGCTCTGGAGCGTAATGGACAAGACTCCTAGCCACTGAATTAAATCATAAGTCTTGAAGGCTGAAATGGCAATCATTTACCCCTATGATATTTCCTCTTTGCTTATCGTAATGAAGTACTATAATATTGATATTGGTATTTAACAACAATGTCTCGCCATGTGCTCACCTTAAATGGTGACGGAACGATCAGTTGGGCTCAAAGTAGCAAGTATATAACATTGTGGTATTGATGCATGTGACGTTTCCTCAACTTATTTCAGCCTCAAAGAGGTGTTGTCCACCACCTCCACCTCCCCCACCAGCCCCGCCTGTTGCGGGACCCCCCGGACCTCCTGGCCCTCCAGGAGCCCTCGGCTGCGCGGGCCCTCCAGGATCCACTGGTTGTCCTGGATGGAAAGGTGCTCCAGGAGTAGCAGGACCAGCAGGACCAATTGGACTTCCTGGAAAACCTGGTCTTAATGGCGCAGTCGGAGCACCCGGCCCGATGGGCCCCATGGGACCATCCGGATGCCAAGGACTTAAAGGCTGCCCTGGACTCAACGGTGCCCCCGGCCCAATAGGACCTCCAGGACCGCCAGGACCACCAGGACCCCCAGCTCAACCTTGCTGCGGTTAGGGTGCAATCCAGAAACAGATCAATCACCAAAACCTGCTGCAACAGCAGACTACATTGAAGATAACTGAGAACCTGTTTCTGTATTAGTCCTTCTTTCTCCTTCGAGGAGACTCTACTTTCAACAGAAATCAATTAAAGATCTTTTTGAATTACAAAAAAAGTGATGCACCCTCTTTCAAAACTTCTAAACTTTGCCTCCTCTAAGGTGTTTCATAACCTTACACACAGAGTTGCTAGGGGACTCAGTTCACTCAGCCATATGATCAGATTTCAAGAAAAAGCTACACAAATTTTCAAGCTCTCACCTATACATAGCTTATCAGGCACGTAAGGCTAAATTCAAAATATGAAAAACATCACACATACTTAAAGAGCCTTAATTAATAAATTATGCCAGAGAATATTTTTTACCGAAAAGGCCTATGTATTCCACCACTCCATCTACCTCATAAACAGGACCCCAAAATCACTTCGACAAACTAACGGTTACAACCACAAGTGACAGCGCAAACATAACTCGCTCGAAATTTCATGAAATGGAATACCTTCTCTGCTTGCAAACTTAAGAGCTGAAAGTTAGTTATCCAAGATCATAGGAAACAATAATTCCGTTTCTATTACATGAACGCATTACGGTGAAAGATTCCGTGTACAAAGGGCAAGCAACAGCGGTCATATTATACACGCTAAAAAAAGGCAATTATTTCCGATCTTAGCATGATAATGGTCGTCATAAACTACCAAATCCTCTCTTTTATCAGTAAGTGTGGTCTCTGAAAGACTATCATATTGTCGCCTCAGAAGTGACTCAGCACCACTGACAACAATTTCTTTCAGAACTCAACTCACCCGGAATATCAGACCACACAGAACTATTTACATCAATGCTTGCAAACTGTTACAAAAATCAGTAACGGTAACATATTCCACACGATTCTTTACTTATCATGTCTTGGAGCGTAGTTTCGGAAGAAGATAGCATTGGAACTTTTAAAGCTTTTATATGAAGAAAGCTGAAGAAAGGGCGGCCACCTGTGTCCATTATAAAGCCAACTTACGCGCGGACAATTGAGATTTTATCCTTTTTCTTAAATTAAAAGCCTTATCCGAAATAAGGCTAAAATGACACTTTGCTGAGCTGATGGTGAAGCCTGTATTACCGAACAAAAACACATCTTTTAATCAGTAGAACCCTTTGTGTCCTTAATCGAAGACTCTGGTGGCTAAAACTCATTATAAAAATCAATGTCCTTTTCGCACCTAAACGATCACCAATTCTGAGATGAGGTAAAAAACAAGAAAAGAGACCGTATTTAAAATAAATATTGTTGGATCTGATTAGACCACACACCTTTACATCATGTTTTTCTCCCTATAACTGTATTTCAGAATACTGGATAGAAACGTATGCAAGGAATTAGATAACTTACAATAAGAGTCAGACTTAAAAATGAACCAAAAATAATACTAAGTATCCGTAAGATAACCAAAGAAGATACGAACGATAAAACTATCATCGCTTGAAAAAAGGCATAAATGTAAGAAATAGTGAGGTAAATGGAAAATAACTGGAAAAAATTCCGTAGTTTGCAAATAGTAGGAATGCAAAATCAAATCTATTACACCAAGTGCTAAGCAGGCACTCAAGAATTTCACACCTGTATCTGCTTGTTCTTTCACACCACAGACAAATGGTTTTGGAAACACAAGACACCCTTCAGCTTAAGGAAAAGACAAATATTAGGATATTTTTCTCCAATCATTTTTCAATTCATTTCTTAAAACAACTCACTCACCTAATGGGAATATTACTTCCCGGAATGTTTCGTCTGGTTAAGAAGCCAAGATTGTAGCGTATTATATGATCTCAGCAGTTTTAATTATTTAACAGTACAGGCGTATTCATATATACGATAGTCGTCTCAATTGCTCAGACGGGTATTTTGTCTTTACACACCGTTTAGGTAAGTGTTACTTCTAAGATATATCTTGAGTTACGTTTTATCTGAAGACTCGAAAGATGTTTTTAATCAGCGTTTCACTTTTGAGTTACTTGATCTTCATCTAACCATAGACGATACGTGTCTAATACAAGAGCGAATATTCGCATCTACAAGTAGACTTAACAAAAAGCGTCCGAAAGGCTCTGCATTATATGATATCTCTGTGTTAACTGATGATGAATTTATTTTGTTAATTGATTTCATCCTAAATTCTTTGTATTCAAGTCTACTTTCACGTCTTCCTCGACAGGCCTAAATATGAAAACTCAGCTGGTTTGGTGTTTCGCAGTCATCTTCGTTGGCTCCGTGACCGCCAAGTCAATTCATAGTGGTAAGTAAGAATATTTCTCGATAATAAATTGCTCTAGTACACTACACTCATAGTGGAGACGGATTACGACCTACCAAGGTTTTACGAATCCAGATGCTTAGAGCTGGCGTACATTAATGCAATTCAAAAAATGTATTTTGACTGTCCTAATCCGTTCATCGTTCCTCGTCAAGTAATTAATAATTAAAGCAATTAAAGTGCCAGGAGGCAATCTATCCTTAACCATAGTGGCACTCTTTAGAAATCAAATCAAATCGCGAGGACTCAGCAATAGGATTATGTGGAATTGTTTTAGCTCAAAGACTTAACTGCCTATCTTTGTAGGCTCACGTGGTTTCCAAATGACATATTTGCCAAGTTATGTGAAAGAATTGATTCTTGCGTACTTTCATCCCGCATTATCCGCTAAGAAAAAAAATCCGTTTCATCGATACATTTAAATTGATACAAATTCCAGAAAACGTTGTTTTCTCGATATCATGATCGCGTGATAGCTTTAGAGTTTTCCAGTCTAGGAACATCTCATATGTATTATATGAATCTAATCTAAAATAACAAATGCGAACTCTTTTTCATGCCAAAATGAAATTCAAACAATCATGTTTGATCATCTCGACCACTAGCATTAATCTTAGCTCTGGGAATGTTCGTACAAAAAAAACCCTAGATAAAAGGCACAATTTACGTTTCAGGATAAGGTTTGTTTCATTTCATATACATTTTCCAAGGTGGAGAAGCATCAAATATGATCAAAAACTAATTGTAGATTATATTTCAGTCACCAGGCGATGTGGTTGCACATCTGCTGTGTGTCCACCCCCAGATGCACCTTGTCCTCCTCCACCTGCCCCTCCAGCACCAGTACCACCTGGTCCTCCAGGGCCTCCCGGACTACCAGGCTCTAACGGATGTCAAGGTCCTCCAGGGATGGCCGGTTGTCCTGGGCTTAAAGGGCCACCAGGCAATGGAGGGCCACTCGGGCCACCGGGGCCTATTGGACTTCCCGGTAAACCCGCTCTTCCCGGTCCACCCGGGCCACCTGGCTGCATGGGATTACCTGGCCTCCCTGGATGTGCGGGAATGAAAGGACCAGCAGGACCAGTTGGGCTGCCAGGCCCCGTAGGACCAGCAGGACCACCTGCCCTCCCAGGCCCTCCTGGAATACCTGGAAAAATGGGCTGTGCTGGTGCTCCCGGATGCCCCGGTTTCAAAGGGGAGCCCGGAGCGATGGGACCAATAGGACCTCCAGGAGCTCCTGGAAAACCCGCTCTTCCTGGCCCTCCTGGCCAACCCGGAAGTATAGGACCGCCAGGTCTCCCCGGTTGCATCGGCATGAAAGGATGCAACGGCAGTCCCGGAGCCCCAGGATTTGTTGGACCTGCTGGCCCTCCAGGACCCCCAGGCGCTCCGGGTCCACCAGGACCACCTGCTGAGCAACCGTGCGCCCCTTGCGGTGGTGGCTGCTGCGGTTAAACTGCGCATGCAGCCAAAACAGTACGAGTTATTTCAAGTGCGATTATTAAAGCCTTGTTAATGAGAGATGGAAAGGACGATAGGAAGATGTTTTTCACATCAAAATATTCCTTTATTTTGTAGTGCATGTCACGGTTGAGCAATAAAAAGGATGCTGACCCATTCTCTAAACATAGTGTCATGACTGTACAGGGGCCATATGACATTTAAATAGTAGTCCCAGATAATTATAGGCAGTAGGGCTACCTTAAGTTAACTATCCTTACGCCCGATATCCGATTATGTTTTGACCCTTTGCACCCTAATATCAGTGTGCTTATACATTTCCTACGGTACTTACGAGGATGGTTTTTGACAATGATCAGCTCCTTAGGAAGGCAATCAGTTTTTCTTTTTTATTTTCAAGACTCAGGAGTGTTAATGTAAGGAGAAAAGCTAGTCACCTTTAGGGTTTCAAACGTTAAAACACTATGTAAGGGTTTCGTCGTGCAGCAGGCCACTCGCATATCCCTATATTTAAATTTCTCAAGAAAGACCATTCACGATGGTAATGTACAGGCAGGTGATCATGTTTCGCGGTACTTTTAAGTTAATTCATTGGTTGTTGAATGGCTAGAAGTACACGCTTTGAGGTCAAATGCTGCACCGTCATGAATGTGGAAATGTGAGCTTTAATTTCCGATTGATTTTTATTTACTACTTTTTAATAAAAATACCTGACCATAAATTTTGGAGAGAAGTATTTTAAAAAGTAGTTGTAAAAAACTTTTTCTTCCTCCTTTCTTTTTTTTGCTTCCTGGAGAGCCTTCCCCCTCTCTCGGCAAGCGAAAAAAATCGCAAAACACGTCTTGAAGGTCTCCAAAACCATGAATTAATTGCGACAAGCCTCATTAAATTTACTTTGAAATTCCTTCTTACAAAATTTTGCCCTTTATTTTTTTACTTCAACTAGTAGGGTCTAGATGGCTGCATGCTGGTAAACTTCCTTTTTTCGTTTTTATGGACCTTTCTTAGTGTCGGTCCCTGAAAACTAGTTATCTTCTCCCATCAATGATATCCATATATTCTAATAAATCAACCTCACGCTTGGTTAAGGCCACATAATGATATTTCGAAACGTTTTCTGTGAAGCATAACATCACCTAGGGTAGAAATCACCGAAAAACTAAAATAATCTAGAGCAAAAGGGGACGGATTAAGGATGCACCCAGAAAGGATTAACACGGTTTGGGGGCTGTGTCCAACTCACACGAAAAACGTAACCTTAACATTTCAGGATACACAAGGCATGAAATAGCTGTTCAGTTTAAGAGAACAAATTAAAATGACTCCGATCCTCCTCACAGACCACGATATAACTGAGATATACGAAGCACGAATTCACTAGACAAGAAAGAATTTGTTCATATCAAATTGAGAGTTGAACTTTTAAATTTCATCAAATTATCATTAAAAATCTAACGCGTTAAAGAATACCAAAAATGCTTTCAACCTTGCTGAATGCAGTGACTTTCCTGCAAAACATATTTCAAAAACTTGCTGTAAAACAAATACACTAAGTATTTCTCTCGTTAACCGAAAAAGAATTCGTGTAATGAGTGCTTGTGTTCTTGAGATCCACGTACAAACGTCTCTCAGTGATTTCCTGACTCGAAAAAACGGCTGTCGAATTTCTCAGTCATCGTGCTTTAGGATCTGGTGGACGGACTGCAGTGAATCATTAGCAATACCTTTTCTACACGTCCTCATTCATATAACTACTTCATTTATTACAGTGGTAGTTCATGGTAACATTAATTAAACGAACGAACAAACAGAGTAGTTTTCTTTAAAATCACTTTTGACTTTCGAGAGACAAGCATCAAGACACCTCAAAACATAGTTGAATCTATAAAATACAATATATATATTTTGTTAAAAAGCTTGAGGCTTCCTATGCGCATATTTAAACATATTTATGGAACCATATTGTTCCATAGTCATTGCACATCTATATCTGAGCGCAAAATGTCTCTCAGCGAGCACAAATCTTGGACAATGGTAGGCCTTACCGGGAGATTAGGAACCAACAGCAGACATCTGAATTCTTTCATTTACAATTTAACAAGTTTGACACATTTAAAAAATAAAAAGAAACAAGCAAACTCTGTGTTTGACGAGTTGTTTCAATCATGCCACCCTATTTCTTAGGTGATAAAAGTTTTTATCACATGAAAATCTGCTTAAGGTCAGAATTTCTTTTAACAGCTCCTTTAAAAATTGGCTTGAAGTGGAAAATAACTTTGGGATGGCGTAAAGAAGCATTAATCAGCTAGCCGAAGCGTGAAACTTTGATAAATAAACTGTGCCAGAATCATTGGAACTCATCAGGATTACCTGTAATTACCAAGTGAAGAATGAAAGCACAACCTGCCCAAATATTTACCTTAGCTTTTCTCCTACTAATTTTCCACTGTAAAATGAGTTGTAATCTTAACTGATAGTTTAATTTCTGTTTCACTTTCCTTATATTATTGGTTCTTTTCATAATTACGAGGTTTAATTTTCACTTAATCCTATCATGTTACAGGTGAAGTATTTGTTAAGCAGCATTTAACTTGTCTTTAAGGCCAAATGGCAAAATGTGCCTCGCATTTAAAAAAAACACATTATCTTAAATCTGTTTGCAAACGGCCTTGTAATAGAGTGTCTTTAACATTTGTAACTCATCATTTTCCCGCACTTAGATTTTTACAAACAAAACTCTAACACTATCCATAATATTTAAAACGAGAAGAAAATAGCACACAATAGACCCAAGTCAAGCGTGACAAAGTGGGCTTGACACATTACTATTTAAACCACTGTCCATTTTAGTGACACCAAACGAGTTATTTTGCAACCTAACGTCACCTGCTCGTTATGAAGTTCTTGACCAATCAGAACCCAACACCACCAACTTAGCCATTTAAAATTAATCACTTTCATGTCGGTAAATACTACTAGCGCATCAAAGTAGGTCACATTTTAACCGACTTTACAGGATAGGAAAATCGGTGAGTCCTACATTTATATGTTGCATAGTTTGAAACCAAGATTTTCACAGATTCGCTGAGAATTTTGATGGATGTTTCCTGTTATAAAGACTAAGCTATTTAAGAGTAGTCACAACATTATTATTTTGTCTATGTTATCTTGTTGATTTTTTTTAACATGACCGCGGTTCCATTTGATCTATAACATGATCGAATTCCTGAGATCAATTACCCTAAATCAAACACTTTCAAAGTTCAAAATGCTCCTTGTCGACCTTTTTCTAATATCTTTTCAGAACTACATCGCTGTGACTCTTCTTCCAATATTTCTAACTTAAACTTATGAGAAATAGCTGAGGATACTTACTTCATCTATTTCATTATCATTTTAGGTAAGATGAATTCCAAGATAATATTTTTATTTGTTCTTGCCTTCGTCTGCTACGCACATGCTAGGTCGACAAAAGGTAAGTTCGCTAGTTTATTTTGTAAAGTTTGAAATAGGTCAAACGTGAAACATAATAGCTTTGATAAAAAAACAATTAAGATGTTTATGTTAAGATAATAAATCTCTGCCAAACTTTTGCAAGTCAAAATCATCAGCTTCTGCAACAGATTTTCGAAGCAAGAACCACGAATGCCTAATATTGAGAAAAATGATTCCATCAATTTTCGTCAAACTGTGTAATCTATTTTAGACCCTTGTATGGGATGATTGTCTAAGAAAAGTGACTTACTTAACACAACGCACGCCAGGTGGCATCAAATCGAAAAGAAAACCAGTTCTATCACCGAATACAATCCTAAATATAATTTAAGTTCGTTTCCTGCCAGTTTGAACTAAATTTTTCGACCCGATGATCTGAACCAATGAGAATTAATAATTTTAATGTAATTAGAACGATTAATGATTGTAATATTTCAGGACAGGAAGCAGCTTAGGAAGAAGTTCATTGATCTCGGCAGAGTTTTACTAATCGAGTTCATGGCCATTATCCTTTCGTATCATGAACCTTTTTTTTTTTTTCATCTTCTTCCGACGATTTAGACCGTAAAATTAGTTGATACCCGCCTGTCATAGCGAAATCATGTTAGCAGGTGGTACTTTTCTCAACAGCTTCTTTGGATTGAATCAATTGATTTTCATTTGCCTTTCTACGACGAGGTAGCCTTTTACATTGCAACGTATTCAAGTGAGAAAGATTTCACTTCCATTTACCCTGCCTATTCAATTACTCCTCTTAGTCATATGAATTCAATTTAAAATGGAAACCTAAGTTACTTTATTAATTTCTGGATGCAGGTGGTCATTCAACTGTAGAGTGACTGGTGAGTTAAAAAGGCAGTGCTGTCACTGGAGTAGGGTTATAACGTTTCACGATGCTTGGGCGAAAGGTGCAATATTTTTTCTTTTGCACTCCCTTTATTTCAACAGGCTCCAAACGTTGTTGTCCCTGTTGTCCGCCTCCTCCACCACCACCACCACCAGTTCAACAGGTCGCTGGACCACAGGGACCACCCGGACAATCTGGATGTTCTGGTCCCCCAGGAGCACCCGGATGCCCAGGATGGAAAGGATGCCCAGGACCAGTCGGTCTCCCAGGACCTCCTGGTGCCCCTGGACCTCTCGGACCAGTAGGACCAATGGGACCTAAAGGATGCGGTGGAAGCCCAGGCCTCCCTGGTTGCCCCGGACTTAAAGGATGCCCAGGATGTGCCGGTCCACCAGGACCTCCAGGAGCTCCTGGACCTCAGGGAGTTCCCGGAGCTGCTGCCCCAGTCCCATGCCCACCTCCACCACCTCCTCCATGCTGCCCTGCTCCCGCATGCTGCAAGTAATCGGTTCCTTTATAGATTGAAGGAATAAAAACGATCGACACGAACTTTTAATAAACTTCACTTTTTAAATCACAACAAAAACTGTCAGTGATTATTTTACCTCACGAGAACATTTCTAAAATAATGTCATCACTAGAAAGCTCAGTATACCTCAGCTACTACAAAATGAATAGAATACATGCGTGAGTTTCCTCCCCGACTGTCAGAGATAAATATTGAACATCGGCTAAATAGAGCTCACGCTGCTTTTTCTTTCAAATCATGTTATGATCCCTTTGAGTGCATACTTTAAGAGGAAAAGTCCACATTTCGCTCCAGAAAATTCAGTAATGCTTATTTTCATTTACTTCGTGAGGCACAAGAAGACGCCAAAAGGGCACGGGAAACCACATCATTTGCACAAGTAAACCAAGAGAAGCAACGAGTTAGACAATTACATTAAAAAAAAGGTTTGATTGTTTTAAAGCTTTTTAATCATGAGATGAACAAGTTTCACTTTTCTTTTCCTTTTTCGCGAGCATACACTCTTGGACTAATTGGGTTTTTTGTTTTACCTTTCAGTGTTTTACTTAAAAAAAAACAGTTGAACAGCAAATGCATGCTGTAGAACTTGAATTCTGGGGGAAAAAAACGGCAGCAAGGATGTAAAACACGATGTCTGAGTACAGTTAATAAACAAAGGAAAAATGAGATTTCGAGTTCTTCCTAAAATATATCGACATGTCGGCATTCATCTGTCGAAAGACTCCAAATTTATGTTGCTCCTGGATTCATATGATAGTGAATCTCATAGCCTTCAATTTTCATGGCTCTTTGGCCTTTCAGTATCATTGTTGCAGGTATTCTGTCTTGCCTTAATGCATCTATTGTTTCACATTTCACCCATGTAAGATAATCAAAAAGGGCTCTTCCTTTCTAATGAAGCAGGCTAGGTTATAAATTTTCAAGTCAACTCCACCTGTGGGTTCCAATAATAAGGCACCTGTGAACTACACCTTAGCCAACTCCGCTGTGCACATAACCGGCTAAATCCTGTTACTTCAGGGTACCCAATTCACATCGCATAACTTGCATAGGAAAACTACACAGAACTAAGTATAAGGGAACCCTCTTTCTCTCATCATGTAACTCTCAAAATATTTCCTGTGTCACAATAAAAAAAACCCAATTATATATTGATCAAGTGTTATTACTTATTAACTGGTCGTTTTAATGAATTAAAATTCCTTTAAAAAACAACGCCGGTGTTAAGATCTGCACCACATTGCTTAGTAAACCCTGATTGAAAATATTCAACCGTAAGCCGTTGAAAAGCTGAAAATCGAATCCTTGATAATGGACAGCATATAGTTTCCAACGCAAATTTCTGTGCACCCTACCCTCTTCCCCGCTCCCTTGCAATTGAAAGCCATCTTAGAATTTTCATAACCGTTCTTGCTCGAGTAAGTACCCTAAGTGTTAAATTCCAGAAGGAATTTAGAGTAAAGTGTTCGCAATTTTTCTGACCATTTCACCTTACCTTACGAGGGGCTCTAGTATTAACTTCAGCACTCCAATTTGAAATTTATTGTTACTCGGCGTTTAATGAAAAAATTATGGCTGAGAAATTTCCCAAAATCAGCCCTTCATGTAGGAGGAAATATTTTCTGGAGCATATCGAACAAAGGTTCTATCGGAAACCTTTCTATAACCCTTGCATGATTGGCTAAAAGAAAAAAAATCATGAATTTGCTAAACTAAACAGTTTGAATATTTCATCGTCTGTAATTGATCCACTGGTTGATTCACTCGAAAATATGTTCAGTGCATTAGCTCCTATGGCAACCAATATATTTCATCCTAAGTATGAACTCTTGAGCCAATCAAATTTTGATAACTGTTTTGGTAATGGCCATTACGTAATCAAATAAAAGCAACAGCAAATACTTTTAACTCACCGAAGAAGTAGTAATTTAAGTCAGTGGTAGAGTCAAAGTCAGTTGTTATACAGCCTTAGCAGGAAAAAGAAAGCTGGTGAGTAAAGTCTTTTTAATTTTATCTCCTTAAGTTTCTTTTTCAATTCATTTCATCTATAATCTTCAGTAGCATCGAAGAGAAGTATTCGGGACATATTTTTTTAATTGAAGTTTGCGATTTTCGAAACTACCTAACATGCTTATTTTACTTTCCACAACACCGATCTATTATAAATTCGATTTCCTTTCATAGTTTACTAGACTTGAACCACTTTCCAAAATACTTTGAATTCCTTTTCTTCGCTGTTTGTTACTCTTTTAATTATTTGCCTTCCTTGTTATTTCCTCGTGACCACCGAGTCTGAGAACCTATTCTAAGGACCCTTTTCGATTTAAAGAGGGGTTATATCCAATACAATCAGCTAATGGTTTTCTTGTTTGCAGGTAAGATGAATTGCAATTTACTGACTGTTTTACTCGTCGCATTAGTGGGCTGTGCACAGGCAAGATCAACAAAAAGTAAGAGTTCCCATTCTGACTATGTGAGTGTTTAACGTGTCAACCATGTCCTTGAAAGAGAACCACTGATCAAAAAAATTCCAGTCACAAGACAGGGACTGGAGAGTAACAATTATTAAAGGGAGAGTAACCTTGAAAGCTTTCAAAACCGACATTAAGCTTCTCGACATATTTACAGAGCTACATGCCGTAATGGAAATTTATTACTTCTCGTCAAAACTATGTGATGACGTTGGCAGGTACCAATGTCGAATTTCCTTTTTATTCTTAATATGTTCCTCCTGATTTTAAACCAAAGTTTTAAAATTTGGTTTGAAACATTTTTTTTACACTGGAATGAGAACAATCCTGATGATCACATTCCAAGCTCTCACTTTTTCAAATTTAGTCATAAAAATATATAATTACTTGGAATAAAATCATTATAAAATTGTTCAAGTTTTCAACTATTTTATAATGCATCTGGCCTATCCTGTCCAATTTTCCTTCATAAACAACCCGTTATTAGTTACTTTCTCGGTGGAGGATAAATTTCTGCTGAAAATAAGATTATCTTTACCAAATCTATCAATCGCTGCCATGTATCAAGCGAAATGCTAATTCTTTAAACGATATTTCATCAGATGCAAAAAGCTGTTGCCCGTGTTGCCCACCTCCTCCACCGCCAATGATGCCACAGATACCGGCGCAACAGGGATGTGGTGAGCCCCCACGAGGTGTCGGATGTGCGCCACCCTTGCAAGCCCCCTGCCCTCCTGGACCACCGATGGGAATGCCCCCAGCAGCACCCCCGTGCATGCCAATGGCACAACCAATGGGACTACCAGTACCACCACCATTAACTATGGGACAACCTGGTTGTCTTGAGAGTCCTCGTCAAGGATGTATTGGTCTCCCTCCTGCATCACCCCCATGCTCACCTCCACCTCGTGCACCACCAGCACCATGCCCACCTCCTCGAGCCCCTCCTTCTTCAAAATGCTGCCCTGCCCCGGCATGCTGCAAAAAATCGCACAAATCACATTAACTTGTCACAGATCAATAATGTACCGTCTTTGACTTCTTGAAATAAATATTACAATTAGATCAGACCAGGATTGGAATGCGTGAAAGACTTAACCACTGACCAATACTTTAAGGTTCCTCTAATACTTTTTCGCTATACAGAACAGACAGAACCACAAAAGGTGCAATCCTGGCCGAAACGTTCGGAACACTGGTAAATAAATTCCTTGCATTCCCCCTTCTCCTTGGATCTAGCCACATTGGAAGTCAGATGTTTCTTTAAAATCATGAATAGGATATTAACTTGAGCATTGTCCAATGGGTTTGTGAGTAAAATCTTGGCGAGTTTGTTTTCAGTTACAACTGAAAATGAACGAGCTTGTCCATTATATACGAGTAGGACTATGTTCAAGAAAGGGGAGCGTTCCCAAACGTTTAGGCAGGATTATTTCATTTGCAATTGCCAAATGCATGACTCAAAAATAGTTGAAGTCGTAACTTGCTCTAAAAAAAGGGGAACTGAAAAGGTTCCGAAGCGATCCAATCCGAAGGCTCATAGCTTATGCACAATGTTAAGAACGTTGGAGACAACAGCGGAAAATTTTCAAATTTAACCCAAATGGGTTTAGTCTGTTTAAATATTGGCATTCGAGGGGGGTATAATTCGCAGATTGGATTTAAAACGTACCCCTTGAACGTAACTGATTAGCGTTCTCTGCTTCCCATTGCAATTAACCTCACTACTTGATATATGAAATGGACATGAATACGATTATAATTGAACAACGGCAGTTCTTTTATCTTTACGAGAAACTGTAATTGATTCAATTACACTCACTATCACACTTTTGCCAATGAAAGTGTAACAGTGCATGTAAGAAGTGCGAGAGAGAGCCTTTCTCGATTTCAAGTCATAATCTTCCTAATTGTATTATTTACGAAACATGACGATGATTTTCTTTATAACTGATTATATCTCCTTTAATCTTTTTTTCAAGCTTTTGCTTTTATCTGCCTCTTAATCACGTGCAACAGTCCCTAAGAGAATTTACGACGATCATAACTCGTGAAACTGGATACAGGGAAATCGTTGAGAAGAGCACTCGATGTAATCATTTTTATACTCGCAAAATCGCGCTTGGAGCATATCTTAGCTAAGACACCAAAAACAGCGTGTCTTAAGCCAAAACGTTCTGTTTGGATTACAGAATTCATGAGCTATAAAACACTTTAACTTTACAGTCAAAATCTAAACTAAGGAAACTTACATGTACATAGTGATGATAATGCGGTCTTCAAGGTGAAGGTTATTGTCGATTGTGAAGTTGGATCAATATCAGTATTTGAGCAACTGCGCACCAACCTCCCCTCCCGCCTCCTACCCAACATTAAACCTTACCTTTTGTCAGTTAACTGTTGTTGAATTGGGGAAGGGTAGGTGAGCAAATGCTAAGATATTGACATTGATCCGAGAGGTTGACACAAACTTAAGAGATAAACTCTGTAGAACACCAGTTATGTTTATGAACAGAGGTGTTCAACAGATAGCGTCAGACTTTTCAATTTTCACTAACAGGTAAAACAATGCAAGATAGTTGAAAACGTTTATTTCACCTCTGTTAGGAAAACACGTAGACAGGAGGAAGTTGGCAAACTTCCAGAAAGGTGGAATTATGATATTATACCGACTTCTTTCTTGAAAGTTTTACTTTTTAATTTCTGCAGCTATTCCTTGGTAGTACTAATGATTGTTTCCTATTTCCTTTAATAGGCCGCTCAATCAAAATGGACTTTAAAATTATAGCGTTGGTGGTGCTGATATCTGTGGTTTATGTCTCCGAAGCGAAACCATATGAAGAATTCCGTAAGTTGCTTTGTCTTTTTAAAAGAATCATCTTTTAGTCCAAGTTTAAGTCGTGAAGTACCAACAGTATCTAAAATCTCTTTATTCCACGATGCATCATCTGTCAAAAACGTTTTCAGAACGAACTTAAAATTACCTGTCAACTCTAGTAAATCTCACACTCAACCAGTAGTTTGAAATTGACGAAAGTAGGAAAGAAAGTTTATGTAAAATCAGAAATTGGTATTTGTAAAATCTTCAATATTTTGGTAACACTATAATAACGAGCAAAGATGCTCCCATTTCCCTATGAAGTTCCATAAGTTATATTGATTGCCATAATTGACAAAGACACCTGTTTGTAGTAAGCATCGTAGAGAAAGCATTTTCAACTTTTCATTCACAGAGATAACTATATTAAAGTGATCAGACTTTTCCCTCTATGTTCCCGTTAGTTTCTAACTGCGAGAACAGTCTTCCTCATAAAAAGTGTCGCCAAAATCCGCAAAAGAAGAAAGCTGCTTTCGAATCAAACTTACTTTTCTCTTTTGCTCCACTTATACTTACGCTGGGTTTTTGAGTCAATCCGGGGGAGAAATCATTATATCTTTGTTCATAAAAATTTAGTTCTATACCATAAAACTAATAAAATTTTATTGCATTTTTTCAGTCAACAAGGTCTTAAGAAGTAATCCACTGCCTTGTTCTCGGTCCTGTTGTGAAAAGTGTTGCACAAACGTTTGCAGAAGAGACTGTATATTTTCGTGTTGTGCAGCCCGTCCACTTGGCCCATACCCACCTCCCCCTGCACCGCCTCCCCCATACCCAGCCCCAACACCACAGCTCATCCCCGGACCGCCAGGATTCGCAGGAATTTGTGGATTGCCAGGACCTCATGGACCTAGAGGATGCCCCGGCTGCGTTGGACCACCAGGACCACCCGGACCTCCGGGACCCCCGGGACGCTAAGTACCTAATAGAGAAGTTGTAAACTCTACCAAGAACAACCAAAGTGATTGAATAGCGTTGGGAATCACAGTCTCGATCTTTTCGAGAAAACAAACTCGTTTCGTCGTTCCTTTCTGGGTTATAACGCTACTTCATTTCCACAATTTATAATCATCACGCCGCATCAGTTTTTTGCATTCTATTAGTTCCTTCTGGTGTTGTGGCGGACACCTGGTTGTCTACTTTAGAGAAGGTGCTCCTTGTCAAGAATCACTTTTTATTAATCTTTTTCCTGATTTTTTGAAGCAATATCGCTGACATCGTTCTTATATATTAAGAGAAACTCAATAAAATTTTGAAATTCCTTTTACTGCTATAATGTTTGTTCACTTCTTTTCATTTGTTGTTCTTTGCTATTTTGTTTCAAACCACGCAATCAGGCACTCATGAGAGTAAATTTTATGGGAACACTGGGAATTTGCAATGTTTTTTTTTGCCGTTGTCCTTAAAAAGTACATGAGATCCCTTATAATGATGATGAGACCAAACTCCCCAAACAGCTCGCAAATCATAAAATAGGTAGAACAAAGCGGTATTAAGTTAAAGAGAGAGTACCGTGATCAATATTATTTTGAAGAATATATATAGTTATAGTTTTGTCATTTCCCTACGACACAATTTTTGTCATCCCCAAGATATCGAATATTTGCACGAAGATAAGTGTTCAAAACAAAACAGCTCACAACCAACTTTTGGCAGCGGTCAATTTCTTCAATAAAGAGACAATTTCACCTGTCTCGGTCAAGTTTATCCAGTCCGTCAAATTAAAGTGAAAGCTTACGTTTACATTGTTATTTAACCTGATTAAAATCAAATTGACATAACCAACTGAGAGGGGGCAGGTAAGGGATTAGATAAAATATATGATCAACGCAGACTAATGCACTGCTACGTGCACATCTGAACTTTCCCCGAGTTCATCGGTTTGGATCACTCAACCTCAGACAGAAACTTTGACGTGTCTGTCAAGTGCCTGAAACAACATCTACATGCATCATAGATGCAAGCAAATAACAGTGAAGCTGTGCATCAGTTCTTTTATATAACAAACTTTCAAAAGGCTCATACCAACATCTCATTCCCTTACACGTGTTGCCGTTATATTACTTATGCCCTGAGAAAAAAATATTGCTTCAATCTGAATCTCATCGCTGTCTCGTTGAATACACCTCAACCTTTCTCAACGGAATCAAAATGAAAATTTATCAAAAATACCATGAAATACCTGCCATTTATCAAAATTTTGTTTACAACTTTCACTTCAAAAACCTGCTGCACAAGAATGTAATCAAAACACGTAACAATAGAAAAAATTGATAACTCACCGCCGATTTAACTCATTAAATAGTAATAGAGGACATCTTTGAAAGTTGCTTGCCTCTTCGTGATCGTTGGATAATAGTGTCAGGTAAGACGTGACATTCTTCTCTAAACAGAAATATGATTAAGAGTGTTTATTCTCAAAAGAATATGAAATTCATCGGAAAAAAAATACAACTACCAAGATACCAAATTTAAATTTGGCAAATGATATTATTCAAAATATACAAATAGCTTTATGATCAGTGGGGCTCATTAAAATCGGTAGTTGGCACTGAAAGGATGATTTCTCATGGGTGCATCTAACGAATCCTAGTTTCCTTTTGTTACAGAACAAATCATGGATTATCGGTTGGCTGTACTATTCACCCTGGGGCTGGCTTACACCGCCTCGTCGATGCACAGTAAGTACAAATATAGTTTGGTATAGATCTTATCACCAAACCCAAAAACCAAACCAGTAACTTTAATTGATAGAATAACAAGAAAAAATAAGCTAGAAACTTAGATTTAAATAATGAGATGGCGTGGAAGCCCAATGTAAATCTCTCGGACTTGCTTTGAGCGTACTCGGTATTACCTAAATTCTTCGATGATTTTTTTTCCATCTTCAAAAAGTTCTATCTATACAACAGGGCTACAACCAACACAATGAATTGCCTTGAGATAGCGGTTTCAGAGAATATTTATCGCTCACTCCCTCTAGGAAAGTTTGCGTTCTGAGGTCCAGGCACACAAGAGCCTCGAATTCTCAAGAGCCATTAGCATGACCGAGCTCGCATATATCCACAATTTTGACGGCTGGCTCATCAAAAACCTAACCAAATCTATTCCTTTTATAAAGCAATTGGATGGCGAAGGTACTAACTGACTGACTGACTGACTGACTGACTGACTGACTGACTGACTCGCTGACTAACTGGCATCTTCCTTAAAACACCTTACTAACTAACCGATTGACTGAATGAAAAATTAATCATCTCACCTATTGACTGACCGACTGACTGACTGACTGACTGACAGAATGGAAGTCGAACTGTAAAACGACCCTAGATATTATAGCATTCGAAAGTGTATGAGCTAAATGGAATGAAATGCTTGTTTCATAGCAAAGCGTGCAGCCTTCCCATGCGGAGCTGGCTGTCTTCCGCAGTGTGCCCCAAACTGCCTTGTAGACTGCTGCGGCAGTCCTCCACCAGCACCACCCGACCCACCTCTCCCAGCTGTGTCAGACATGATGAAGCCTCAGCCAGCACCTATCGTTGGACCACAGGGACATCCTGGGTCACAGGGTTCCCCAGGAGTGATGGGACCTGTAGGACCCCCAGGAATTGGCGGAGTCCCCGGACCTCCGGGACCACCCGGACCACCAGGACCTCCTGCACCCCCTGCTCCACCTGCTCCTGCGTGTTGTGCAGTGCCGCCCCCAGGGAAGTAAATCTGTTTTGGAATCGTGTATAACCATCACAACTCTTTTTTATTCTATGTACCAGCTTACCGACTTGATAAGACTTGCAAGAATTGTTGTTTCGCTTTTGAAGTAATGTAACGAAGGTTATGCATTCCATTTTGTTTATCTTTTACGTCCACTTCTAATATTTACAGCATTGACAAGAACACTATTAATAAAGGTTATATTTATGATGGTAATGTTATAAGATTATCATTAGTTTTAATAAGTTCTTTTTATCGCATTAGTATAATGTTGTTTTGCAAGAGAGGTGCTGCACACTACTAAAGTGAAGTTAGTAGTATGAAAGAGAATTCGAAAAGGGAAAATTTACTAACAAGTATAATTAACATTATCTTGTAACATTGACTCGTGCGAGGGATTTGCACTAAATTGATGTAACAAGAGCCAATAAAACGATTTAACAAATAAATCATAGTAGCCTTCATTATCGCTTTGTCTTTTGCGATTTGAATGCTTTCCTTTAGTTTTCACAGCAAACTCTTTTAGCGTTTTGGTACGTCCCATTAACTCAAAAAATTAAATTTGGCAGTATATGCTGGTCGAGAATTGCATGATATTTTCTCTTTTAATAGACTTTGAGTATTTTGGTATCACCTATAACATGTCAGGTTTGTTAAATCCTCAACGTTAGGAAAGAGCTTCCTCAGGCTCTTCGCTGCCCAGCCACTTATGCAGTTTTTATGCGGAAATTCTATAGTCTACCGCTTTCACCCTCAAATACTGATTGACGTAGCGTGATAGATCTTTTCGTGTCCTTAAACCGCGCGCGCTTAAAAATTTGTCACGCTGCATCTTATGAAGTTATCCTACTTACTTCACGTGTCACAAAAACTACCAGTCGTTCTGCTCAACTACAAAACGCACTCGCTCAACTCAAGCGAAGATCAAAAACGACAGCAGTAGAATTAAGACACCTGCAATAAACTAAAACTGTGTTCACCAGTCGTTCCGCTTCAGTGTTTTTATTGTGAAGCAGTTCGCATAAAATGCGCCCACAATCAATATGCCACCTTCAGTTCATTAGGGCAACTGCGCTTTAGCTTTGCGCGTATTTCCCTTTTCATGAAGAATGCAAATAAAATCAAGGCAAGAAGAGACTCGCAATCGGCCCCGTTTCCTACTACAACTCAAGTTGTTCCACTCCTGCGCATGAGCGCGTTGTCAGGTCGTCTGATAAACGTAAGCTCTCAAATATGTTTTGAATTACGTGCTTGAGAGGTTGAGATCACATAATAAAATCATTGAACAACAGAGCGTTAAGCAGTTTGTTTTGAAGGAGGGACTAGAAGGTAGGTCCGTTCATCGTTTGAAGCCGTGAACATATCTATATATGACTAATAGAGTAGTTAAGCTGGAAAGGTATCAAATGAAAGCAGACCACGGAAGACCGTTTACGTAAAAGGCAGAGCCGTCACATCATTGACAAAAGAAAATTTAAGAGTACGGGTCAATAATTCTGTCGAACATTCGTTTAATTCATTTACATTAAATTTCAATTTTGTTTTTGTTTACTTGAGACTAAACATGGATATCCGGATTCTGCTGTTGATTGCCATTGGACTGGTACTGTGTGCCGCTGATCCAATCAAGAGTAAGTAAAAATGCTTATCAGCACATCTTATTTCCTTCTCCATAGCAAAGCCCTTTCGACTCTAAAGAGAGTGTATCTTTTATTAAATGGTTTAGCCGTAAAATTTAAAAGAAAATCTAGAACGACAAACCCACCCTGATGAATTTTGCTTACTATTTGTGCGTAAGAAGTGGGTATAATTATATCTACACAAGGCCTTTCTAAAATCCAAAGATATCACTACATCTGTTTTGATAACCTGCATTTAGACAATTTTGCAAAATTCCAAGAGATAGAGTCTTGAGGCAGCTATTACAATTTTTTTTCCGCCAAAATGACAATTGTCCCCAAAATTCAGGTTGCTACTAGAAAACCTCATACTCAGATTTGTGCAGTGTTTGGTGGAAAATGTAACTAAAGGTTTTCCGATTAAAGAGAATGAGTGACTGCCGTTTAGTCAATTTGAATTGGGCAAAGAATGCTTAAAATAAGCAATATAAATGTAGTCGTAATATGTGGCCTCGTAGTTCCTTTGAAGGCATCAGTGAAGATTGACAGTGTTTTGATTGCTTTTCCAATTACTGGACCATTTTCTTCCTCGCTCTTCTGCTATTATTTCTAACCCTCCACTGTTTTCTCGTGAAAATTATTTTTCTTTTAACAACAGAAATATGCTACAAATGGAAAAATCTGAATATGTCACTTGTTGTTATATCCAAGAAATATCTCTTTGATTAGGCGAAAAGGCGCACACAAAACCTCTGGATGTAAGGAACAAAGTCACCTATGATCTAAGATGGCGGGATTAAGACCGGATCAAGAGGAACTTGAATAATTATCTAGAACTACCTCGAAATGATGAACTAGCTACTTCCTTTACAATCTCAACATATCATGCAGAAAACATAAAATGAAAGCTGACAAACTTAAAAACCGCGAGCAAGGAGGGTTGTCTTGATGAGACAATAAATTTAATGACAGCTGGTGAGATCTTGAGAATTCAAAGTAGTTAGAAAGCTAAACGTTGATTTTGCTTGACATTTCAGCCAAAAGGGATGCGCAATACAATTACATGTATCCTGGTTCCGAAGGATCCCAAGGCCCCCAAGGCCCTATTGGTAACGCGGGAAGACGAGGACCAACCGGAGATCCCGGACCACCCGGACCACCCGGACCTCCTGGACCACCCGGACCACCCGCTCCACCAGGCCCCGCCGGAAGAAGATAGATGAAGAATTTACAGAAAAGAAATGCGAAAGAAATTTTGTACTTCTCTGCATTTCGTTCAATGCTTGTTAGTTCATATTGGAACGAATTAAACTGATTTGAAAGCCATGATAAAGCCATGTGAAATTTCGAAGGAAAAAAAATTAATAAAAAAACCATATCGAAGACTCTTAATCTCTTGTATTTGATTTGACGTATTTATATTTTCTTTCTTATACCACTAAAACTTTGTTTTGTTCTGGTCTTCTTCTGCTCAGTCAATAACATAATAGCATTCAACTATCAGAAATCACACAGAGGGAAAGACTTTTTCCATATTACGTATAGCTATTTCATGTGAAAACGAAGAAACTAACTTTCGAACACCTCGTTAGCAAAAAGTTTTCGACTTCGCTTAGGGTTATTTTCCTAGACTGTTTTAATTCTTGATTTTTGTTGCTGTTGTTGTTGTTTTTTTGTCTGTTTGTTCTTCTGCTGGAAATCTTAATATACCTAACACATTGTGTGCCTGCAGAAATTGCTTTATGGTTCATTCGCTGGCCCACCTCAACGATACTCAATATAAAACAACACTGATTGGACGCTTTTTACCTTAATAAAAACACTCCACAATTGTATAATACCAACCAGTTAATTCAGACTAGAGAGGGACTATGATCATGTTCTATTTCCCGCCTTTACGAAAAGACCCAAAAATGTTGAGATCGTAATTACTGTTTTTTCATGATAGCAGACAGTGAAAGCACAGCTTTGCATGTAATATTCGCAATAATGAACACTACTTAAGCAGTAGTGAAAAGAAGCACTACACCGGTACCGCAGAGGTCATGGGTTCAAATCCCGTACAGGCCTGAACTTTTTTCAGGCCTTCTTTTCACTACTGCGAACGTCGCTATCATATTCACGTCTTTATCCGCAGTTCAAATATATGACTTTCCTATTTCCACAGCCGTTTATTCACCACTTCACGGGTTTATTTGGAACCACCTCCCAGTTGGCTTGTTAGCTCATTTGGTAGAGCATTGCACCGGTATCGCAGAGGTCATGGGTTCAAATCCCGTAGAGGCCTGAATTTTTTTTTCAGGCCTTCTTTTCACTATTGCCTAAGTAGTATTCATTACTGCGGAGATCGCTATCATATTCACGTCTTTATCCGCAGTTCAAATATATGACTTTCATATATTCACAGCCGTTTACTATGCCAAGTTGTTCGAAAAGCGATTAGATGTACTAATCGATGTTCTCGTTTAGTTATCCAAAGTAATCATATGGGCCAATCAGATGAAAGGAAAATGTCACGAGCAGCCAATGAGAACTCAAAGTAAAAGCAGGGAAACTAGCTGAGCCAATCACAACAGAGAAGATCAGAACCAAAGCGATCCCAGGTTGCCTTCGACAATCAATCGAAAATTGCTCTAACGGACTCGGTGTCCAAACTCAGTTAGCTGAGAATACCGACAAAGTTAATTCCTAATTATTTTAATTTTTCTGGTCCGATAATGAGATTTTTAAGTCATTTAATAATCATAAATCGAGGATACAGCTTCTCTGAAAATAAAAATAGTGTAGCCTGAACCGATACGAGCCTTATGATACCTTTTCATCTTTGTCAATACCAGCACGAAAAACCCACCAGCTAAACGCATCACGGGATAAAATGTTTGTTTAGCAGTCTCCGGTTGTGAGCAGACGATAAACGTATATAATGGCCAGATTATCCAACTGATTTTTCAAAACGCTCACATAAGAAAAAGGGTAATTATTCTGCATGAAGGAAGCTTTTACGTTGGCAAGTCTCAAAACAGCCCGGTTCAAAAATGATTGAAAAAATTGAGAGAATATCTAAAATTAAAGTACCAAATCGACCGTAATCTATTATTAATAGCTGAGAATCAGCGATCGCCATTCAAAGAGAATGCAAACGTCGATAGGTTTTCACCGTTGCCATTTTAAGTGTTTGTAAGGTTTTCAATTGAATAAGCTCGCGCTTAGATACACTTTCCAATCTCGGTAAGAAAACGAAAACCTCTTTGGAGTAGCTTTTGAGGCTTCTGTCACCAGTGTTACATTACTTGTTCGACGTTATCTAATATTATCAACACCTTGGCGGATGTTTTTTTCTCTACTTCCATCTACAGTTCTGTCGGTTCTTTTTCAGATTTCATCCTCTTCCGCCTCTTGAATTGATCATCAGTGCATGAGTGATTTACTTAATATAACCGGCACGACATTTGGCCTTCGCTTGCTCGCATCCAAGTGAAATCTAATAACATTTTAGACCTTGCCTGGTCTCTATAAAAAATTGAACGGTTCAAAAGCTAAAGAACAATGGTTTGAACCGGTACCGTGAAGGGCAGGTCAATAACCCTTGCTTATTCTTACATCATGAGTAGATAACGAGGATTATTCCCTTCTATTTCCCCCTGTGGTAAAATAACAACAAACAGCATTTTCTCTTGGGTGGAAAAGGTTATCGGAAGAAGGTAAAACGTGAAATTTAAGCGATAGAGCCATCTTAATTCACCTTTAGCCAGCTCAGAATGTGTTTAAGTCCGTGACGCATTGGAAGGCACTTAAAATTTCGGGTTCGCCCAAGTTGTCCTCAGCTCTTCAAGTTGGTGAACCAGAACACTTCCGAGCCAAAACAATTATGTATTGTACGTAGATCTGAGTTAAATTGTTTCACAACCTATAACGAGTTCTTTCTTTTCAATCCTTCAGGAAAATGGGGATAAGATTTTTCGTACTTGTTGTCCTTTTGGGACTAACACTTTCTACATTAGATGCCAAGTCTTTAAAAGGTAAGAGAATCCTTTCTAAAAATATTTATGGTTGTGTCCTAGTTTCAGTTGATATCATAGAAAGTTTTCAAAAATTTCTGAAGTATCTTCTTTCCTCTCCTGAGAGCAAAGAATTCTTTAAATACACTTCACCGTGTGCAAAGTGTGCAATCTAAACTTGAACCACTTTTGAAGGCCACGGTTGGATTAACTAAACAATTTAATATTTTATCGAATGCAATGTTTCCCTCTTAATCAACTTAATAGGAGGGGTTTTTCAGCGTTAATCTCTTCCCGATAGTGCTATGAAATTTAACTGTTATTTAGTGCGTAACACTGTGACAGTTTGAGAAAAAATAGGTTGAATCAAGCTATCCACAACAAAACGTAAAACCATCTTAGTTTCAACCATTTTAACTCCTTAAATTTGTGAACTGTTGAAGAAGAATACTTAAAACGAAGAATTTAAATTTGCATAGTTTCCGACTTTTCACTTTAGCTAAGTTTAGTTAAGCGGTTTGATCTCTTCTCGAGTATCTGATGATCGGGGTAAAAACACACGTGAGAAGACTGTCTGTGATCTGCATCATAATTGACTTTATGTGTAAGGTTACTTGATACTCACAAAACTCTTCACACAATGGCTATCACAATTTCTCAGAAATGATTAGTGAAAGAGTCAAGTTATTTAAGGGAGTTAGGTATAAAAGTTCTTTTATACCGCTAACCTTCTTTTAATTTTAAATTTCTTTTTCTTCTCTCCCCTACAAAAGGACACAAGAAATCCAAGCACGGTAAGCTCCTTAAAGCTCTCATTCATACGGGGCCCGAGAAAGGTAATCAATGAATCGCTCATTTGCATGCCCATGTTTCAACTGAAATTTGCATGTGGAACGGACACCGTATGTAATGGCTTGTGCAGATTTGCTATGGTTAACGTTACTAAGAAAAGATTAGAACTGCAATTCCCTAATTCCTCACTTATTTTAGACTGCTAAAGCTTGGAAGTGGTTCCAAAAGGTACGGTGATGCTTCCGAAATTTAAAAATGAACATGACAATAATTTGAGCACCTCACAAGATCACGAATGCACCTCTCAATCTTGATTGAAACGATTAAAGGCAGCCGAAACACTGAATTTAATGTTAGAAAAACCTCCTAGATCATGTTTGCTTTACTATGCCGTACGCATACACGGTCAAAGAAACCAAGGTTACACTACTTTCTGCAAGAGCGGCTTCCTTGGGAAAATCGCGATAGTTTCTGGCTTTTTTCGTTGCTTGTCAGAGAAAGGCCGTGCAAAATGTTCTGATTTCTTCTTAATTTGTCATAGACGAAGACACAAAGAAGAATGATGAACCTGCTGCCGAAGAAGCCTCAGGAAGTGCTGCTGGTAAGTGGGTAGCATGTGCACATTTAGGGCTTTAGCCTGTTAAGACGTTTTTTACATGTGGGCAACATACACACACACTTGAGGATAGCATCCGGGATCTGAAAATGGTCTCCACCAACACATTTTCGCCCAGAATCCAGACCTGGCGAGCGTGTCTTTGCTCATCCGCCATTGACTTGGAAAAATAAAACTCAAAACAAAGTTTGATAGGAAATAAAGCAATGCTCAATGCATCTGTCATATCTGCCTTTACTCCCCGCGGACTATTCGGGTTACGTTGTGTCAATTATCAAGCTCAAAACTTTTTCTCGTTCAAACATAATTATAGGTGCATCCGCAGCCGGAAGTGGAGAAGAATCCGGCTCCACCGAAGAAGGTATGCTTGTTTTGTTTCTTGAAATATTGTCCAGATTACTTTGAGCTTTTTTGCCATAAATCACTCAAGGTAATTTGATAACCTCTATGTGGCAAAGCGTCAATTCTCGTTTGTCATAAGAGACAAAAACATGAAAGAGATTAAATTTCTAGCAGAGCGTTCGAGTAGACTTTAGGGTACTCTTGGTGTGTAAAGGGGATTCGAGTTTTTTTGTTTCTTTGATTCGAGGTTTTTGTTTTCCTTACTAAGAAGCAAACAAAGTGTTAATTATTGAAACGAAAAACTTAGACTGCTAAATTAGTTTTGCAATCAGAGGGAGTAATATACAACACTGTTACTATTTCGGCTGGTGCCTAATTGACATTCAGTTCACATTTTATTACTGCAGTAGGTGTTTTCTGTCCACAGCCTTTTGCACAGATTTAATTTCGTTTTCCTTATTCTGTTCTGACAGCTCCACCAACTGAAGGTGAAGGACCACCTCCTCTCGTAGTCCCCACCCCTGCCCCTGAACCCCGAATCTGCCCTGGCACCTGTCCCCAAGTGTGCGCACCAGCCTGTATGGAGAATTGTTGTCAAACACCCATGCCCCCACCCTGCACACCACCTGGTCCTTGCCCTGCTCCCTTGCCGGTACCAATGCCTGCTCCCTGTCCCTCAGTTTGTGCACCAATGAATCTTCCCTCATGTTGCCAAGCTCCGCCCCCTCCACCCCCCTCCCCCACCCCCACCTCCACCACCAGCCGGTCCCCCAGTTGTTCTTTGTGGAACTACCTGTGTTGATGGATGCGGACCGACTTGCCCACCACAATGCTGCAAGCACCACAAGAGAGGACAACTAAAGAGAACCTCGCACAAACACTGAGACTTAGTCAATCATCTCTCAGCTGTAAATAGAACTGTGATGGTACTCCTTGGATGTCCAAGGAATTATATAGCTGATTTAGAAATCATTCCAAGAATGCTATAGTTAATACAATAATTGAACTTTGATAATCAATGATTTTTCAACGAAATGTAATTTAAATTTAGATTGGTTTACGGTTAGGACAGATTGATTTTATAATATGATTTGAAGGAATAAATTTGTTCTGATTAATGTTTTGAGACAAGTTTCTTGAGAATTCTCTGTTCCTCTTCTTGAACGTTTGGCAAGGCTTCCCATCTTTAACTTCTGGCTCAGTTTTCTATGCTTGCATGTTTGACAACAACTTATAGAAAGGAAAGAGGAAGCACATTTTGAAAAGCGAATGACATGATCATTATCGTCTGCCATCGAGTTAAAGCTCGGGAGCCTTGACTCTTTGTAATTTTCACTAAATTTTACACTTTTAGGTAGAATGTATCTACCGCAAGTGCGATCTCTTTCGACAAATTACTGTTTGGCAAAAAGAAATATAGGAAACATAAAGTCTAACTGTTGTCAAAAATGTAAGCTAATCTATTTTCTTTCCTTTCCTTTCGTAGCTGAGGCAACTTCGACACCTAAACTACCATATAAGGTTGTAGGTCCTATAGGGGGACATCCACATCCAGGTCCTCCAGCTGCATACAATCCGTGTCCCCAGCCTCGATACTGCGACCCCGCCAGGTGCAAAGATCCAATTGGATGTGCTCCATCGTGCTCTGAGACTTGCTGTGCCGATATTCTTATTCCACCACCTACTCCACCCGTCGGTTCTGGGGCAGGTCCATGCCCTGATGCATGCGCACCGACATATCAGCCTTCGTGTTGCATGGGTGCCCCTCCCCCTATGGCTACCCAGCCATTTCCTCAACCCGTATATCCCCCTATGGGACCTCAACCAGGATTCGCACCCCCAGCTGGTTATGGTCAACCTGTAGTCATTCCGCAGCCTCCACCTGGCGGATGTGGACAGGGCTGCTTAGCCACAAATTGTGCCCCACCCTGCCCACCGCAGTGCTGTCGAAGAAAGAAGTCAGTGATTCACCACCACGACCGTAAGACGAGATCTTTAACGTCACGCTTTGCAATGTGCCACTAGTCTTTCAAAAATAGATTTACACGGGTCAGACATCGTGGAAGACGAAGCGAGCATGTTTTAATATGCTTATAGTTATCAATCAGAAAAAAAGGTGTTCATACTTCTCTTTCCTAACACAACTTCCCGAGCTAACTCTAGGCTTTGGCTTAATGGAATAGCTAACAATTTGTATTTAGAGAAGGTTATAAAAAATTTGGAATTTAGGAAAGAAAAGCCACACATAAAGACACTTAACTTCAACATTACTGTGGCTTTCGACGACATAGATTATGCCTGTTTCTAGTATAAGGGTCTTGAATGTTGGTAAAACGAAGGTGATTTTCTTTACTACGGTTATACAGGTTTTTCCACATCATAACCCTTAAGAAGACATCTGGTGATATTAAAGAGCCCGATAAGTATCTGCTTCTTGACAGGAGTATAGATAAATTGGGTCTGCCAGACTTTCTTGAAGGTCAAGAGGATTTATTTCTTCTTTCCCTTTTTCGAAAAAATAAAAACGAGTTCATAGTTCAGCAATTTGTCTTGTCTTGTCAAATTTACACTGGACGGAAAGCAAAGAGTGCAAGGTTATCATCCTCTGCTCTTGTGGGGATACATATCATTGGTTGAGAAGAGAGGAAATATACAATTTATTCACAAGTTTCAATTGCTCAACCACACTTCGGTCTTAATTTTCAATTATGGACGAAAACATAATTTCTATCATCCCTGCTCGCAAGTCTGAAACAATTGCCAACAAAAAATGAATAATAGATATCTATGTAATCGTCGCCGATTAGCTCGTAAGCATATAGGAAAACCTCTTTCCTGAATATGAGTCATCACAGAAAAAATCATCATTCACCAGTTGAGGTTGTGCCGTTTATGAACACAACGTCCCCAAAGGAAGCATTCCCCACATCGATGCAAATCAAAGGCTTCCCTCCCAACAAGCTTACTGCTAGTTAAGACATGTAAGATAGTTTGGGTAAATTATATGAACAAAATTTTCCCAGAATGCTCCATGAACCTCGGCGACCCTCGGCTTGTTCCTATTGTTTCGAATCAACACTTACCCTGGAAACCACTATCTTCTAAATCGGAGTTGTAATTTGAGTATATATGGTTTTTTTTTCCAATTTGAACATGTCTTTACTCTCCAAGGTCAACTTTCGTAATACATATTATGGAAGCTTTTACTATAGATTTTCTTCCTGTGTTACAAAACTTTTATTCTTACGGGCTGTAAATTATTCATGAGGAAATTAAGTGCACAGCGCTACTCAACCAAGAGATCGCATAAAGGCTCTGGCATATAACGTAAACAAATTTCAAATTTGGGTTCATTAAGTTCTTGTAAACTTACAGAAATTTCGCTTATCTGGTGTTGAGAAGATTTTACTCTCGCAGGCAGGTAAAATGAAGACATCTCGTAAGTAAATTCAAACTGACCGGTACCTGTTTTAATGGCATTTACTTCACAACTGAGAGAAACGCAAAAAAAGTTTCCTTGCCCCGTAAAATTTTCCAACTATCTTGGTGTTTCTTAAATCAACGCGATCTTAGGTATTGTTGGACTATTTGAAAGCGAAAATGATTCCCTGCCGCTAAAATTTCTTTGTCCATTTTATAAAGTTTTTCCCCAACAGCTTTTTCCGTTCAAATCTCTTATTCCGGGCGACACCTCAAGCAATACCTGCAAATGGATGTTAGAAATTCATGATAGATATCTGATCTAATGGAACAAGGCCTTTTGCGACTGTGCCCTATATACGGCGCTAAGACACGAGCCAAGACGTAGTATTTGACGGCAGTCATTAATTTACTTATTGACTAGCAAGTTTGCTTTTTCTGAGTCATCTGTGTGTTCTCATTGGATAACACGGACTTGCGACATAACGGGTATCTACGAGTAAATGTGGTAGTTAATTATTCATGAGGAAGACCTTTGTGGTAGAGCCATTGAGGTGTCTTTGTTTGATCTTGAAAAAAAACCCTTCAACATATTTCTGACATGATTATCTAAACCTTGAAAAGTTCTTTTTCTACCATAGCCATAGCAAAATCAAATTGCTTCTTCGTCGATATATTTACAAAGCAAAAGAGGTCAGAATGAAAAGATCTATTCTTTGTTTGCTGGTTGTGCTCTGTTGGTCAAGCTTTGCACTAAGTGCTCTCGTGGAGGACCCTGATTTCATAGATGAAAAAGGAAAAGCGCTGAAAAACTTTAAAGGTAAGTGTATCTGTGCTTTATCTCTCCCCCAGAACTATTTACGCCTTGTCATTTTAATAAGGACGAAACATAATTACTCTGTCATTAGTAGAGAATACAAACTTCCGCTCGTGGAGTCATTTCACCTGCGGGTCAATGAGTAACCACAGGGCACTATCCTCCTTTAAACTGAAGCGCGTTGTTTCTTGTTTTGATTGTCAAATTAGGAAAAAAATTTTAGCAAAGGTAAGAAGTCAGTAAATAATTGCACTACATAGAACAATGTCAAATAAACAAAGTAAGTAAGTAAGTAGTTTTATTGACGTAAACGTCGCCAATAATCACAGCCCAGCAGATGATTATGATTCACCGATTGTTCCTAATCAGTCGTCTTCCATTTTAATTAAAGTCATGAGGTGGACATATTTAGAACTTTAGCGGTATGAAATATTCGCCAACCAAAATGGGGTGGTCGTTGTATTAAAGGTGTGAGTTGATTAGCGATCATTATCAACATAATGAAAATAAATCCTTGAATGGTTTCATCTGGACCGTATCAAGGTTAAGCACATCTGACACAGAAAATATCTCCGAAGCCTTAGCCACCATTGCCTTTGTACCGATGATCCAAAGTTCTTCTCGAATCCCCTATGTTTCACAAAGGTAAAAGTTGGCTTCTGAAGCCTCAAATTCCAGTAGTAATGGCATGATTTAATATATATACATTTATGGAAGTTTTTGCCTCCCGACACCAAACGGTGACTACAACCCATTTTGGTTTGGAAGGTGCGCTCAATGAATAGTGAATGCGCTTGAATACAGAGCGAGAGATCGGGGTTCGAACCCTCTCTGGTTCATCGCGTTGTGTTCCTAGGCAGACACTCTACTCTTGCACTATCAGAAGGCTTTGTAGAACTTCGCGATTTGATAGGGGCGTCCTACAATATATTAGCGAGCCATTTAGGAGGATAAACAATGTTTCTAATCAATTATGCTTAGAAACCAGGATACGCTCCGATGGTACTTAGAAGCCAGGTTCGTAAGATTTAACGTGCGTATTGTCTAATTTAAAAATTGAGGGGAAAACGCATCCTATATCTCCTTCTAAGCACTGGTCGTATCTTCTAGCTTCAGATTATTCCAGCTGAGTTTGTTTCGTCTTGTTTTTGACACCAGAATCTTGAACCTGATTATGGCCCCATAAGGAGTGCCCTATTAGCTAACGAGAGATCTTAAATTGAGACATTTGCAAGACCAAACTTGATTTTACTTTATGCTTGTTTTCCTGCTGGTAAATGAAAGACGCCTCATTTTATTTCGCGCAGTGGTTCCAGGCTCAAGAAGAGACAAAGTAGACTACCACAACGTAGAACAAGAGGCAGGAAGAGCTGTTCTTAAATTGCTTGACGCCAAAATAGGTAAGTTTTTGTTGATCCAACGACTAATTCGGCTTACTCGCAAATATCTTTTCTATATTTGACAAATATTCACCGAAGTGGAGGCAGTTAGTGATGGATATTTACCGCGCTAGCCACTGATAATGAAGTAAATTGTTGTTTTAGTATATTCTAAAACAGTGAAATGATACAGCAAAAAGTACGATTGAATCTTATTTGTTCATGAAATGATTTTACTACTTTCGAGCCCAAATCCCGCGCGCGTTTCTCGAAGGTGAATAGCAAGAGAATTGGGAGTTTGAGTAGCCAATCAGAGCATGCATTGAACGCCCTCCATATATACTAAATATGGATATTCCTTTCTTGGAAGCTAATCTAAGACAACCATTAGTTTTCAGCTTTGCAACGTTTATGTCTCGTCATTTCTAGGAAAGAAGGTTAATGACGCTGCAAAAGAGGTCACAGATTTCCTAAACGACGCAGTTGGTGAGAATTATACTAATTTTTCTTTTGTAAAAGCAGGCGCCCAACACTTTCTTACGGCTGTAGCACAACTGTAACACAACGAGTTAACCTTTTAACCTCTAAGCGTGACTGGCATGTAATCTTCCCTCACAATATTCAAGCATAAGCTTAAGGGAATAATGGAAACGATCTCTAACTAAAGGAGTTCTTTCTTGTCAAACACTAAAATTATCCTCGATAGCACCTTAGGAAATTTATAGTGATTAGTATGGAGAACATGTTGGGATGTAAAGGGCTTTGCGTTTTAAGAACGTTAATAGGCGCGTACTCAATGACTAAAACAATTACTTCCGTTTTCCGTGTTTGTTAGCCTCATTCACACATGTTCACGCAGTAAAATCTTTGTATTCATCGTGATAAGGTGCTACCACGCACAGTAGCATCATTAATGTTATGCGTGTGGCTAAAGCCATTTCTCACGAGAATTGAAATTTTATAACATATAAGTCGAGCCTGACTTTGAATTTCATTTAAATTAGGCACAACTCCGTCATCAGTTATTTAAAAGTAGGATGGATCAAAACAGCCTCGTATTAAGCGTCGCTACCACTATGTATATCAGACTTCAGTAACCCACTTTAGAAACATTTTTTAACTGACTCACTGAACAACCAAGGTATTAGATTCAGAGACTTTAAATTGTTAGTAAGCTCAATTGAATGATATATCACGTCCTGAACTAACACTTCACCCAAAATGGTGGTCATGTCTACAGGTCATCACGCCCAACAAAGGACAAAAGATATACAATCCGACAAGCAAAAAGGTAAAAAATTACCAGATGCCTAATATCTTTTAATGAAAATGGAAAACATGCCGTAAAGATATTTAATTACAAACTTACTTCTCTCTCAGCCCCCCTGCCCCCGCCCAACTGTCGTTGATTATTTGTTTTCATCGGCTCTCACTGATTTCTTTGCCTCACAAGGTGAAGATTGCTAGAATGACTGGCATTTTTTTAACACAATCATGGTTGGCGTTTTGCGATTGAAATTATCAGTATCGTATCTTTCTACACCTTGCAATTAAAGTTCAAAATGAAATATTGTCCATACTTGTTCTCAATATTTTTATTTGTTTGTTTTTTTTGCATCCTTATAAACAGAAATGTCCCTTCTTCACCTTGGGGCAAAGAAAGTTCTCGACAATAAAGATGAAGAAAACAAGCCTAAAAAGAATAAAGATGGTTCCTTTCTTGTGCATTTTAAAGTCCCATATATTGTGACACCTGTCGATGAGAAGAAGAAAACAAAACCAAAGAAGTATCATCACAAACACGGGAAAAAGCCACATTTGAAGAAATACCATCACCGCATTTTGCATCACGGACATCATCATCACCACCATCATCACCCAGCTCATGCAGCAGATGCAAGCAAACTTACGCAGCAGACTCCACAAGCCCCATACAATCCGCAAGGTGAGAGAGCGACGTTGGCTGAAGTCGCTTAGCAAGTGTCTTAGCAGTCTTTGCATTGCAACAATCACTGCATGCTTGAATATTAACCAAGTTTCCATGGTTACATGGATGACTGTTTGCATAGCTGCAAGTTGCATTGCTGTATGGTTGCATGATTGCAGTAATTCATGTTGGCATAACGCGTTTCACTTTTTAACCCTTTGGTTAAAAGGCTTAAATTATATTGTCGTTTCCTTACAGCACCTCAGGCGCCGCCCTCACAACCCAACTACAATGCTATTGATTTAAGCTTTAACGGTTACAACTGGACTTACCAGTATAGTAATGACACCAGTTCGGACATGATACCCTGTCAGGGAAACTGCATGGATCCTTGCACAACACAGTGCTCCATGAGGCAAGATTGCTGCTGCTGTGATCCCAATATGATGGCTCAAACCCAGGCCCAAGCAGCTGCTCCGCCTGCTGCACCAGTGTACCCTCCAGTAAGTTAATAATGTTCCTTTTGACAACAACTGACTTACACTTTTTACTCTGATCAAAAACAAACACGAAAAGATCACACAAGCTCTCTGGTGGTCTTCCTTGTCATGTTACATTACCATTCATAATCCTGGGTTCTGACTGACTAGTGCCGTCGTTAAGTGTTAGATCACACGTGATGTGTTAAAAATCGTAAAAAAGGCATCAAAAAAGATAGGAGGATAAACTTTTACACTGAATTACCTTTTAGGTTCAGCCAATGGCCCCTATGGCTCCACCTCCTTTCCAGCCTCCTCCTATGCCAGCATTCCCTCAATCGCAATGTCCCTCGGCCTGCAAAAGAAACTGTTTTACGTACTGTCCGCGTGATTGCTGTGGAGTAGCAGGGAAAAGGGACAAGGTTACAAAGAAAGGAGCATCAGAAAGCGAAGAGGAAACCACCGACAAAGTAGAGAGCGACGAAGCAAGTGGTGATGAGAGAGTAACTGAAGAAGAGACCGAACGACAGCATAAGGTGGAGGATGACATCAAAATACCAGAAGAGAAAAATGAAGAGCAAGAAGACAGTGGAAAGTCTAAAGAACAAGCAGATAATGAAGAAACCTTAGAAGGAAGCTCGGAGAGCAAAGACGACAACGAAAATGACGATTAAGTTTCGAAAAGGGTTGTCCGACACAAAACGATTTCATTGGATTGAACTTCCAAGTGGCTCGAGCTCGTATACTAGAGTCGGCAAATCTCCGGAAAGAATGCAAAGGACAATGTTTAAGACGGTTTATACATACTTAATTTGTTCCGTAAACTTCAAAACCTCCCCTAAGTGTCGGCTGGGGTTACTCCCATGCCGAAATGAGACCTAACTTACTAAGCTCTAACTTTTACAAAGTGTTAAGCTTACATCAAAGATGATGTCTGTTTCCAACACATTTATGAAAGCATCTGGAGGGATGAGATATTGTTGTAAAGTACCTCAGGGAGAGAGGTTGTGATTTCAAAATGAACCTCGACTTTTAACCGTTACTGCTCTTTGAAAAGCCTTGAAACTTTCAGTGCACTCAATACCCCCAGGTCAATACATTGCTGATTATATAGATCTTCCTTCAGAGGAGACATTTCCTATAGTAAGGTGCACCTGTAAAAATCTATAAGGTAGGGTGTGTATATCAATGAAGTAGCTAAAATGAAAAATATTTAATAGGTTCAAATAGGGAAATGTAAAAGAGATTGTGTTTTGCCCCTTTGATCAGTTTGTAAAAAGATATTTCTTTGACTTAATTAAACATCAAAACGATATTTTATTTCTCTCAGTTATTGCGGTTTTCTTGAAGAGTTTTCTGGGCAATATCGAAAACTTGGAAATAAAACTTTCAGAGTAATCACGAAGAATGACGCCATTATGCTATTGCATAAAGAATTTCGTATGCCAAAACAATGCGTCGTGAGTTTTAGGTGAAAAATTACAAGTTTTTAACGAATGTTATTTTAAATAAAAAAAGCTGCCCTTTAAAAGTCGACGAGAAGGCAATATGTGCAAAGCAGTGTTATATTCCGGTAAAAGGAAATGCACAAAACCTTTCAAAACCTGCAAAAAAAATCCCGGATAAAGTTACCGGAAGCCACGATAGCTTGTAATTCTTAAAGTTCGCAGAGACCAACCAACCATCGTTTTGCAAAAAAACAAAGAAAGAAAAGAAGATGATATTCTGTTGGTCTATTTTGTAAGTTATTTACCAGTCTGACATCAGGAAATAACCATGCTGCATAGGTTTTGTTTTGAAGTTATCAACCTGTAAACTGCACGCATCAGCGCGCTCATAAAGCGTCCTCTTCGCGAACCGTCTTTTGTTGAAGCCGGTGGAAACGTTTTTTGCGTTTTTCATATCTGCAAAGGAAAACTAAACTTATATGAAACGTAGTAAACAGTAGATGAATTTCTCACATAATTTTCCTCCCAAAAAATGTCCCAGTGACATGCGACTGGTGGCGTATTTTTTTATTTGTTTCGTTTTCGTACTCTAAACAAAAGATGAAAGCTTTTTCGAGTTCATCTTCTTTCCTACACACGCTTGACAATTCATGGTCCCTGTGATTTGGAGCACGTGGTTCATGTGTTAAAGTCTTTGACCCCAGTCTACACCACAAGCAAAGTTTTTTTAACTTGTTACCCAAAGCCGTTAGCCGTGCAACTTTGACTCTGTTTACTCGCTTGGTTAACTTATCTCTTGATTTATTAATACTACCCAAAGACGACGATTCTCTGAACGCACATCAGTCTCGATAAGCTACCAAGTTTTTTCAAAGCGCGTCGAAGTCCAACGAGGGCCAATTTTTTGGCCATGATTGTATAGCTTTTGAATATTTTTTTTAATCATCTGTCAAATAACGTTTCATTTTTTTTCCGTGGAGGATCATCTAGTCTGATATTATGAAGTCAAACAGTTGTTTTGCTGTTCCACTTCTTCTGTGTTATTTTATATGGATCTGTGTCAGCAAAGAGACAACACAAAGACCCGAGAAGCGATTTGACATCAGAGGTAAGCTTCAGCGGCTATCCAGTACTAACTTGCCAATAGCATCACTCTAGTAACCTCATAGCGAAACTCAAACGTCCCTCTTCGCCACAGTCATCGTTGGAAAGTAAGTCATAAATATTCATGCAAATACCATCCATTTTACCACATATAATTACTCAGATCTCTCGAATTGCTCTTAAGAATTACAATTATGTCTCATACACTCTTGTAGACTTTGCCGAGAAATCTACCAACGAGAGTGAGGATAGTTTACACTGAGGATCAAAATTGGCGTTCACTCTTAACGACAAAACATTTCAGTAATTCAGCCGGTATTGGCTGGTATTTCCTTAGTCGTCAAAGTTTTTGATTCCCAAAATCTTGTTATCCGGTATTAGCGAGCTTACACTTAATAAATATCTTGCTTTTTCTCGTCCTTTAAATTACTTCCTTCAATCACTAAAATTAACTTTGGTTGCAAACAAGTGTTCTATCATGTCGCCAATGTTTACCCCGAGGACGGACTTCATATTTCTTGGATAATAAATCATCGGATTTATATGTCATCCTGCGTTCTATGTAGCTGTGAAGTGAATGGATTTCCTCTTCAATTTATTAGAATTATCACCACAAAACTTGTTCCCGACTAAAGAACTGAAAGTCTCTTCAGATGGAAACTATGGAAATACTTCATTGCTTTACTCGCAAAAAATCATCATCATCGCAGTGAAATTTTCTTGCATTCCTTGTTCTCTTGTGCAAACAAAAATCTGATCACTTTCATTGTCCATTCAACAACCTCAATTCTAGAGGGAATTTGGAGTGAAGTACACCGTGCCATGTTTCCGACCAGGGTGCATCTTTCCCACTCAAAGAAAACACCAGCAAGAATCATTCGCTGAATCACTGAATCACAGCTAGACTGTTAGCCAACAATCACAATTCTTGACTCTCGGGCAATAACATCATACTTTTATTAATGATATCTTACATACTTTAAAATTTGAGCAGTTAGATTATCATAAGTACAAATCAACAAATGAATCAATCTCTCTTCGTCCTGTGACTGACTGGTGACAAATTTATCCCCCCGAAAAAACGGCGGGTACTGCAACAATTGGATTTAATCCTGCCTCTCATACTGTTCAGGTACTTCCACTAATTGAGCTACGATGTCTAATTTTAGGAGCATATACCATCCTTAATATAAAGTCATTCTGAAACAGAATTTGCAGTCGTACAAAGAAATGTCGCAAAAACCATTTAGCATTAGACGCAGGGCAAATTACTCGGCTTAGAACCTAACTTTACTCAAATTTAACTCAGGTTAATCTCGTGGTAAGCTGCAAGTGTATATTATATTTATAATTTCTTGTCTAAATCCTTTAGGAAAGGAATGGGTAGCAGCACAAAAAATTATCAACAAGTTGGTTGATGAAAGTATTGGTAAGTTCTTAGCAATTGTTGTTGTCATGTGTGTTGTTCAGTGTTGTTCAGTGCTTCTTGGCTTAAGAACAAACAGACGTAACTACAGATTTAGGTTTCAGTCTTACTAAGTTTGCTTTAATATCAGTTTATTTATTATAAAGCTAACAGGGTTTCCGAGGCGGAGCATGATGTTGAGCGTTTACTGGAGTCCAATATTGGTGAGCGACTTCTTTAGCTTTCAACTTTTAAATCGTTAGTTATTTTTATCGGTCTGTGTTAATCACCACTTAAAGAGAAGTGTAATAGTGGAACATAGTCTATAGATTAAGCTAGGCCTAAAAGTAGTTTCTTTGTTGGTATATCATACCTGGCTTACAGTATTCGAATTGACATGGAATATCATCATCACTGCTGTTGTGGTTCAGTTAAAAACGAATCATAAAGAAAGGCTTACCTCCCAGGAAAAGATGATGCGTCTATTTTCCAACTGAAAACTCTGTTATCCATAAGGACGTACCATTCTCAGAACCGAGGACAGTGTTGAGCAAAATATCTTGACGAAAGCGCCATTTCGTTTCTACGTCATCGGAACACTGCGGGCACATTAGTCAGTGATTGACAAATGTTTCGTGTAAATTATTCACAAGGGAGCCTCAATTGAGGAGAACACTAGAAACACGCTGAGCATGCCAAGTCCACGCTGAGCGTCCAAGTCCCAGACTTTCCATATCAAATCAACAATGATATGGGGCCGTGCCCAGCAAACCCTATATAAATCAGACAGAAACATACATGTGACGACCCCATCAACAAGTTCATTAGAAATTTGAGTTACATCTTATCCAGATTGTAGTTAAGTTTTTCCCCTTGAAAACGGTTTTAGAGCAGAGAGTTCTTCTATTTAGTCGACCAGGCTAGATTCGAAAGGTTTTTTTGAGCTGGACTTGATTGATCGACATAAAAGCGAATAATCTTTAATACGTTTTCATTTCAGCTGATCACATCAAGAAAACTGGTAAAACGCTCCTGCGAAAGTTACCAAAAGGTGAGTAAAACTGTACTTGATTCAGCTTACAACGATAGAAGGCACATACACTGGTTCTTAATGTCACTTTCAAGCTTTATATTTTTGCGAACTCTATGCACTAGGGCGATGTAAGTTATCATGAGCCATGTATACAAATACGTAATTAGCCTATAACTCCCATGAGTGACCAAGACAGAACTTCTCCTTACAATATCAACGCGCTATCGAGCAGACGAATGATAAGAATAAAGAAAATATAAATTATGGGATACTTAGCTTATCCAATACCAAATTCTCCAAACTTACATCATAGGAACTGTATGGAAGACAGTAAGGAGAATTACATTGAGATCTTGAGAGTGAAAGTGTTAAAGAGCTCATTAAATTGAGGCCTAAATGGTAACAAAACATATAGTTCATAGAGAACTGAGTATCAAAGGTTTTCCTTCTCTTCAATATTTTTCATTATTACCGAGCAAAACATTTTTAAAAATGATTTGAAAAAGTAAAACAATTTAGCCCCATGAGAGATTTGAACTCTCGACCCCTGGTTTACGAGACCAGTGCTCTAACCACTGAGCTAACGAGGCCATCCACGACAATGAAATAAATAAATTTGATCGACTATGGCTCGGGGGGGGTTTTTACCGACAAGTTTTACTTGAGTGTGATTTTTTGGGGAGGAGGGGGTAGTGGAATTGACCACTTAATAGATATTCAATGGGGGCTTACAGTGTTCAGCCGTGTTAAACGACTCGCCAAGTTGATTGGAGATGTACTTGAATATAAGAGTTCGCAACTGAATTCTCCTCACAGAATGTACAGATAAAATTGAGCACTGCTCCGCTCTCGCCAAGTCTGGAGTTTGCAAGACATCACCAAAGGCCATGCATCAACATTGTGCGAAAACCTGTAACTTATGCGGTAAGTCATAGGTTATGATAGGTGATGATTGTAAAACTAAAAACTAGATAATTGTTGAGTTAAAAAGCCTCGACTGAAGTGGTTACTGCTGACGTAAATTCTCGGAAGGAGTTACAATTTTATCTTCTATTTCAAAGTAATGAGTGGATATAAGTCTATTGAAAGAGTAAACTTTTACTGTGACAATGCGTTAAAAAAAAATTAGTCGCCGAAGATTTCTTTTCAGCCAAATATTGATGAGTTTTTCATTCGTTGTCTCTTTGTATGCCTTCATTTACCGGGTTTATACTACTTTCCGTCTTTCCGCACTGAGGGCGAGGAATTCTTGACAACACTTTATAGAGGGAATCATTTATGTAGGCTTGAAATCATGGGCTAACCTATGGCTCTCTCTGTTTTAAAGAGGACAATTTCTTTGATGCCACACCCCACATCGCCATCGCGCTCAAGAAAGAACCTGAAAAACTCTTAAAGAAACAGCCAGTTGCCCCGGTCCTAAAAAAGACTTATCACAAATCTTTAAAGGATAAAGTAGTGCCAGAGAAACCAAAAACTGAACAGTCTACGAGGAAGCATGAATTAGCAGGAGAGGGATTTATTCCGGCTGATACGATCAAAATCCTTCACTCTATAGAGCCACTTCTGTCACAGCAATCCAAAGGGGTTATGAAATTCCATGAAAATGACTTGAGCCCAGAAAACGAGAAGATCCGCGATGCACAGAAGCTGCTAGAGTATGTAAAAGTTCTCAACCCACCGAAGAAGATGGCCATCCTTGAAGCAAAGGTATCTTTAGCAAACGACAAGAAAAAGTCTACTACTAAGAAACCAAAAAAGATTGTCACACACGAAGATAAAGACAAAGAACAAGAGGACAGGGAACAAAAAGACGAGGTGAAAAAAGAAGAGAAGAAAAAACCCAACCACGCACCCAAATCGAAAGTTGCAAAGAAGAAGCTTAAAGTTAAGGGAACACCGCTGACAAGTTTATCAAAGACAGTGACTTACAAGAATCACAAGTACAAGATCACACCAGTCGTGGACTGGGAGCGAATTTCTAAAATGCTGGAAAGTCTTGGCTACAAGGCTGTTCATATTGTTGGCGTCAAGGACAAAAGCATCCACAAAGATCTTACGGAACATCTTAAAAAGCACGGGGTTGACAATATTTTGTCACACAAGATAAAAGGAAAGGCCGCTGCGGAAACGTTTGTGTCAGCTGTTCACCGAGAAAAATCTTGGCATAATGGTAAGGTTTTTTAATGATAAAGGTTGTTTATTCTTTAGTCCTGTTTTTGCTATTTTGATGGGGAGTCTGTCGAAAAAGGGGGATTGGCAGGTACTCTCAATACTTTTAGACCAACAAGTCACCTGGAGATGAAGGATGAAGGTTCATACTTTAAACTTTGGAAGTATTAATGAATTCAATCTCAACTTATAATTGTCGGTTAATTATAACTGATATTATTTCTGTTAAGGTAACGATGAACTCATAAAATGTCCATCTGTACAAATTTGATCCCTCACTACCTGATGTCTGTCGCTTTGTTCTCGAAATTGTATCATTTGCGAGATCATTCGGAATTTGAAGTGCAAATCAGTTATCATGGTGGCTTCTTCTGGTATAAAACATGATCAAACACTAAGAGTGTTTATTTTGCAGACGAATATTTTAAGACACACTGCCATCCAAAGTGTCTCACGAGCTGCGTATCCTCTTGCATGCCGGGATGTTGCCGCGAGCACGACAAGGTTTCAGTCAAGACAGGTCTCGCCAAACATTGCCACGCATCCTGTTTGACGAACTGCCTGCCATCCTGCGGTAGCGGCTGCTGCTCGGCTGACGAGGAGCGAAAGAGGGGCCACCACTTCTTACATTATCAGAGGATAAAAGATTACCACAAGGCTAAGGATGAAGCGGCTTCCAAGCAGCACGACCAGCCCAAAAAAGACACTAAAAAGCAGGAAGACAAAGTGAATCCCAAATGCCATCCGCAGTGTAAAGAAACGTGTATTTCGTCCTGTGGCAAAGGCTGCTGCACAGACGAAGGCGAGAGGTTGAGAGACGAGAATGAGAGAAAGATGAAAGATCAACAGGAAAAATATAGGAAGGAGAAACAAAAGAAGCTTCTGGAAATGTACAAACCTCAGCCCAGGCTCTGCCCGGCGCCGTGTCCTCAGGTAAATGAGCTGAAAATATTTTTCCGCGGTATCAAAATTGAAATTAAAAGATTTCAAAAACCTTTAATTGTTTCCTGATATAAAGGGAACAAATAAGATTAAGAATCTCGATTCCTGGTCTACAGAATCAGTAGTCCATCCAATGAGCTTTCATGGCGACACCGCTGTGACAATCTTCTTATGAAATTTAATATGGAGGTAAAACTCTCAGAAAAAATATTCTGCCTGTTGAAAAGAATAAGGAACCCCTATCCAGCGAGGGACCATCCAGAAAAATGTAATGGGTCAATAACTGAAATCTGTAATGTTTTACACAAAGATATCAAGTTGTTTTGCAGTCGTTTTTTTTTTCTTTTTTTATATTTGTTGCTTTCCTTGTTTTCATGTGCTGTTGCTGTAGATAGTTACCATTCTCCTCTCCTCTAAATTTCGTGGCTGTTAACGTTACTACTCCTGCTGCTGGTGGTGCTCTTACAACTGTTTCTGCTTAGAAAGTATTCACTTCATCTTGCCTTTATTTTTTTTTCACCTTCTCCCTCCTTCTTTTAGGTCTGCGCTCCGGCTTGTGCTGATGACTGCTGCGCCTTTGGAAAATATGCCTCACCACCTGCGCCAGGAATCCCTGCTAGTGACCAACCCCATCCTGGTCTGACCCCAAACGTTCCATATCCCCACTCCAAAGTCATTCCTCTAGAGGCCTATGCCTGTAAAGAAACCTGCAAGTTCTCTTGCACTTACGACTGTCCCCGCGATTGCTGTCAACCGGAAGAGCTAGCTCAGGAAGAAGCTCATGAAGCTGCCGCTCTTGCACCTTCTGCTCTTTCATCTCCCGCTATAGAATCTCCAACCACAATAGGAGCGCCACAAGCTATGGCTTATCAAGACCTCGCTCCTGCGATGGGGACATGCCCGAGTCCCTGTCCTGGTGGTTGCTACCCCTCCTGCACTGTGGCTTGCTGTACGTCAGCTCTGGGCCTTCCCCAAGAAAATCAGGCAGAGTTGAGCCCAGAGGCACGTTCCTCCACTAAAAGAGTACTGCATATTACTCACCTGGTGCGACCAATCACGAGTTTAAATGGATGCGCATTATCCTGCGCCACACACTGTACACCAGCATGCGCAAGATCTGGCTGCTGTGATTCGTCGAAAAGAAAGAAAAGATCTGACTGAATCGTTTCGTGACGAAAAGAAGAAAAAAACATTGCATTTAAAATCCATTCATCTTAAACAATGATCGGGATTAAAGATGTAAATGCTGTTCAGCGGAAAACCCTAAAAAGACGAAGAACTTTTAAAAGTACCGCACATTAATGCCAAAGAGAGTGTAGGAGAAACGATAGTTGCTACACTCCATAGAAACAAACTTAACATAGAAGTTATCATACATCCTTTTCCCCTTTTTTTCTATTCTTAAAAGCCTGCTTCAAGGCTTTAGAAATAAATATTGTGACTCACCAATACAGATTTAAAAACGTAAAAGTTTGTTGAGTACAAATTTAAAGCTATAGATATAATATATAAAGATCAACGAATCGAGAAATCTTTTCACATTTTAGGTGTGTTCTAAAGATATTGAAAAGAATTTTGCTCTATATGTCAAACGTATTCTATTCTTGTACATTACCATAAATGGTTGCACTTATCAATACGATATTTCTTTAAAAAATAAACTCTTTATATTATGAAAACTCTCTTTTGACAACGTTTCCTTTGCTGATGCGATCTCGAATGGCAAAAAAAGTGAAAAGCTTGCCCCAATTCTGTATGCTGGACTCAGAATGCTGAGTTTTATTTTCATTTCCCTGCCGAGGACTTTTGTTTGGACTTCTTAGGCGATACGCTATTCCCCCCTAGTGTTCCTCGCCACGAATGAGTGTGAAAATGATACCGGAGTGTTGACAGGGAAACTTGAGTGAAGCCACGTCCAGGAGAAATAGGAGAAATTTTGTCCTTCAATGCCCAGAAAATTGTTTGATTTAATTAATCGTGCCTGAGTGTGTTAATTTTGCAAAAAATTGAATAAGGCGAGTAATTCATATCCGGTTTTGGCTAGCACTTATGCATGTAAAAAGAGTGATTTTATTGTTAGGTTGAGAGAACCCTTGCAAAGGACAGTTGTTCTAAGGTTTGAGTGGCCAATTCAACAACCTGAGTGGAATTCATCATCAGTAAGTAAGGATCAACGTTTACGGTATTGAATCCAAGCAAATGGCCTGGACAGATGAATGAATAAATTAGATAATAGAATGGTGCGATTAATGAGCTTTATGAACAGGCGACGTGCAAAAAACAACCCAATTAATTACTATGAGCACCCCTTAAGATCAAAGAGCTCCAAGTAAGCTCATCAAATCAACCACAACCGCTGGGAAAACTGATCGCAATCAACTAGGATAAGATAATTTATTTAACGTCAATTACAAAGGGAGTGGTCTCGCAATCTCTTGAGCGCGAAGCTCATGATATCAGTGTTCGATAAGCTATACAACTATGGACTACAAATGCTAAAAACTAAGAGAAAAAATAAAATTAATACACTTAAGATCTATAGACTACCTATATCTGCATAATTAATTGGTCAAGTCGGAAGGTAATTGTGTCATAGCGAGTAAGAGTATTCATGAGTATCAGAATATGAATCTACTTAAGACAAAAACTAGGTACTTTTAATGTTTAGTAGAAATTTACTTGAAAGTAGGGGAGGAAAATTTGGATAGGATTAGATGGTCTGTGCTTTGATTTTGGCTCAGCTTCCAAGCTCCACTCTACATTACCTGACCTTAGTTTTGCAAGTATAATCATATCTAGTATACATTGATTACAACGAGTAAATAGGAAAGTTTTGAAATCTTGATAAAGTATTACCACCATTAAGCATTGAACAATAATCCCCGTAGGATTCTGCATTGTTTGTAACTCTTACAAAGAAAATCAATTACGATCCGATTAGGTATAACCACTTTCAGTTATTTATTGTCAAAGGAAAAGGTGAAAGCCGTTTTCTTCGATGATTTTGTGAGAAGGAATCAAAGGTCATCCCATGATTACAACCGGCCCGTCAGAGGACCTTCGATGATTAAGGTAGTAGAGTTCAGATAGTGCTGCACTCTAAAGCAGTCACAGTACAGTGCATTGTGAGGCATGAATAGACACAGGCAGAATTTTGTGACATGGATTATCCTTTACACTGCACTTCCCCTCCATGCACCACCCAATCAAACACTTCAATGTATTATTAACTGTAACATAAGAGGCCAGTGAAGCGTTTATCTTGTAATATCATTGGCAACTATTTCTCTCAATTGATAGCACGATTACAAACTTGGCAAAACCTTTGATGTATTTGGTTACAAATACAATGCAGTTACACAAAGCACAAAATCCACTTTAAAGAAAACTCGCACTCAGACAAATAGACGAATGATATGATTACACGCCTTGTCCTTGTAATCTCCTGGAACACAAAAATCAATGGAAAGGAGCAATTATGTATTTGCATCCTTCACATGACAACCATTTGACGCTTTATGTGAATTTTTGTCGCTTTATCCACCCAGGTCAACCCCAGCAACATTGTTTACACTTATTTGAAAATTCCATGTCCCTCTCGGTCGTTTATCACTTAAACACCCGTTAGAACGAATAGCATTTCTTTATCACCGAGAACAATGGCTCGTAAATAAGTTATGAGTTGTCTTGAACAAAGGATCACAAAGGAATATCAAAGCTTTCGTGTTGGCAACATCGAGACGCCTTAGGAAAGGATATTACCGAAAGCAAAAGGGTAAGAGTATCTCTTGCGTTTCTGGAAAAAATTCAAAAACATCACCATGCTGTGAATTAGATTAACCCACATTTAACTGGGCTAAGGAGAGTCCCCTAAAGCGTTCCTCAACAGCCTCGCTTGAAGGTTTTAGAACAAAAGTCAACTAATGTTATTTTGCCCTAAAAATCTCGATTTTTTATACGAGTATTGAATCATTTTTGTAATATCTTCGTTTTATTAAAAAAAAAAACAGCCCATGCACGATTCCCAGATTCTATTCGACTACGTTTCACAGACAATCTTCTAACCACTCAACTTTGGATTTAAATTGAAACACAACAATTAGCAAGAAAATCACACTATATTTCATTTTTTTTTAATTTGAGAACAGAAATCCCATTTGAATTACTTGCTCTTTTTCTTCAGATGGACAAGAGACTGCTGAGTATCGGGCTACTTCTTGCACTGGTTTTTATCCTCTCAACATGGACTTCTGAAGCGAAACATCACAGTAAGTTAAATGTTTAATTTGCATACGAACCTTTTACAAGTCCAACCCTTGTCTTGATTATGCTAATTTTGCCACAAGACGGGAAAAGCGCTTAATTTTTGTCGCTTACCAACCTTTTTTTTTTTAACTCCCTTTGGAGTTGATTCAATAAGGTTTTTGTTTAGTTTAAGCGATCAGTTACAGAGCTGATAATTCTAATAGATGAGCAGAGGCCATTGAAGTTGGCCACCACCTAGGTAACCAGGCATTTAAAAAGCTGAAGAACAACAATTCTCTCAAGTGGTTTAATATTTGCTTTTTGGTTATTCACTGAACCAAAGATCTGATCACTGAACCAAAGATCTGATCACTGAACCAAATGATCTTTTGATAAGATACTGACCTAAGGAAGAAAATAATTACTTGTGCTGCTCGGACAATTTTCTGACCCAAGACACTTACAAGTTCATCCAACATTAGCAAAGCCAATTCAATGTTCCATCAGACATTTAAACATAACTGTGTGGTAAACGCGATAATTCTGATGATATAGTTTCGCTCTAACAATGGCTGAAAATCAATATAGTTACCTTAAGCAAGAAACTAAATAAACTAAATGAATTATTAATTTGCGGATTCTATATTTCGTTTAGGTGCTCTATTGAAAGAGCCTTAAAAACTGTTATAGCACTTTACGTGTGTTTTGAACAGGCATTATTACGCAGTTCTGTAATGGAAATTAGAGAATGTTACCCCATAAGCAACGATTAGTTTTCTAGCGATTCGAACAATAAAAATTTATGCCTCTTTAAATCAGTTGCTAAAGAAATTACGATGACATACCCATACCTCAGATTCATAAAAATTCCAAATGTATCTGTTTAAATGTGATGACATATAGCGAAACTGACATCGTTCTATAAAAGCTTCCAGCAACTGCTGAGTGCATTCTAGAATGTAGTTTACAATTTGATTAAAGAATTTTGAAAAATAACAATCCAGACCAAGTTTAGGCCATGAGGACCTAACTCAAATAATAATATTAAAGATTTAAAGGAAAAATATTGTAGAAAATGCAGGCTTCCCTTATCGACCATTCTGGTGTTAGATTGTAGTTTTCTCCCGTAATTCAAATGAAAACAATAAAGATACAGACTGAAAATTGTTGTCGAAAAGTGAGGCTTGTCTCTATCGACCATTCTCTATTTAAATGATAGTTGTCTCGCAAAAGTTAAGCTTAATACTCCACTCTGTATCTTTAATAGGACATCACCATCTTAAAAACATACTTCGACACAAAATTCAAAAACACGAAACGGACAAGAAAGTGAAAGCCAAAGCAGAAGATAAAGCAGAGGATAAACCAGGTGGTAATTATGAAAAAACGCATACATCATGTTACCTTGTTCTTGGAAAAGATAGAAAATCTAATTGACTTCAATTATTTTAATTATTTTGTAATATTGATTTATTCATAAATCCCGGTATGTGCTTAATGTAAATCATCATTATGTTTTTATAATTGGAGGTTTTTTCCAGTAAATTTTCCTGAAAACTCACTGATACCCATTTATCTTAAGGAGAGATAAAGATACTGAGAAAGGAGAGAGTCCTGGTGTCGAAAAAACAAAGATAGGTCTGACACCAGGACTTAATTATCCGCAGTTCAGCGGGCTAATCATTGATTGGGTCATAACCTTTTCACACCCAAGAGTGACCAGGAAAAAATCTCTCCTTACAATATCTATACAATATCAAGCAGACAAATTATGAGAGTTAAGAAAAATATCATTAAGGAGATTTTTAGTAGATCCAATGACAAATTCTCGGAACTAACATCATAAGAATTGTATGGCAGACAGTAAGGAGAATTACTAATGAGATCTTGGGAGTAAAAGTGTCTTCCATCCTATGATGGCCAAGCGGTTATTACACTGAGCAGCATCAAGGAGTGTGACTGGGTTCCGCCGAACCTTCAGCGAAACCTCACTATATGCTAGGAGTGATCTGTGATCGACTAGCATACCATTCAGGCTTCATTTAAATGTTGAAGCTCGCCTATATTTTAAGTTTCAAGAAATACATGTATGTAACCAAGCAGCTCATTCATGTATCTATTTATAAGAAGATGCGAGTGGAAGTGGAATCGAAAAGGATGGTGCGCCGGATTCTGAAGAAGATGATAAAGGTGTGTAAATGGGCTACTCGAAAAAAGAATTGATTTTTCAGTAACCAGTTTTTTAACTGGTAACTAACAGTAACTAATTAAGAAAAATCAACAGATTTACATGTTCCTTTTATTAGTCATATGGATGTATCATCATTTGCTGAAGGGGTCATAGTCAAGTCCTTTTTTCTGGTCTGTTCTTGAGTAGCTCTGTGGCTTCTAACAAAACAATGAGGAACAACTGATTACATTAATTTGCTGAATTTTTTGTTACTTTATTATTTAATTTAACTGTAACATTGGCAGACGATGAGGAAACAAGAGAAGAGAACTTGAGAGATGAAGAAGATACCAAAGAAAAGGAAGAAGCAGAGAGAAGGTCCAAGAAAAAATTGCACGATGAAAGTAATGTATCAAAGTTTTCTTTTTATTCGTTCTTTCCGTGGAAACTAGTTACATAAGGCTAAGACAACACCAAAAGATAAAGCCTGAAAAAAAGACAGTAACAACCAGAAGAGCGGGAAAAGGTAACGGAACGTGTCGAAATTGCTTTACTAATTTTGCGTCTAGGTGATTGAGAGTGGCACGAAAATAAAAATTGAAAAGTAACATTTTGAATCAGGCTTTCTCTTAAGGGTATTTTGTCTCTTAGCTTCATTATCTCTCAATTTCAAAATCTCCCAAGGAATCTCACTTAATGAATACTATGTTATTTCCAGTCGAAGCCGATAAAGGATCTCTCAGGGAACTTCTAGACTCAAGTATAGGTATATTTTTTTCAATTTAGCTTTCACATTTTTGCATCTTTTCGCTATAAAAAAAAGCCAGTTTGCTGACCCTGTATCGTTCCTTTACAGAAAACCTTGCCAAGGCAGGAAAAGCGATTCAGGCTATCTTGGACGCTACAGGAAAAAACAAAGGTGACCTACACGTTATTCAGTCGATGCTTACAAACATTTCCCCAGCTGGTTTCGTCCAGTCGTAAGAGTACTCTATCCATTAGGGTGGCCGAGGCTCGATTCCCGAGAGTGACGTGGCATTACTCATGGGTTAAGTTTTTTGTTGGTTCTCGTCTTTCTCTTCAGATTCTCCTCTTTCTTCCATCAACCCAATTTACAATAAGATTTGATTTAGTCACGCACAGCCACTTGTCGGATATCACATGGCCAAAATCATATTAACATATTGACTTATTCATTCATTCAAAATCGAACTACTTTTGTGGGACATTACAACTACGTGACGGTTGTTCATATTTTTAGATATCCCTGAGCCCAAAATTGTACAATTCATTTTCTACCCTTCGCGCTGTTTTTACGAACCTAAGGCTTCTCGTCCTTTCTCAAAAATCCCATGTAACCTCTCTTGTGAACTTAATTGTTTTCTAGTAAGCCAAACTTGTCCTGGAACATGCCCGGATGTGTGCGCACCCGGATGTATCTCGACCTGTTGCAATCCAACGGCAAGTCCTATGGCTCAAACTGCAGCCCAAGCTCCTTACCCTAGTGCTTATCAACCTGACCCATACCAATATGCCGCAGCTCAACAACAGTACAGCCAGTATGGTCAGCTACCACAGGCTGCACAAGCAGCACAGGTTCCTCAGGCCCTCCCAGCTCCACAGACACCCCAATACCCTCAGCAACCATCAGCACAGCAGTGTCCACAGCAGTGCTCTGTGATCCCATGTCCTAGCGCCTGCCCACAAAGCTGCTGCAGTGCACAGCCACAGTACCCTCCGCCGGCTCAACAAGCGATGAGTGCACCAAATTTTCTGGTCCTTCCTCCCGCCCCAAAGAAACCAAACAACACCCAGTCGTCCAGCTGTGCTTCACCATGCTCTCAATCGTGCGCTCCTTCTTGTCTCCCAAGCTGCTGCTCCCCCTCCATGGGCATGCAAATGGCAATGCCTTATCCACAGCAACCACCAATGATGCCCCAAATGCCTCCGATGCCTCAGATGCAACAACAAATGCCACAACAAGCATGCCCACAAGCGTGCCAACCCGCTGCACCCGGTGGATGTGCACCGCAGGCTCAATGCCCGCAGCAGTGTTGCCCAAAAGGGCGCAGATGAATTTCTGTTTGACGTCAATAATATCCACTCATAAAAAGTAATAAAATGAAAAAGAATTGAATCATACTTCTAAGAAAGGTAAACCGTTGGATTTCGGGGTGACGCCTAAGGCGTTCAAAGAATGTGTAGCTATAGGAGCACCTGTGTGGATTTTTGGCTTGTGTTCTTAGGTACGTGATGTACAAAAAAACTATTTGCTTTAAGAGTTATTTCATCATTAGAACCCTTTATGCGATATTAGATTAGTTAGTTTAAGCATCAAGCGTATGCAAAAACGGAAAACACCAAAATTTATTTCGACATTGCTCAGTCCCTGGTTCTCCTTAGATTAAATTTGTATCAAAAATAATCGAAAATATCCAGTTTATGCAAACCTTTCAAATTAAGTGTACAAACAGCTGAAATAAGACTAACAGAAGTTTCATTTTTTCATCATTTGCTGCCTGCCGAAAGAGTCGTCCTTAACCTCTCTCGTGGGCAGATTAGTCTTCACATAATTCCTGGCTATAGAAAAAGTGCCAGACATCTATAGATATTGAATTTATATAACCGGTAAAATGCTAATTTCTAGACCCGTTTGTGCAAAGAATGCCGTCATCACAATATATGAAAAGTTACAAGCATCCTTACGAGGCCCTCTCCGACATTCTTAAAGAGTAAGATCTTGTGATCGGGTAATATATCAATTACGTTATGTGTCTCATGCGTCTATTTTTCATTCTGGTCGTACATTTTTGTTTTGTATTTATTCTCAGAAATGTGAAAAGGTTTTCGTGGCCTTGTGTCAATGAAACTACAGCACCGTAAAAAAGGTATTAATTTTAGAAAGTCTTCACCAAATAAATTGTCATGAACATACCATGACCCCTGTTTAGGGAAAGTATCACAATTTCAATTCTAAACATGCCATGTTTTAATAAACAGTGTTTCAGTCAAATCCGAGTTGTGTGTTTTTCTCTAGTACAGGTTTCTGACCAAGTGAACCCAAAAGACGGCTCAGGTGAGAAATTGGCCTCAAAAACACGTTCCACTCTCCTAACCGATCGCTGATACAAAACTTAAAACTACTCAAGACTTAGTGACCCGCATCTTCCCGCGTATCGGGGAATTTGCTTTTCCAGTTTGGATTCTCATTGGCTCTTTGTAATATTTTTATCTGAACTGGTTTTGGATTTACCCTACTCAGTAGAAAATTGCTCTTACTACATAAGGGATTTGATTTACCTGCTGGCAAGGGGAGGGAGGAGGGAAGAGGTATACACTGTGAGTCCAGCTCAAGTACATCATCAGCATCATTATCATGATCCTCCACATGTCTTTTGCCAAATATAGCTGACTTTCCATCCAACAATAATGTGTATCCCAACTGAGGAAAGGAAGTTTATTGCCTCTCGGGCTCACCTTCCGTCACATTTTATACTTTTAACCTTTTACTTCCCAAGATCTTATTTTTAATTCTTTCCTCTAACTGCTATACATTTCCTTGTAAATTAGTTAGGAGAATTTGGTGTTAGATCAGGATAACGACTTCTATCTGATTATATTGAGTATTCTCATCACTCTTTTCTGAATAATGTATGAATATTAAAGGAAGAAGTTACATGTTAATCAGCACTGGGAGTTAGAGGGTTAAAGATCCTTTTTTATACTGTTTTGAAAGTCTACGAATGAGTCATAGGATGGAGCTTTGACAAAGAACACGAATCGCCCAAAGTACAACATGCACATTAAAGTCCAGAGGTGTCCTTCACGATAAGATTCGAATGTCTTAATAAAATTTTAATCCTATATGTAGACATATAAGACATCATGAGGTAACTTGGCGTTGCAGAGCTTAACTGAGAAAAAATGTTGCACAATAAGAGCATCAAAATAATGATGCGTTCAATCAGATTTTGCACATTTAACTCTTTATATCCCACAGTTTAATTAAATTGTAACGTTTGTCAGTGTTTGGCTTATCTAGGGGGGAGGTGATAGAAACGAGCCAACTTATCAACTTAAGGGTGTTATTTTAATAGAAATCCCACTTCTCTTTACTAAGGTACAGTTTAACGTAAAGAAACTGGAAGGGAGAATTGCTCTTTTAATCTTGGGAGAGTGAAGATTAAACACTCCCATATATGGCTGGCCCAAGAGACAACATGGTAATATAGGTGAGGCGGTAATCAGTTATTTCTCAAATGTGGAATCAAATAGAGTTCATTGTAATTTTTTTTCCCATTTTATTAACTTTAAAGTGATCGTTATAAAATTTTTTTCAACATATTTGGCTAGAGAATATTCAGGAGGTCAAGAAACGAGATCAGATTCTCATCCAGTCAATGATCTTATCGTCAGATGACTCACAAGGTCAATGCGCACGCGTAGTTTACAGAGAGCAGGGCAAGTACCAGCTGAGCGGAATAAATAATTCAACGAAAAAAGGATTTTTCGGAAAAGGGATTTTGTTAACAACTCTCCTCTCCTCTTTACTGCTGGACTAAAAGGGGAAAGGTATGATGTTTTTATTCTTATTTCGTTATTATAGATGTGTAAATGTGCTGTGTCTCAATGCAACTTACTCGTGGTACCGCACGAAGCGATTTAGACAGAGAGCCACACGGTTTAATGGTCCGTCATATAAATAGTAGTCTTGAAGTCAATAACAAAACGTTTAATAACGGAGATCGCTCGGCAAGACGCCATGAACATACGCTGCTCTCTTCAGCCCGACTGTCTATCAAAGAAATCTCATAAACTAGAAACGCCGGATCATCAGTTCTACTAATTTGTACCTTAACTTTGTGCCCACATGTTAGAAGAAGAAATTACAAATCACCTGTTGGCGATTCTAACTTGATTTTGTTCCCCTGTGCTCTTGTAAATCTAAATCCCTTATGTCTTAGAAAGTAAAAATCTAAACACCAGCATCAGACATACTGCTTGACCTCAAATTCATAGATTTCGCCACAATATTTCCCGGGTTGATATTTCACAAAATCTCCTAAGCGTTCCGATTGACAACGTACTTTCTTTATAAGGAGATTTTGAAATACGATCACTCCAGGAAATAGCCTCATGATTAAAACTTAATGATAGTCGATTTAACAAAAAAAATGCTATGGCTGGTTCTGAATGAGTCTTTTTTTTGTCGTATCTAGAAGGGTGACGAGTATGAATATCAAATTCACGAGCGCGCTCTTAGCCGCTCTAATCTGCCTGTCATTTACCAGCCACCTCGTGCGGGCGAGAAGTTTAAAAGGTAAGTCTTGATGTTAAAACTCATGCTGTAAATTTCCATAGTAACAGAGGGAGCACTATGGTTCTCTTCATATCAGTAAAGGAACCAGATGTATGCTGCACGATATATTCGATATGTATTTGAAGATTAAATTTGGTCTCGCCACCCGTAGAGCACGACACAGACTGAGAACTTGGAAGAATATGGCCTCATTCAGTTCGTTTAAGTAAAACATTCATTTTTGAGCGATTTTTTTAAATTATCTATTGCAAAGCAAATTCAACTGAATGAAAATGTTAGATTTGTTAGGTAACATATGTACTAAGTCGCAATCTTATGTTTATCTCTTCTTAGATTTAGCAAGTATTTCCAAAGGTAAGACTCTTCGATCATTTACCGCTCGAATCTCAGCGTTTGTTTCTGGACGCAAGGAAGGTGAAAGGATGTTTTGACAATTCAGTGTTATTTGACATGAAAGACAGAATAAAAATGTACATTTTTTCCTTTCTGTAAGAGGAAGGTATCGATAACGAGGCTCAAGACGACGGTGACGAGGCTACAGACACAGCTGTGGATGAAGTGGATGCGGACAGCTTAGACTCAGGTATGATAGTGGAAATATAGACTGCCTACTGAGTAAATACACAATATGTCAATGTACACTTTAATGGTGTCATTTCTACAGTGGAAAATCTGCCCGTGCTATACATTGGAATAATTGTAATCATTTGTTCAGCTGAGCTACTGCGCATCGCATGCGCCCTAGCGGAGCCTCATATCTGAAGAAAAAGCCGCTAACTCTTGGCCAAGAAAATCTATTTGCCACATGACCAGAGATCCGTGCTGGCAAATGCAGAACTGTTTTTCTTTCAGTCCAAAGCTTAATTATAAACACAAACCTTTTGACAAAAATCTGAAAATTTTGCTGTTATAAAGCTTGGCTAATCGGATCAATTCAGTATCAGTATCTGGGCAACTGCCCACCTACCCCCTCCCCTAACCCCACATTAACCTTAACTTGTTGTCAATTATCTGTTGTTGAGTTAGGGGAGGGGTAGGTGGGCAGTTGCCCAGATACTGATATTGATCCGGCTAATCTTATATCTTACTTTTAGATGACAATGAATCAGCAATAAAAAGAGGCCACTTAACTGACGAGTATGATTACTCAGGTGAGAGGGCTTGATGAGCTTGTCATTTATTGAAAAATATTCCTATCACGTCAAATACTGAGTGAAACAGAAAACCAACATCTTAACAAAGTACATTAATGGCTACTCGGGGAACATTTGTATGAGATCAGTAAGTTCAAAAAGTAAGATCTCCTCCAATAAAGATGAAAATCACATCCACGTTCTCATTTTAAGGTGGAGGGAGGTTTTTTGAAAGAAAGTATTATGTTTAGTTTCATACCATTTCTTTTTTAATCACAATGAAATGTCAGATGTCAACTGATAAACAAACCAAATGTAGATGAACAAACAGGCAATTGATGCATGCATCGAAAATAATCAAGAAAGGGTTTATTAAACAATTGCGGATGGGAAAAACGAAGAAGTAGAAAAGAAAACTTGCGAACAAAGGAATTTTGAGAAAAACTGAAATCACTTCTTGTTTCGGTGTTGCCGTCTTTAAACTTCTTTGGTTGACCTTTTGCCGATTTATGTGGTCTTTCCGCTGTGGTGAAACAAACATATGTCAGTCAATGGTAACCTAGGTTTTACTATACGATCATGAATTGTGCAACTTTCTCCTGGACATACATTGCAAGAAAAAGAACATCACGAAAGAGAAGTGTTGCCTTATATCCCACCCACTCCTAATCAACGTATGAAGGAAACACTTTCCTATGAATGAACTTCTCGGATGTTACCAAAATAAAAACATTCTTTTAGCTAGCCTTTCAGAAATTTTTGGATAAAAAATGAAATACTTTGATCAACTCCAGTTTAGTTAGATGTATAACCCTAAAATGATAGTCGTTGTCCGATATCGGGTGGTTATGTTTCTTTAGTGATGCTCTCACCACTAAATTAATTGTACCATTACCAACCCTTGGGGTTTTATCCATGAACTCATTGCTTCACTACATTTATTCACAATCAAGTTGGGGACGCACATTTTAAGGTATATTTGGTATACTTACTTAACAAATGCTAACTGGGGATATCACCATCACTGAATGTCACCTACAGATAACACTTAAAGAGGGCTCGCAAAGGAATTTTATGGGGCAGCTTGTGGGTTTGCTTGCTGTTTCGATTATTAGTCGGATAGGGACTACTTGTAAAAAAGGATTTGTCTTCACCTTCAAAAAAATACCATTAGGTTGTAGTACGTTTAGACTAATAATCTAATAGCTACCAGAACTCCATAAATGCTTACCATACCAATGGCACCAAAACGATGAAGACCATCATAGGATCATCACATGACACCGTCACCTGAGTTCCCACCGCGTTTTAGAGAGACAAAACATCGGTCACACCGACATATGGCTTTGCGGGTTTGTAACCCTTTTTCTCTCTCTTACTTGCTACTATTTCTTTCTTATTTTCTCTTTGCGTTCGAACATAAACAGAAATGAAACATAGATTCTCAGAAAATGCACATTCTGCGAAAGCTTTCGTTGGTTTCTTTGACTCAGTTTGGTTTGGGTAAATATTATTTCTAGAAATAGGATAATGTGGACATCGATCAATCTTTTACATAAATATCAGCTTAGAAGGGAGGTAGAAACCATTCGTTTGTGCTATTCTTGCCAAAAAAGCTAACTGATAACAGCCTAATATTTTACCCAGACCCTGATGTGTGACTTCTCCGCTTGGCTGCAAGAAGTGTGGGTACGAAACTAATTATGAGCATTTATACATGGATGATCTCGCTCTTTTCTTGTTATATTCTACCTGGTCACTGTGAAAATCAAAATAATTCCAGAATTGATATTGAAATAAACTACGTTGCTAAATTCCTAACGCTTGCTAATCTGCTTAACTAAGTTGAAAGTAACCACCATTACTAATTTCGTAAAACGCCACCACTAAGTCAATATCATTAGAGCACAGACGTCTAAGCATAAAATTTAGCAGCAAACGCCGCAATCTATCTTCAATAGGAAAGACTGAACAAATCTCTCGGTTTCAAAAAATGATCAGACATTAGAATACAAGCTTTTAGGCTATCAAGATTTTATTCAAATTAAAAAACCAAACGTCTTAATAAACTTTTCTTTGCCTCTCCATGCCTTTCTAAACTTTCTTATTCCAGGTTTTCAAACTTTTTCCCCGAAGCCATATGTAGTGTGTTTTGTCATAAGACCAAGACGAGTCATTCCCATCAAAAAGCGTCCAGCACACCCAACAAAATCGCCAACAGGTACACCAATGCACACCTAACATGCATACTCATTTTTTATGGTGGTGACGGCAGAGGTATATGGGGTAAGCTTTAGAATAACTTTGTTGCTGGTGAAGGACAAATCCTTTTTTATTAGATACTGCTTTCACCTTGCTATTTGGGGGCAGGCACTCGGAGAGGGAAGAGTATTTGCAGAAACTACCGTAAATAAATTTCGTCCACTTTTCCCCGAGTGTCATGAAGCTGAGTCGCCCGACATGACTCGATACCTAAATCTATGCGCCCGGCCTGCAAAATATGCAGAATGGACTGGGCAAAGCACTGCATTCAATTTTTAAACCACAAATTATCCTCTTCTCGATAAAGATGGAAAAACCTGGAGGCAAAGTGCAATCAACATTGCAATGTAACAAATCTACTTAATCTAAACTAAGGTCAGCTTTAATTCTGTATCTAAGAGCAGAAATCTAAATTAGAATAACCGCCTTGAAAAAAGCCTGCCTCAAAGTGAACTCCTAAAACGGCAGTGAAATTGACACAGATCATTTGATTGGCAGATGAATCTGCAGAATCCGGAAGTGCTGCGGCAGAAAGCGGAAGTGGAGGTGAAGAGGAAGCAGCCCCTGCGAGTAAGACATATGTTATATAAGGTCGTCTCACTTGTTGAATTATTACGTGTTATTCGATACCATTTCGGATTCACATAGTGATGATGTAGGGCGACCCTCTCCCATATGATCTTGTGATGGGATGTTTTGATGGAGTTTCCATCTAGCTTTGAATTTTTGCAAAATTTTAAAAAGAAACTGTTTGTCCACTAAAAAAGTTATTACTTCAACTCTTGAAGTTCTTTAAAATGCACAAATCTAACTTAATTGCTTTCTCCTTGATATACAGCTGAACCGATGTGTCCTCCACCATGCATCCGTCCTCCTGGCCCAGAGCACTGGGTACCGCGACCCCGCTACGAACCCGGCCCAGCCATTCCTCCCCCGCCACTTGAACCACCCCCACCCCCTCCTCCCTGCCCACCGACATGCATGCAAGTGTGCGCTCCTACCTGTGACCCAAGCTGCTGTGGAACACCCGTAGCCTTACCTCCACCCCCACCGATGCCAGCTTGCCAACCATCCTGCGCACCAACTTGTTGCCCAATTCCACCCCCACCACCTCCTCCACCACCGCCACCACCACCACCTCCACCTCCACCACCAATGATTTGTCCTCCAACATGCCAGCCCAGCACCTGTGCCCCAGCCTGCCCTCCAATATGCTGCAAGAGAGGAGACTAATCTCCAGTCGAGTTACCTTCAACCAAACTAGAAATTCGCGATCATGATGGTACATGCGATAGTGAAACGCAACTTGACTTTCTCGTTTTTCTGTCAAGAATATGGTATTTCTGTACATACAATGACGTTTTAAGGTCTTTTGCTTTTTATCTGAGAGCATATTGTGACAAATTTATGTTTTAAGTATCGTTACTGGTTCAATAAAGTATTCAAGTTTATGTGATTGTCTGGCCATTTGTGTCAATGTATTAATCCATGTTTAAATTGCGTAAAGACTCCAGAAAAGTATTTTCCCTCAAGAATCCTGAATTTTCCTTTTCCATAATTAGGCTTAAAACACTTTGCTATGACCACTCCGTCTTTTCCAACTTGGTCTTTCAACCAACGCGAGTTGTTTTGAAACAGGAGTCATTACCCTATACATTTGAAGTAATGCCCTGTAAAGCTAATTCTGCAGTAACCAAAATGTAAGGGAAAAAATACATCAGAACACGAATGTAGCCACGAATGCCTTTAGCAAGTTTCTTGGAAAACAATCTTCAACAAAAACAAACAAGGCCACCTTCCAATTATTTTTATTTCTTCTGAACGCATTCCTTTGTTTTAGATTTACGGAGGTCATTAATTAAGCTTGCTTCTCCTTTGGTTTTGGAATATTCTCAAGATGAAAGTACCTGTATAAAAAGAACGCAGTTTGCAATTGGAGGACTACTAAATTTTGTCATTCTTGTTCACTGTCTTTATTTTAGAACTAAAGTATATATTTCCTGATTCTAGCTGAGCATTAATAAGCCAATTTGATATAATTCATAGTTTTCACTGATGAAGATATGTACCTTGACTGATAAGAACAGATAAACACGCTAAGTAAAAGCAATTTTTCAAATCATTGCAGGAAGGTTATTAGAGTTTGGCGATTCCCTATAGCTGCTAAAACTAAGCGTATACACAATCTGGGTTGTTCAACAGTTCCTCCCCATCCAGGGGATGGGGACCTAAACTCTTCTCCAGGAATCAGCGGTTTGAAAATCCAAGATGACAGCGAAGTAACTGAGTGAAAATTATATCTGCTGAGGGTTAGTTTGATGCGCAAAACGTTTTTTTTTTCCGCAATGTAGCGGGCCAGACTTACGGAAACTTTTGATTTGAAACTGTATTTGGAAAACTGTCGACTGTCCTAACTGGAACGTATTGACAACTAAAAGTAAGATTGGATGTTTCAAAGGAGAGGAGAAGAAATCTTTTAAAACGAACTTTTCACTACATCATGTATCACATGGCTTTTCTTTCCTTTCAAATAAATCGATGTACTTTCCTTTAGTGATTCAATGGATTTTTTCTCAAAACCTTTTCGGTCAGAACTACCGGCTGGTTCGAGATTTGACGAATGAATTTTTAATGTTCAAAGGCAAACCACCCGTAAGTTTCAGCTCAGATTGTGTCCGGTGCACAAATGCCAAACAAACTACAGCAGCGAATCTAAGGATGATGTAATGCACTCGATTCAAGGTTACTCAGCCGTGACAGATATTTTTATCTTTTATTTTCTTGTCAAGAATTAAAAGAATAATACAGCTGGTAAGTATTTCGGAGTTTTTTTCCCGTTATTTTGATTTCTAGAGAAAGATTCTGGCTTATTGAAACGTGTCGACACTTTTTTGTGATTCACCTTCCAATGAGGTGGTCAAGATTTCTTTTGGTACCTGTCGATTTGTCGATTTCACGCCTGTATGGTCCAAATTTTACTTCTTCGCTTCAGATGTTCTGTTCTTAACAAGATGACCAGGTTGTGGCTTGCTTCAGCGACTTTGCTTTGCTTCGCGGTCACGGTCCTGAAGTGTGAAGAACTAAACAGTTACGAATCAGGTATGTGTAACAAGCTACTTATCAACCGTGAATATAACAGTTATTTTAAGTGTGTTTCTCGAGGCCATGCCGGAAGAAATCCTTTAAGCCCCGGGCCTAAATAAAACTATCGAAGTCGGTCAACAATTTTTATTAGCTTATATTGTATAGACACTAGGACTGACTAGGACAAATTTTATACCAGCAAAGGCAGACTTAGTGGACAGATCAACACTACTGAGAGAAAGTGAAGAACTGAATTGGTAAAAATTTGGAATTTCAGATGGTCAATGTTTAGAGGCGAAAGGAAAATTAAATAAGAGGAAACTTTCCCAAGAACAGCTGCTTCTTAACAAGCTTTCAATTGGTATTTAGATCAGATCTAGAAGATCACTGAGGTCAATTAGAGGTCAATGTTGTAAAACAAATCAAATGATTTTCTTCGTAATGAACGCCGGCAATCTCACTTAAAATCAAACAGGTCTATTGTGTGAGTTAGCTCAAATGAGAATTTTAAGTAAAGGATTAACTTTGCAACTTCCTCTTAATGCAGAAAGGCTATTTGTAAAAACAAATTGATAATAACATAAAACAAATGGGCAGAAAAAAACCTTTTTCTCTAAGGATGTCTTACTGCTCTAAAATGAGTTGCCAAAGATGGTTGCCAACGAGTTGATATAAATGATAAAACAACAACTGTAATAGGATACATTGGCAACTTTTTGGGATCAGTCTTACAACGGAAACATTGCTGCGTGAAAAAATGTTATGCGATACTGTAACTACATCTAAGATAGACAGCGAGAATTTTGTCTTTCAGCGTTCGCAACTGGGAACGTAAGCTTCCTATCCGATTTACAAAAGGCATATTTGTGTATTGTAATAACTGCTAAGTCACCAGTGTTCCCATTGTTCCCAGGGCTTCTCATTACTCGACTCGTTTGCGAGGAAAGTTTCATACATGGGGACGAGGTTGAGTCCTATTGGTTTTATAGTTGTTATTAGATTATCCCAACAGAGTTCATAAAAAAGCGCTCAATATGTGATTGTGCGAAGGTCCAAAAAACACCAAAGATATTTTGATATAACCGATCCTTGCGGACTGGGGACGAACCAAGGGGAGTTACTTTTTTTATTCAAGGATTACAACATTTGAAGGCAGAATTGATCACTTTTTTATTCCATTTTGTTCTTGAAACTAGTTTCAAACAAAGCTAAATAAAATTTGCAACCCAACGTTAGACCAATATTTTCGTACTTCAGACCCCACGAAGCTTTCCTTTAGTAAGTTGTTATTAACTTCACCTTTCTTCAAGCCCCTGTCTCTGAGCTTTGGAAATTAGTAAGCTCCCCACGAGTTTATTGGGGCGTTTATAACATGAGTTCTCTATCCAAAATTTTGAATGTGCATTATTTTTTTCAGGCAGACCAGACAGAAGCGTACCAGCCGTGCAACAAATCTCTCGTCTGGATGATCTCCGGAGTCAAATCGCAAAGCCCAACAAGGGACAAGAAAAAAAGGGTAAAAATAATAAAGTTAATGATCACAGTGATGATGACAAAAAGGCAGACAATAAACAAGAAGTTAAAATCGATAATAAGAAGGAAGACAAAAATGAAGCAAAAGAAGTTATCAGAGAAGATAAACTGAAGAATAAACAAGAGAAGCAAGATGACAAACAAGGAGAAAAAAATGAGGACAAAAGTGATAAAAAAGATGATGAAAGCAAAGACAAATCAGAGAAAAGCGATGACAAAAAAGAAGAACATGCAGAAGACACAGAAGAAAAAAACAATAAGCAAAAGGACAAAGACAGCAGCCCTGATGAACGGAAGAAAGACGAGAAAAAGAAAGACAGTAAACAATCCGGTAAAAGCTGAATTGTCTTGGTCGCTGCTCATCTCTCTCTGCCAAAACTCTGATAAAAACTAACAAGTCGAATTCTAAAGTAAACTAACATTCCTAATAACCATTGTTCTAACGAAAAACTAACCAGACGCTAATTCTAACTAAAACTAACCCCTTTGACGTCTGTGTTATTTTTCAGGCTTTACTGACATTGATAAGTGTGAAAATTAACTGCGTTAATTGTTTTTTCTAGCTGGCATACCCAAGAAAGACAAGGCCAAACCGAGCCTTAAAAAGCAACAGGATAAAGCAGCGACCACTCCAGTTAAAAAGCCCGCACCAGTGGCAAGACCCCCCCTGCCCCCTCGTCCCGCCTATCCACAACCACGATACCAACCTTATCAGCAGTCTTACAACGCGTTTCAGTCCCCTATGTCTCCTATGTCTGCCATGGGCGGAGCATGTTTAGCGCAATGCTGGAAGAAATGCACACCTATCTGTATTCAACACAGGTGTTGCTTACCTGGGATGAACAATTATCCAATGCCTGTTCCTCCACCCCCCGCTATTTATCGTCCTCCCCCACCCATGATGATGTATCCTCCACCTCCCCCTATGCCTTCAGTCTACTCTCAAATGACCTGCCAGCCCTCTTGCGCTCCAGCTTGCTGCATGCCACCAATACCAGCTCCTCCTCCACCGCCGCCGCCGCCACCCCCTCCTCCACCGCCGCCGCCGCCACCCCCTCCTCCACCTCCACCACCACCTCCTCCGCCAAGACCCGTCTTACCCCGTCCCAATCCATCATGTAATCCAGCATGCGCTCCTCAATGCTGCATGCCGGTATCATACCCAGCACCCTATCCTGCACCGATGCCTTACCCCGCTCCTTCGCCCCCTGTAATCGCAATGGGATCCCCGGTTCAAAGCGGATGTTCATATCCTAGTTATCCTGGATATCCCTGTGTAAGCAGTCCTGGAACGGTAGCACCCGTAGTGACCCCGAAACCTGCCACTCCAAAGAAACTATGTAAGCCGATCTGTCTCAAGTTCTGTCTGACAGTCTGCCCTCAGGATTGCTGCAGTGCTAAGGTGACAGGTGTGCAAGTTGTTAAACCGTCAACTTCTGTTACTGCGGTAGCCACACCATCCACTTCTTCATGCCCAGCAAGTTGTGCTCAAATATGTGCAACTCCGTGTCCTCAGGTGCGTCCAAAACGCTTCTAGTGCTGTAAATTTTTTTCTTTGTAAGACCACCAGTTTGATTCAAGTAATTAGCAAGGAACTGCATAGCAGCTTTAAGAGGAAGTTACAGATAATCAGATTTCACAAGTCATACGGTTAAAACCGCACGAGGGAAAAATTAACAAAGATACACTTTTTGTAAACAGAGCTGTTGCTTACCCACAAGCAAACCCGCTAGCACAGCAGCACCAGGCTCCACTAAGCCAGCTTCTTCAGCAGTAACAGGTATGGTAATCGTATAACACTCACAGGCAATTGCTGTGAGAGTATAAGTACTGCCATTAGAAATCATAATCCGTCATGCATCTATGCGTCACACAAACTGTTCCACATAGAAGGATAGCATACAAAATTCTGAACATCAAATAGGACTACGAAAGATGGGAAATTTATACAGCTGAGAGTTGCAACCGATTTCCAACCATTTTAGCCCCACAGGCTGCCATAATCTACGGTTTTGGAAAAATTAGTATCTAGCTGTTACCAAGGGAACGGGTACTTAGATTAGTTTATGTTCTGCTACAGAGTAGAGGACAGACGCCGAACTTAAAATTCAGATAGGCTCGCCAAAATTAGGGTGTAATGAAGGGATTCAAAAGCTAAATAAGATCTTGATGAACTAAGAAGAGAATGATTTCAAGTTTCTCGTCCTATTTTCCAAGTAGAGGGTTTTTTTTATATAACGTACCAAACCAACGTTAGCGAAGGGCTAGTCAGAACGAAGAAAAGTACCTAGATATCAGAGGAACCGAATAAGTGCTTATTCTGAGAAAACTTTATGTACCGATAAACAGCCACATGTGAGCAACTCAAGATTAGTTTTTTGTTTTAAATCTGAGGGTTCGAGAGGGTAGCGCGAGTGAATAACTCGACATTGGTTTAGCGTGGTCTGTACTGTTATTAACAACGACATTCATCATCACAGTGTCATGTCATCACAAAAAAATGTTGTGGTGTCACGAGGAGCAGCCGAGTCAGTCCACAATAAATTTTGACCTTTGTGATGACGAATATCGTTATAGATGAGCACAGACCATGCCGTACCATTGTCAATTTGTTTGTGTATTTTTTTTTTACCACAATAACGTCAAATAAGACGATTCTTTCAGTGCGTGACCATTGCGTGACACGTTGACACGACAGCGTTGCCTGTACTCTTGCCGAAAACGGCAAATTGGCCAATCAGATTACGACATTACTGCCTATTGTGGTAAAACTTTTTACCAACACCGGGATAAAAACTGTTTTTAAACGTTGTCACTCTTTAGCCCGGCCAACAGCTACCCCAACGTCAAAGAAACCAAAGCCTGTTTCGTGCGTGGCGCCGGCCTGCTCTCCTCAGACGTGCCTGCCATCGTGTCCCAAACCATGCTGTACTAAGAAACGCTTTCATGATATGGAACTAGTTGCGGGATGCCCTCGTGTTTGCTTTTCGAGTTGTGAACAAGTATGTCCCAGGCGCTGCTGTGGTCCTCACCCACCAATTAAAGCTACAATCAACCACAGACCTAAAATCAATGACATCCCCCAGTCCCCAAGATGCCCGAAGATATGTGCTGATGTATGCGCTCTAGAGTGTCCCCACAGGTGCTGTGGCCCTGGCTCCATGAAGAGGGCGTTTATTTCAAGACCGTTCCCTCGTTTGGCTTACATGAAAAATCAGTATGCATTTAATCAGAAAAGACACCAAGTACCGGTGTCGCGATTCAATAATCCACGACGATTTGGACTGAAGAAGAAACGAAACACCATTCACTAACAGACATTGAGTGCTGGCTTGTCTATAATAAGCCTCGATGGTTATGCTCGACGATGGCTTTGGCTGAGAGAACAAAGATCTAGAGAAAGAGAAAGGTTCCTGGAAAGGAGAGGTGCAAAGTTGACTGAAAAGATCGTAGAGGTCTTGTACAATGACTTTATAAGCGGATACAACCCTGTCTACTGAGACTGGTTTCTAGGGATAAGACATATCTGGGGATACAGCATGTTGACAATTTCCTATTGCAATTTTGAATTATAGCATTATTACATATTAGAATTATTTAACACTAGCCATACATATATTGCACTATAAAGCGTTACCAAAGGATATAGGCTTTATCATGTACATATCGCTTTATATATTATTACTTCTGCACATAACATGCCATGCATATATTCCACCAATATTTACATGTTTTTTCGTGTACATACTAAATACTACTTTAAGTACTATCGTTGGTTTGCAGCAAACTGTAATTAAACCTTTACCCAGTGAGTCTGGCTTCTTCCAGTCTGGTTTCTGGTTCAGAAACAGTTAGAACTGACGAGCAACTTGAGGAAAACAAATAAAATCACACTTTTCCGTAGACGTAGCTATGCTTCACAGACTGTAAATTAATGCACAGAGATAATCAGATAATAAACATGGTATTTTTCAATTGAGATGAGCTGAGTTGTAAATCACATTGATTTCGCACCTGTAATTGATGCTATCTAAGAAAAACCCAAAGTTAAGGTTCCCGATATCTCTAACCTCCTCGTATCTTGGCCCGGTGAAATAATTCGAGATACATACCCAGAGTTTGCGACATCGCGTACAAAAATCAGTGGCGGCACACAGATACAACTCTATGGCGTTACCCGTTTGCGTCAATAACCTCTTTATCAACTGAAATATGTAAAGTTACATGTCTGAACTTATTCTTACGTCTTAAAATTTGCGAAACCTATAAAAAAAGTTTTAGCCCCGTAAACAAGTTTATCCAGGAGCCTCAATAATCAGTTAACCTTTCCTTGAGGAACGTGGAGTCAAACAATTGACAAAATCATAAGAGCACTTGCCCAATAAAATAGCAAAAAAGTAAAATTCAGCAAAAGGTGCCCCAGGCCCAAATGAAATAAAGACAGTCCCTAGCTCCCAGTTGAGCTTTCCGCGGGAAAACGCGAAAAACCAAGTCACGTTTGGATTTCTGTTTTGTATCTCATTGGCTGACAAGATGGCCGCATTTTCCTCGACCAATCACAGAGGGAGTTAAAGCAAAATCAGAGAAATCCCACATAACTTTCAACCCGTGCAAGCAAACCTCAAATAATTTCAATGATCAGAGATAGAGGACTTTCCTTGAAATTTTTAATTTCAAACTTTGTCTCTGACAATCACTTGCCAGGCAACAAGAACAAACTCTCTACCTTCCTATAATACAACTATTACTCTAGACATAATGCTCTTACATAGCAACTTGCAAATACAAAACATTTTTAAAGTGAAGCATTCTTAGGAATGCCAAAACTCAAAACTAATTAATTTCTCCTAATCAACGAGTGCCATATATTTTAAAAATCTTATGCTCTATATTCTCTAAGTTCTTTCAGTTACTCTTGTCGAGAACTGCACTTTAAACTCATACCAGTAAGTTGCTGAGTTTTGGTTAAAAGTGCAATTTCTAAAAATCTCAATCGAAGTTTACACATAATACAACATATGGTTCCAACAAAACTCCATTGAGCCGAAAAGGGAGGTAACCAATAACGTCTTAGTCGAGGGCAAAGCTAAAGGGGGCCTGAGGGTAAGGGATACCTACCCACATAACAGATACAAAGGAAACTAGTTTAACTACTATGCTTTCAAACCATAGTACTTCCAACTAAAACAAACCTAATCCTAAAGGCAGATGAAAATGACCAAGAACCAAACCATCAAAACAAAAATTGCTGAAAATGTAATAAAACAGACTTAAGAATTTTGATGTTGATCGTGTGGACGCAGATCCCAACTGTGCTCACATTGTAGCTGGCTCTTTAATCCCCTCTTGCTGCTGAGATAATTTGAAGGATGTACAAGAACAAGTTGACGATATCCAAGTACAAGTTCAGTGCAGCAAATATGTACTCTTCTGGTGAGATGGAGTACATTTTGCCTCCACCCATCATGATCTGTGTATCATACACAAGGTACTGCAAGATAAAACACACCTCAACAGATAAGTTATAGCAATCTCCTGCTTTGGAAGCCAATGCATTAACTCTCCCAACCAGTGACCAGCACCATGTTCCAAGAATTATTACATGTTAGGTTGAAGGGGACTGGTAAACACATTTCTATAGCAACAGGTTATGTGGTAACTATTACAGCAAAATACTAACTAAAGATGATCTGTATGATTGTTTAAACAGTAGCATTTTAGTCCATGCTGTCCCCAAAAATACAAACTACACTGTAAATAGAGGGCATTAAATGGAGCTCCACAATAGACCTTTTACCTAAAGTCAGACTTCTCTGGGTCCAAAACATAACTTTATTAGTGGAAGGTAGACACTTGGAATTCTCTTTCGGGCATTTTGAGAAAATTTATCAGATCGGAGAAGGCATTTCAAGGTAAACAAAGATTTTACACCTCAAAAATGTGGCTGCAAATTACTTCAATAGAAAAAGTTTTTTGTCCATGACTTGGTTTTCTGTGAGGCAGCATGCAAGAGTGTTCAACAGGCTGGACTTGTAACCAGAGGCCCCATGTGGAAGTCATATGTTATGAGGCCTCTTGCAGGCTGTCATTTTAATCTTTACTTTCTTTCATTTGAGTCACTAATTTTCTTTGCCCCTCAGGCCTTTTTGGTACATGTATGAGCAGTGCTAAGGAAAACCAAATCATTCATTTTACTTTTTTAAATTAAATGGACACAACTGCTGAAGAATGAAAGCAGCACAATGCCTGCTATTTTTCCAAGAAACATACCATGGCAAATATGAGAGCTCCAAGCGAAGCATAGACAACTGAAAGAACCTGAAATATTATGGAAAATAGTTACCAGGTTTAATACAAATTTTTCAGGTTGACAACTTGGGTTATAAAATTAGTAATCAACCATGATTTTCTACTTTTGGTCTTTCTGAACTGTAATTAGTATGACAAAGCTTCAAAGGAAACTGTAAATTCAAACCAAATTCAACTTCTGATATTACTTTCACCAAGAATATGTGGAAAGTATTAAAAAGATAAAGAAAGCTGTAAAGAATATGTAAAAAATTAAAAGACAAATCCCTTTCTTTGTTTTTTTTGTCTTAAACTTATCCTGCTCCACATAATATTCTTGACCTAGTTTTGTTTTGGTCCCAAACCAAACCCATGGAATATAGGGCTACTACTGACAACAACAATAACAACAACAACAACAACAACAAAGTTCAAGTCTCTAGGAATTGAAACATAAATGAAGGGAAGAAGAAGACCCCCCCTCCTACTTATATCATGCTTTTCCATGACTCCCTCTTGGATAAGATGGAAATGGCTATTGTGCAGGCATAGTGTAAAGTATACATCTTACCCTGCTGTGAAAAAAGATCATCAAAAAGCCAAAGCAGATGAGAATAATCAAAGCCACCAACAGAAATCCGCCCATCATGGTGAAGTCATACTGTCAAGAACAATATTATTGTTTCAATGGGAACCCTTGATTCTTGATGCTGACAAAATTGCAGATCAGTAACTCAAGCTCTGGGACCAAGATTAACTAACTCTACCTTAAGTTTACTATAAAAACAGCAACCATGGTTCACCTGAAAATTACAGGCCTACAATATGAAACACCTACAGCCAAAACTTGCATAACATCTGTTGAAAAGTTATACTGACTTGAAGGGTTACTAGTCTCTCACCTTAGTCTGGAATGCAAAAATGGTAATTGCCAGAACGACAACCTTTAAAAAAGTTTCACAACAAGAATTATTGAAAAGTTAACTTTTAATTCACATGGATATTGCACAGTCCTCAACCTGCCAATATCTCTTTCTGCAGAAAAAAAGGTTTCTCACTATCAAACTGCAAAATTTTCACTACCTTCAGCCAAATGAAACTCCACAAGCATATCAGCTAGTATCAATTGTATTTTAGTTATTCAAACTCATGCTAACTCAAAATTCATTCAAATCTAGTCATCTACTGACCGTATGTCTCAAAGAAAATTTAACAATTTCTAATTTGGGTTTCTCTCCTAATCAATATTCTCCTCACATACTAGGAATTTAGTTTCTGCTAACCATACAATATTGCTTAGCTGACAAAATTTTCATGGCATACAATTAAAGTCACATTAACTTCAGTGACCATACTTAGGCTGGTTTAAACCCCTACAAAAAGTAATCATGACTGGTTCCATCAGCTGCATTTTAAGTATTTTTTTAGCAATCTTCCTTCCAGAACTGTCAACAAGAGCTGGTGGTGGGCCAAAACCCATGGCTAGTCTATCATTTTATAGCCAGCCACTTCCAACCACTGCAACCCTTTCCTAATTTTTAGTGGAATTACATATAAAATTTACAAGTAAAGGGCTACATGTAGATGTGTTAATCAACTCCACTTTCACTGCTTAAAGCTTTGTGCAAACTTTTTGGAACAACTGGTACATTTTAACTGAACAGCTCACAGCACTGAGCGTAATTTGATTAAAACATGGTATCCACAACGACCTGGCTGTCTGCTATTTCTTTATATTTGACTTCTACTTCAACTAATAGACAGACCTGTTCCTCAGTTCTATCTTTATTACAGCATATATCATAAGAACTTAAAACCAAAAAGGCTGCAACTTACTGCAGTTATTCCAACAGCCATAAGTACCTCATCTTTATCATAAACACTGTGGAAAGTTGACTTGCATGTAAGAAACTGTTGGTATTGTTCATATAATACATAATAGTTGTGTGTATATGGCTGAAGTGAGAATTGCAACAAAAATTGGGTATCAAGTGATAATTAATGCAAAGGAAATTTAAGTATTCATCTATTAATAGTCCTAAGTTATCTCCATCTCAAAAAAATTGCAACCAAAATTTGAAATCCATTGACCATGATCAAAGAAAGGCAGATTATGATTCAGTGATTCTGTTAAAATATTATAATAACAGACACAATAGTGAGGAGAGGGTCATTAATTTTTTTCAGCTCAAGATTGTCCACCTGATGTATGTCCACAAAAGCAGACTACAATTTACCTTGATACAGCACCAAGAAGATATCCTTCACAGATGGTCTAAATAACAACAAAACAAAACAAAACAAAATTCAATACACCTATAACCTAAAGAACATTTAATTATGGTATCAAAACACGAATAGACAACAAAAGGGTGACACCCTTAACTCTTTCACTCCCAATATCTAATTAGTAATTCTCCTTACTATCTGCCATACAATTCTTATGATGTTAGTTCAGAGAATGTGGTATTAGATAAACTAATAATCCCATAACTGATATTTTTCTCTATTCTCATCACCTACTTGCTTGATATTGTATTGATATTGTAAGGAGAAATTCTGTCTTAGTCACTTGTGGGAATGAAAGGGTTAAAATTCATTCATTCAACTACACTGCACACTTATCTGAGCATTACATGAGTCAACAATAATGGAAATGCAGGGATTCTGAGGGCAACGAAGTTGAAACTAATGAAACATACAGCAAGCAGAAGTTTGCTTAAACGAAAAACTTCTCTATCTTACAACTTGATGAAAAAGTATTATTAAAGTATACAGTTTTTATAATATATTACATGAAACATTCAGTTAACATATCAAGTGCAAAATTTCAAATTTTCAAATTCAGTTCTAATTTCCCCTCCAGTGTTAATTTTAGACCAAAATGAAGCATTCAGTCTTGAAGACAAATCACAAACTCCATTTACAGTGCAGTTCAGTAACATAGGGGGAGTGAAATGTGACAGTCTTTAGGTTACTTTAGGGGGGTGCTCACTGATAGATGCAGGAATTAGGAATACATTACACAAATGAAGTAGAAGGTACTCACAAAAAGTACAAGAAAGATCATGTTAGTTGGGAACTGCCGCCTAAAAGGAGATCAAACAAGTTAACAACATCAGCTAACGTTAAGTAACTAAGAAAATGTCAAACAACAACTAAGAGAAGTTGTTTATATTGATTTCATAAGCAACTTCTCTTTCCAAAGTTCAAACCTTTTTCAGAAACAAATTTCAAGGATTTTTCCAAAACTTTTCCAGGATTCAGATCTCCAAATTTTAACTCAAACCCTTTCATTTCCAAGATTTCCAAATCAGTTCTCTTAAGGGTCTACATACATTCCATATAGCATAAATTCTTAAAACTTTATTGCTTGTAAATGAGTTAAACAGATTTCCAAGACTTTGTACAAATACAGGACCTATTGACATTATTCAGGACTTTCCAGTTCTGGGAAATGTCAAAACAAAATTCCAGGATGTCCTAGGTTTTCTGGCCCTGTAAAAAACCTGTCTCTGCAACTCTAAAAAATTTTTCAGCATTTGTATTCTTCAATAACATTGATTTCTCATAAGATAGAAAACACAGAATAAACGATTGTGAAACTTAAAAAAAAAGGACTTGAGACATGCCATGAGACAATCCAATTATATTCTTATTGCAAACCATACTATGTTATAGTTTCACAGCAAGAAAGGAATTCTTACCTTACACTCTCACAACAAGCCATAGCAATCATTGTGACAAATGTGACAGCCCTGTAACATGACATTGAAAAAAGTGAGAAAAACTTTGGAAAGTGTACACCATTGTAACTGAAAAGGGAAGTAAAAAGAGTAGGTGGATGTCTTTTTAAGTTATTGGCATGAATATCAAATGTATTATTCAATATTTATAAGCATGCAAATAATGGCTTAGGTGACTGGATAAGGTCCTCCATGCAGGGTGATTTTAAAGGTGAAGAACTTATTTTCTACATGGCTATCAATTGAAATGATTTTTGTGTGCTCACAAAGAAAAACATAAATACAAGACAATGCAGTTGCTCTGACCAACAATCACTTGTTTTTTAGTAATCATTTTTCATCAAACTAACATAATTAAACTCAAAAGGTTCAGTAATTGTCCAAGGGATTATTTGACAATAACTATCCTGCCTAACATACATGATTGATGTTAATTTACTGCAGCATTTGTATCCAACTAAAATCAAAGTTATTTTTGCATAAACTGAAAAAAATAAATCACACTTACAAAGCTCCATAAAATAATCCTACATGTTTCATTGCATATTCCTGTACAGGCTCACTGAATAAAGAAAAAATGATAAAAATGATGTTAACCTTAATATTATTACAAGAAGGTGCCTAAAGTGCTTTATCCAATTTTACATCTCTGCAAATTTATTTTCCTTACCAATACAGGAAGAAACAGATGAATGCCATTGTTATGACAAGTTGGCCAAGTAGAATAGCATAGACCTATAAAATAGACATAAACAAAAACATTACTGATAATTATGTCCTGCAAGAGCACATAGCAGTCACTCTGTAGGTCTTACCAGCTACCCCAGATGTCGATTTTAATCACTGAGTAAAACATTGTGTTTGAGTTTGCTTGTACAAAGTTGTTTTCTTGTTTTGTGGGGATTGTTTTGTTTACACAGACAATGTCAAATTGGCCACAATTACACGTCTACAACCTTAAAAAAACCATTGGAAAATTGTATAAATAGTACAAATTTTTCCAGCAGCTTAAATTGTGAACTTATATAATTCCAAAATAGATTCTATATTGCTCTATATCTGTTCAGTAAAATAGATCACAGATGATGTCAAAATGTGGAGAGTGTGTTACTGAACTAAAATGCTCTTAACCCTTTAACTACCAAGATCTCATTAGTAATTCTCCTTACTGTCTCCTTACAGTTCTTATGATATTAGTTTGGAGAATTTGGTGTTGTATCAACTTATAATCCCCTAATTAATATTTTTCTTTATTCTCATCACTTGTCTGCTTGATATTGTATTGATATTGTAAGGAGAATTCTGTTTTAGTCACTCTTTGGAGTCAAAGGGGTAACACATTTTGACAACTTCTATGATCTGTTACTGAACAGATCCACAGCAATACATGACCTATTTGTTTTATATGATAAAGAAGCAAAAATTTGTTAATGGTAATGTCATCTAAGCATCTGTCCTCCAACAGATCACCAACAAAAGCCAATAAAAAGGCACCCATAATTCATATTATTATACATGAGTGTATGCATCATGGACAGTAGTGTCACAGAGCAGTTTACACTTCATGCCTGAGTAATCAGACAATATGCATCAACTGCACATGCTGTAATATAGCAAGATACTGCACTCATTTTCATGTTACAAAGGTCCCCTAATTAATAAATTTCGCATAAATTTACTTCATACGTATTTTGCTTCACTTTCCAGTTTTTATATTGTTTTCATACAAAAGGATCATCAGCAACATCATCTAATCAAACTGCCCAGAATCATACTGTCTAAAAAATAACAAATCGGACTCCCACCAATTTTGTTAACCCCTCACATGATAACAGACCAGTCCATTAAAGATGGAGCCAAGTGGAGATTTCCTGTCAGAGGGTGTATGTAATTCAGTTCCCTTACTTCCGTCCCTCCTTTCACTATGTATAAATGTCGACGTTACGGTTTGAGTGGTTTAAATAGAGTTTCTGCTAGAAATCTCAAGTTAATCATCACAGCACTTGTACGTGGGTACGTGTACGTTCGTTTAATTGGTGTCATGGCGAAGTAAGGATAAAAAGGAAAAAATGTCGTGAATATAATTTGTGATAACGAAGCTCTATATTTATATTACATTTTCTAGACAGTCAAAGTCAAGAGTATACTTTATCCAACCTTCGTATCTACCCAAAATAAGGGCAGTGATTTTTAACCGATAATATAGGTTACCCTTATGTGTGCGCAAGTATATGCATATAAATGACAAAATTAAACAGCTGAATCAAAATAAAAACTCTAATCAACATGCACCGAACACAGGCCAAATCTTACCTTTCGAATGAAGCCTGTGACAAAAAGCAAAAAATACATCATTTAGTAACCTCGAAAAAACCAACAACATATCACATCTAATTCAACCAGTTAAGAATTACATGTATAACCCTTACCAGCGCGAATGGAGGAGTCGCTGAAAGCCATTGTGTTATCGAATTGGCTATAGTCGGCCCCGCCATATTTGTTTGCCTCTGGGTCGTACATTTTGAAATAACTGTTTCTTTTGCCAAAATACACTTTTCGCTCCGAGGAAAAAAATAATCTATATCCTCAGTTATCACCCAGTTTCATAACTATATATGGGGTAATAATAATTGCTCAGATGAATGTTTGTACCGTTGGAAAGCAAAACTCTTCCGGGAAAACTAGTACCATTTGTAGCATGACGTCACCTTCGTGATGATTGGACAGTGTTGATAAGCAGGGCTGATGGGAAAGTTAGTTCCAGTCGAGTGACTGAGTATCCAAAGTACTCATGACTTATTCATCAATACACAAGACACGTCTGTGCTATGATTGGTTTTGCTCAAATAAAATTTTAATGTTTGTCGCTATTGTCAAAAAGTGCAAAGCGGAAATCTAACAAGATTAATTAACAGGGAATTCTTCACGAACTTGGGTTGGACTTTGGACCAATCAAAGCGCGTTCTATCAGTTTTAGTTCTGCTTAGTCTATCTTTGGATATTGTGGACTTTGAATGCGTATGTACCGTTGTATATTGAAATTCTTCCGAAAGAACTTCCACTCATTTGAGTATGGCGTCACCTTCGTGATGAATGGGCAGTGTGCTAGTCACACACTAGCCCTCTGTTGGTAAGGGAGGTTTGATGGGAAGGTCAAAGCCCAAGACTGCTAGTTTCCTATCTTATCGTGAAATAACAAACCGCTCAGAAAATGCAGCATTTGGTTATTGGGAATATTTTATTAGGTATCGACGTTGATGGCGCATAGATTCCCCTTTGACCGATTTTTTCGTGGTGCAATTCAATTCACCTGAGGAAACCCGACCGCAGTTAGCTAGTGGATTTCTCTAGGAAGACTGGAATCTTAACTAAGTAACATTTATTAGCACTATACGCCTCATTCAGTGTAATTCCTACCTAGAACAATAGAATAATTTTTCTAAGGACCTAAGGCTAATCTTGTCAAACAGAAGGCATCATGAAACCAACCTCATTGCTAGGTCAGCTAGAAATACAACACTGTTAATATTCCTATTGCTACAGTCAAAGAAGTTTGACAGTACTTTTAATTCATTCGCAGTGCATGTATTTAAATGTTTGAACAATTTTTGGTACCTCTCTGAGAGGAGCTCTACTTCTCAGCGAATTTCTATCCCTAAAAGCAATCGATATGGTAACGGCCAGGGTTAATTTTCAACAGATTAGCGAGACTCTCCTTGCCAACATCGGTGATCTGATTAGAGCTCAAATCCACTGCAGTTACCTTACATGTTTCTGTCTGGAAGGCTTGACATAGAGTGTCAACACCGACATCAGTGATCTGATTAAGACTAAGATCCAGTGTCTTCACCTTACAAACAGCTTTTTGTAAAGCTTGACACAGACTGACAACTCCGGCATCAGTGATCTGATTGAAACTCAAATTGAGTGTGGTTATGCCACATGTTTCTGTCTGTAATGCGTGACACAGACTGACAACACCAGCATCTGTGATCTGATTACCACTTAGAACCAGTTTTGGTAATTTACTAGTTGCGGTCTGCAGTACCTGACATAGACTGGAAACACCGTCATCAGTGATCTGATTACCACTCAGATCCAGCGAAATTGCTCTGTATGTTGCTTTCTGCTGCTCACAGATTGAATTATTCCTACCCAACTCTCCTTCTGCATTCAATTCACTCATAATATCCAAAAGAAAAGATACTGTAGTGCAACCCGTATCAGTCACATTCCTGAAAACAATTGTGCCTTTGCGATCACAGAATTCATGGAAGCGCTTCTTTACGATACATTTGGCAAACTCTTTGTCTTCATACTCCATCAGACAATAAGCTGTTAGAAGCTTCCTCCTGAAAAAGTATTCAGTGCTGAATCCATTAAGTATTTGTTCCATAAGTGTGTGGTCTTTCTGCTTTGACAGAATACCGGACATGTATTGTAGCACCACTGATGAAACATTTTCAGGAGGAATCTCTTTCCTCTTTACAAACCAACGAGCCGCTAAGTATTCTTGGAGAGTCAGGTGGGTGAAGCAAAAATATTTCGTCGTTTCAGAAAAAGATTTTCTGAAAGGAGGGCCGCAGTGAAGAAGACCACTTGAGCTCAAACTTTCAACTTCCTCTAGACCAAACATTTTCACATCCTCTTTGGCGAATAGAAACTTCTTCTCCAGGAGCAATAGGGCAGCAAGCTCTGATAGTTTATCCAAAGTTTCCTCGTGAGACAGTCCCTTCTTTTTGTTGTGCTTTCTCACAAACATGTTTACCACTTCATAGTAAAGGTCACTTGTTTTCACAGGAAGGGTATCACTGCTCGTTGATTCCGTTAGAATGTACTCAAAGTAGAAACACATCAGGAAACAAAGCACAGGAATGTGGGCGAAGCTGACAAGATTGGCGTTCTTTGTCATGTGGTCCAGTACTGTGTTTTTCAATCGCTCGTTTCCCCTGAAATACTTCTCAATATATTCCTTCACCTGCGGTTCAAAAAATCCTGTAATTTCAACGTATCGATCAAAGTCAATTTCATCTTTTATTTTGTCAGATTCCTCGGGTCTTGACGTTACCATGACAACGGAACCTCTCAAGATTCTTCCTTTGATGAGTTTGGCACACAGTGCGGCTACTGGCATCTCCTCTCGGGCGTTGTTTGGAAATTCCTCATCCAAATCGCTAGCGATGAAATCTTGCTTTAAATACTCGTCATACCCGTCGATGACGATCAAAACTTCTGCCGGATGACCAACCATGTACTCAAACAAAGAATCGTCAATGTTTGAGTGGTCATCTAACACTGACGATCGGTTCAGGACTCCTCTCAAGTTGACAGGAGTGTCTCCGAGTAAATTCAGCTGACGAAAGGTCAGTAAGTATGCGAACTTTAAGTCAGGAATGTTTGTTCCCGAGGGAAACTGAAATAATTTGCCGTCGGCCCAATCTCGTATCAACTTCTGACAAAAGAGAGTTTTACCGATGCCTGCCTTTCCAGTGAGGAGAATTGATTGAGGATTCTTCTCATTGCCATCGGCTGAAGTGAATATTTCTTGGCAATGCTCGACTGGTTTTCCTCTTATTTGACCGTACTGGCGAAGATGCTTCTTTCTTTCCATGTTATGGTCTTCAACGGGTTTTCTTCCATGTTGAATGAGAACATTAGTGAAAATGTCATCTGTTCTCACATTTTTCTTGGTTTGAGAAGCGAGACGGCAGAACTCAGTTTGGCTTATTATTGATTCCTTCAATGCGTTCGTATATGCCGTTACAGCTGAAAAGAGAATCCAGAGCCTGTCTTAACTTTGATTAACAAATTATTTTAGTACATTAAATGGCTTTTACCTTAAAGTGACGGTGGTAACATTTGTATTCCGACCGTCCAGGTGAGAGTAGTCCATCCAAGTTACCTGACCCTGGTGATAGCTTCCGTTAAGATTGTGAAGACGTCACTCATTGCTTTTGACAACAATCCCTACCAAGACTACTCTCACCGGGACGATCAGATTGCACCTTCTTAAGTATTAATTGGAGTAGTATTGGATATTAGATATTGAATCATTTGTTCACTCTTCTCTTTTACGTGAAGAATGGCTTCTCGCAGGGTTTAAATTTATTGAAATGTTTACCCAGTCTGAAACTCTTCTGACTCCTGACAAAGTAGAGGAAGCCCAAAATTTGAGGCCATGTATCTCTTTGATTTGTGTTGTTACGTTCCCTTAAAAGAAAACGTCGTCAGTTTAGAGGCGACTTGGTTCATCGGCGAAGGCTTCCTTTCATTGACAGGTAGAAGAGAGAAGAAAAAGTGCCCCACCTCCAGTAACCTTTTGCAAAGGTTTGAATTTGACAAGTGTTTTTGGAACAAAGAAACGCCCAGGCCATGTAGTTGATGGAAATTTGAGCCTATCGATCCTCCCTATGCTCCTTATCTTTACTACAAAAATCATATCTTTTCGCATACCTTCAACTCCTATTTCCCTTTTGGCATTCGCCATGGCCTCCTTTAATTCGTCCAACTTCCTATCAAACTCGCCGAACTCTTTCATCATTTTATCCAGTTTTTCAGTCATGCTGGCCTCATCTTGAACCCATTGTTCAAGGAGCTTTTTGTAGTGTTCCTCAAAATCACTGTCAATACATTGACTTTTCAAGTCATCAATAGCACCATGGTAACCTTCCCCTCCAGTTCTCACTAGTGCACCCTGGATGTCCTTCCAGTACTGATTGAAGGTTGCGTCGTCAATCGAGGCCTTGCTAGCATGACTATGAACGGTGTTTCTATAGCACTTGATGCGAACGATATCTGCCTCAAGGGATGTGTCATCTGGAGGAGGAAGTGTATCCCAGCCAGTAGCCGGAGGATTAAGACCACAAAGATTGCGCAGCAGAACCATCAGGGTACTGATATCAAAATGCTGTGATGAAACTGAAGATTTGACGGCGGGATACAGTTTTTGCCATTGCAAACAACTAAGGACTTTCTTCTTTCGAAGTATTTGCAGAACGGAATGCACTGAAGGACTTGACAAAACTGTGTCCAAATTTCCTGGTGGACGCTTCTCGTCGAATATCTTTCTCAAGACATGTGATCCGACATCCACCAGAAGCCTGCACAGCCGAGCATAATTAGTTGTCTCTTTCGAGGAAGGAAACGACTGTTCCATTGCAGAGGCCATCAAATAAGACTGGTTTCTAATATAAATAGAGAAGAGATTTAAAAAAAAGTACTTACATTGCTTCCCACCTCATATCGCATGAGAAAGGTTTCACCTTTTTGAAGGTCAAGAGCAAACTACGTTACATTTCGAGTTCGCTACATGTACGCTACATTGAACATCGAGTTCGCTACTCGCGTGACACACGTACCACAATCTCTCCGGGAACAACATGAATAACGGCCCTCCCTGAATAATGTCTCATAATTTTATCTATGAACTAAATCTATACCTGGAATAAGAGTAAGTGGAGCGAGCGAAAGTGAAGCGAACTTGAATGTAGAGAACTCAGCGAACTGTAACCGACGTAAATTATTTTGATTTGTTCTTACTTAAGAGGACAGACACATAGATGGCGTCACCATTAGCAAATGCTTGCTTTTATATCGCATAATTTAAAACAAACAGATTTCATGTTGTTGTGGGTCGTACAGTAATACACCTCAGAAAAAAATTAAAAATTACTTCAGTACAAACTCTATCCCTAAGAATAGTTTGTATCCTTGTTTGATTACTAGTCAGCAGTTAGTTATACCAGCCGTGCAAACTTTGAAAGAGTGCTATCAGTTTGTTTTGGGTCAGAGCGGGTGTATTTGAACCATGTCAAAATAATTTATAATGAGACTCAGTTTGACTCAGTGCACATCAGTAGCAGCACGACGACCGAACAAAAAATTATTTCAGCTCATTTCTTAAATAATGATTCATTCCACTGTGTAAAAATCCTTATAAAAAAGATTTTTTTTCGTTTTCTTCATCATATCTTGTAGCGTTACTTAAGTAATCGAAAACATAATTTCAGATGATTCGGACTGTTTTCAACGAAGAACCAAATATCGCAACTGTTTTCAATGTCATAGAAAGAAAAACAAATTAAAGCATAAATCACATCAGACAAGTCTTCACGTTTGTGTCCACAGGTTTACAACGAGAAATTGGTCCAAAATATTTTAGGACTATACTGTCGCGAAAGACTGTATTCAAATCGTAACCCTGGTTATTTCTTCTCCGAAAGCAAAAATTAGGAGGCAGACTCACAATTAATTAATACTACACAGTTACAAGAGGAAAATTAATCGAAGCCTTTTTAGGAAGATTTAGGAGTAAAAGGTAACGCTATAAATGTATGGACCACGAATCCTACCTCAAAGCTGCCTCTCAACGAAAAATGCTCGTCCGCGCGGCAGGGAAAGGTCGATGGTCTCAGTAGCGTGTAAACACTGGCTAATATTCCTCAGTTGTGATCTGTTTCATTGATCTCAGAAAACACTCTGACAACCAATTCGATAACAGTTGATTTTTAAAATTTGGTCATCTCTCCCTGAAGTAAACCAATAAGCTTAAGTAGGCAGAGTTCATAACCAAATGAAACAAAGTCGGTATGAATTATTTCTCCCGCTTTCGAAAGCTCAACCCTTAGCTTTTCGCTCTATAAATAGCCTCTGTCGTCATCATTTGAATATTCAGACACCTTATCGTTAGCAGAAAAGAAAATGCATCAAACTGGTTTTCTATATTTCGAGTGCAAAATTGAACCGATCTAATCTTAGGTCAAAGTAGCCCTTCTCAGAATTTTTAAACTATAGAAGTGAGGTAAAATAAAAAAAGAATACGTGTATCTAAGCTTGACTAGGTATGCATCTTCTGGCATTGATCGACCTGAAAATTGATCTATTACCATTCACTTGCATGGTCCGTTCTTGGATCACGCAATCTGGCCTGTATTTACTAAGACGGACCATTTTACTAGAGGAAAGAAAATCGGGTTGTTAGGCAAAATTACGTAGGATAGAAATATCTATCGCCGCCTTGATACAGTTAGGGGTTTTTCAATTTGTTTACATGCTGTTGCATTTTCTAATATCGCTTTCGAAAACCCTAAACTCCCTCAGGCTCCGCAAACTGATGCTAAACGGGTGACTGAATCGACATAAAAATATATGGACACACATGGACACGTGGTTATGCCAGTTTAATTTCTTCGCCAAGATATAAACGCTCTAAGTTACACTTCACCTTTGCATCTGAGTAACAGAACGTGACTTCCGATTCGTTCACAGCTTAATTCTAGAAATTTCTCTGCCGCGGCCTGAAACAAAAAATCCACAAACATATTTTGATGTCAAATGACGTAAACAGAATTATAAAGGCGTAGCATTTCCGTTTCGAAACCCTTACGTTCGCCCCTTCCTTTAAAAACGGTCCACGTCACTAAATGACCTACACATCAGGTTATTACCCATCTGACTCAAGATAAAAAAAAATCGCTGATTTACAATGATGAACAACAAAAAGAATCAGTCCTTCCGTTGTTGAAGATTTTGTCAATTTCTATACCCTAAATTTTAGTGCTACATTATCATTGGGCAGAATGCTTATCGTTCTCGCGACATTTACTTGAAGTGGCGAAAATATTATAGATCTGTAATATTTGCGGCGTAGCGTAACCAGGAAGGCTCTCGTTGGTCGAAGATCGCGCGCGCTTTCCTCCGAGGGGAATACTGCCTTAGCTCATTAACTCGTCATGGTGGAACTAAGAAACAAAGGCCTCTAAGTTATTGTTCTGATATCACACTTAGCGCGCGCATACTTGAACCTGGCTATTCCATGCATTGGATCTGTAATGGCCATATGCGTTCGATTTTATTGTAGAAAATTAGTTGTTTATATCTCGCTAAAACTTAATCAACACACATTTCGCTTCATATTAAGTCCACGACAGTTTGATAAACAGCGGGTTTTTTCTATTATTTTCCGCCTAGGATGCGATTGTCAGTCATCGAAAACTTACTTTTATCGTAAATGAAGGACAAAGTTTCCGAATCGCTCTAACGTAAGTGTTTTTGAATGGAAAAGGGAAAAAATCTAACAAAGCAGAACATACGAACAAATTCGCTATTTTAGGACCATAGTTTCTAGTAATGATTAAGAGCCAAAACGTAGAACGCGTCGAACATGAGTAGTAGTCGACGAAGATCAATTCAAATGTCTCATTTTCGGTCCGAGTTATTTGGACTTAAAGCAGTCTGTTCTTGGCTGGTCTAAGTTGATCCCCTATACCCGCTTAACTATTTCCCTCACCATCCACCGGGCCACGAAAAAAATAATGAGAACGACAATTCCTGTCTATCAAAGAGGCTAATCCATTAAGCAAACTTTTACTAGAAAAAAACTCACCAGATAGTTTAAAAAAAGGAAAAAAAAAGATAACCTTGGATTTGTTTAATATGTGCTTTCCTAGAAGGAAAATACATCAAAAAGGTGATTGACTATTGGTGGAAAAGGGGTTTTCCCAAATTAGTTACTACGAATCGTCACCAAAATGTTGTTGCACATGATCCTCGAAATTTCTCTGACCATAACTTTCAGGAAAAAACTTCTCACACATTGGACATATTTTGCCGACTACGCGAGTTGCACCAATGAAATCCTCCTCATCGATAATTTCAATATCACTCTCTCCAGTCCCCGTGTTCTCGGACAAAAATGTTCCCATGGGAACTGCCCTTCCTTCGGCTCCACCCGAAGAAGCCCTCGAGATCGGAGATGAATATTTTTCTTTACTCAACCTTCGACCAAAGCCAGTAGCTCCAATTTCATCTTGATCATTAAGTCGGTGGTATTCTGATGCTTCTTGTACGGCTTGAACGGGAACGCTTAGAGGAGCATCTTCAGCGACTAACCGTTCGAAATTTCCCACTTGTTCGAATCGATGCCTTTCGGTAAATGTTATCTCTCTCTCCTGCGGCCATCTAGTGCGGGTTTCTGTTGAATATCCCGAAGATTCAGCTCCGGCTGGCCTGGCTTGCGAAGTTTTGATTAATTTCGTGAAATCTTCATTTGTTTTCTCCGTAAGCTCCGCCAGCTTTTGCAAGCTATTATTTTGTGAATTCAAGAGTTCTCGAACTTTTTTCATTTCCGCTACATGTTCTTGGGCTGTAGACAACATGGTCTCTACTCTCTTCTGAAGTACAGCATCTGTTTTTGTTGGCAAGACTGTTCTTTTTGCAGGGGCTTCTTCTGGTTTTGAAGCTTGTGGACATAAAGGAAAATAAACAAACTTTAGACGAAGAATATATCGTAAATATCGCTCCCTTGCTTTGCCCTATTAAATTGAATAAATGTAAACTTATTTTATCAGAAAAGTCTGAGTGAAAGAGAGACTGGATGAAGTCAAAGTCTAGCAAAGCTGCCGACTAAGTCGACTAAAACCACAATTCGAAATGCTGAGGTGAGACCCTGAACAAACACAAAACCAAAAATGAATCCGGAGAAACCCGATCAGATTCGTTCAATGATGGCTAAAGTCGGAGTTGAACCAGATTACACGAGTCGAGTAAGAGGAGACAATGATAGTCCGCCATTTTGAAAACCGTGAGGGGCTTGGGGGAAGGTTTACGGACTTGCAAAACATCGTAGCAAGGCGCTTACGGTCCACAGCAGGCGCAGAAACGCCAAACAAACAAATCTGAACACTTGATTGCCACAGAAAGCGCTTTACCACGATCTCTCGTTTTATTCTTCCTATTTCCTTAGATAAGTTTCTGATATAAATACAAACGTAACAACTCTACCTTCAGTCACTCCGCCAGCTTCTGCTTCCTTCCTCTGTTCCTTGGTTCGTAATTCTTTATTTTGAACCATTACCTCCTTAAATATCTTGTAAAACCGATTCAGTTCCTGTGCCTGATCTTCAATTTTATGTTTCAATAATATAGCCTCCGCTTCAGCATTTTTCCGTCCTCCATCTGACAGTTCACATCCCCCTGTACGAGATACCACTGCTCCTGTTTTGTTCGCGTTATTTCCTCTAGTTCTTCCCTGTATTGTAACAGTTATATATCCTTCCGACTTTTCCTCAATCCACTTTTTCAGATTATCCCTATCCACTATGATAATCCATAGCCGGTTATTTTCTTCCTTAACTTCTAAACCCATGGTTTTCAACTCCTCGCCTAAATCTGTATATTTTTTTTCTTCTTGTTGTTCTTCCTTTCCGGAGGTCGACTCAGACGAAGCGCCACCTTTGGCCTAAACAATTGAGTTAATAAAATAAATAAAACCAATGACGAACAGACAAGGAGAAAATAAAATATTTTCAATAGAATATCTAGTTCTGCATCGATAGCGAACTAAAACACTTACTTACTTATCAATTACTTTGTCTACAGAGTGAATGAGTAAATGACTAGCCAATGTGAAAAATTTTTAGAAGAAGTTTTGAGAAAAATTATGAAAGGTTTTTAAATTGATTTGTCTTCTTATCTGTGGAAACTAAAATTACAATGCAAGGCTGAGTCTGACAGACCTTCCGACAGACATGCCATCAAAAACTAATGACAGACATGCCATCAGACAGACCTTCTGGCAGAAATGATTTCAGACAGACCTCCAGGCAGAGAAACATGAAATTAGACAACCAGATACTCAAGTAGTTACAGAGTGTCAGACAATGTTCAACATACAGAAAATTAGGCAGACTAAGAGTGACACACAGGTAATCAAAATAGTAACTATGTGATTGATTATGACAGCCAGAAATGGAACCCTGGCATCAAAATCCAGCAACAAAATCAAGACAGATAGATGAAGAGAAATTCAAAGAAACAACAGGAACCACACACTCACAAAAATTGACTGATGAATGAAAGGATACATGTATAAGTAACCTCTACCCTCTGTTTCTGAACATAAAGATTGTGATGAAAAAAAAAAGGTATTGAAATTACACACCTGCATAGTGCCTCCTTGTGTTTGTTTCTGAGAAAGCTGTAATTCTTGTATCGTCTTCTTCAATTTTTCATTCTCTCCAAATTTTTCTTCAAAAGCAAGATAGCTGTTATGTAAATGACTCAAGAGAGCATCTCTTTCTTTATACACTTGTTCATGAGATCCTTTTCTATCTCTCTGTTTTGATTTTGCTGTTAGCTCAGATACCTTTGCCTCAGCCCCATGTAAACGCTTCTCAACAGTACGAAATGCTGATGAGGAGATATTTGAGAAAGAAAAATATTTAATCCTTACAACTGTAATAAATTACATTTTGCTGAGGAAACTAAGAGGTTATTAAACAGGGTGTACTTGTAATGAAGTGAGGTGCATCATTATCATTTGAATTAAAGGAAGCATACATCGATTAAAAACAAAGTTTGAACAGAATGTTAGTGCCACTATCCCAATAATAACAATAATTTGATACCCAACTCTGGGAAAACCAACTAACAAAAAGATACAAAGATGAAAAGGATCTCACTGAAAAACTTCCTAAAAACTTATGTTTTCAGTTAGCCAGAACCTGGACTTATAAAAGCCACTCTTTGTTGGAATGATAATTAATGATATTTACTCTTTGATATCAAAACTTACGACTACAGCAATTATTACTTATTGATTGATAAATCATAGAAAGCTGTTTAAATACCCAACAGCTGGGCATCAAATGCCCTGCTGACCCATAACAAAGTATACCAACCAAGTCAACACAAAACAAGAATTCCTTACACATTAACAGTTTCAGGAGTAATACTGGTTGTAGAAACTGTTCCAATTTTCTTACAAATGCAAATTTGATCACGCATACTCACAGTCACAATCACAAAATTAATCAAACACAAGTAATCACAAAATACACCCCTCCTTGCTAATACAGCATCCAAATGAATGCTCTGATTGGCCAACCCTGTATCTTGTACCTTTTGGGATGTCTACTGTCATTTTCACACAGATCAATGATCTCCTCATCCCATCATGGAAAGAAAAAAGGTTTGCATAGGTACAACTTTGAATTATTTGTGAAGGTCTTTGGTTTTGCATCTCACACAGCAAGAACAAAGATTGAGGCTTCGCTAAACAACATGCTCCTTGAGGGACCTGGTACAGGGTTGGTGAATCCCTGTACCAGGTCCCTCAAGGCATTTTTAAGATGTCTATCTGTTGAAATTGCTATTTGATATACAGTCAAAATGTTGTTTCAAGCTAATTTTAAATGGGATTGATTGGGTACAATTGTTTAATGTATCCAGCTGAGAGAAAGAACGGAATGGTTATCAAGGTTTACAGACAAACGATGTCAAAGCAAGAGCTTGTCCTACAGTGCAGTTGAAAGTCTCACTGGAGAAATTTCCATCACTGATGGACATAAAAAGTTGTTCCTGTTAGATTATGCAACCTTTTATCTGTCCCCTTCATTATCAGCACACGTTCAAGGGAAAATAACTTTCCCAGCCCCTGGATAACAACTAAATAATTATGAATAATCATCATTTACTCAAGCCATAGATATACCATCTAAATCTCACACCAAAATCTACAAACCCACATCTTTCTATATCTCTGTAATTTAGTGTTATCAACTGAGTTGAAAAAGTAAATAGGCCACCAAAGAGAGTTTAAAGGCTGATGTTTCGAGCGTTAGCCCTTCGTCTGAGCAATTGGAAGAAGTGTGGGTTGTGTGTGGGTTTATACGCAGAAAATGGAGCTTTGCTATAGGTGGGAAAATGGTGACGAGAAAACGAGAATAACGAAAATAAATTAGTTGAATAATTTATCCTCGTTTTCTCGTCACCACATTCCCACATAAACCCACACACAACCCATAATTCCTGCAATCGCTCGGACAAAGGGCTACCGCTCGAAACGTCAGCCTTTAAAACCCTTACGGTGGCCATTTTACGTTTTCAACTCAGTTGACAACACTAAATTACCCTGTTGTACTCTCCCACCGACGCAGCAACACAGTTTCTTTAGAAACTTACCCCCTTTAATTCTATATCTCGTTTAATTTATACTGCTAAGTTGACAAATACAAAATCTTTATTACCTTTAGGACTATGTAAAATTAAATGTAATGCCCATGAACCAAATACCTGTTCTTAAAGCAATGTATGCTTCTCTCGGCACAGGTCCACTTTCATTACTATAGTCTTCTAGTCCTGCGTAGTCAAATACATCTTCCTCCTCAGATGTTTGACTGCGAGGTGATGCTGGTCCTTTTTTCGAAACAAACTTCCTATCCATGAGATGCTAAAAGTCCGAAACTTGTTCTAGTTGAAGATGGTATGTACTCGAAAAATACGAAATTGGTAATGGAATGTAAAATATTACGTCATGGACGTAGATAACCCTTTATTCAGTGGAACGTAAAGTGAAAGAAACCGCTTTATCTGTTTGAAACACTGAAACGAGTTGGAAAGGGTAGATTAAACACGTACCTCTCATGCACTGCTTTCTGCAACTTCCGCGTTTTCGGACAAAGCAGATCGAAATTGAAAGTCTCAATGCTCCAGGCTCGTCAGGATGTAACTGTCGAGGCACCCGGAGACTTGGACACCACTTTACTGACGCGAATCGACGCGTGGGTAGTCGCGTGGGTAGATCCCTCGAGTGTTCTTTGAATGGTCAGTATTTCTACTTCCTTTGTCATCTGTTACGGTTATTGCCTAAGAACAGCATAAATTCCAAGTGATTGTGGTCCAGGAATTGCATGAAATAAAGTCGCAGTCAAGATCGGAAACGCTTGAAAATCAGAGGTAGGTTTGTCTCCAGATCTTTGGGCTGCGTTAATGAGCTGGCGGCGGGTATATTTGCTGCTGTTTAATAACCGCATAGAAAAAACAGGAAATACCAAAGGGTCACAACCAGGTCGCAGTTATTTTAACAATCTGAATAAATACGTTTCGGTCCAGGGGGCCTAGATATATTTTACATGTGATGAGATTTTTCAACGTTTAGCGTGGCATCGGGCCACCAACAGTCATGCGGTCAGAGTAAAACGCAGACTGCAGGCTGGTTGTCAAGGCCAAACAAAGTATACATGAGCTACATTTATGTTAAGCCACCTGATGTAGCTCAGCTGAACTGTTTATTCCTTAATAAGGGAAATGTATTCAGCCGGCTGTGAAATGCATTTTCAAACACTTACGTTTCTCATCGTTCTTACCTTGAAACAATATGTCAAGCCGAATTATCTGAGGAAGTGGAGTTCGAAACATCAATCACCATGATGACTATTGAAAGCTTCTCACGACTTAAGCGGCCTCCATCCCAGCTCACTTTTAAAGTTTTTTTTTCTGGGGAAGTAGGTTGTTTTAGAACTGAGTCTGCATTTTACCCCTGGTCTGCAGTTGTCAGTCTGCATTTTACCCTCAGTCTGCATTTTACCCCTGGTCTGCAGTCATCAGTATGCATTTTACCCTCAGTCAGCATTTTACCCTTAGTCTGCATTTTACCCCTGGTCTGCAGTCATCAGTCTGCATTTTACCCTCAGTCAGCATTTTACTCTTATGCCCCATTCACACCAAAGCTTAAACATGTTTAAAAGTTGTTTTGTTAAACACAGTTTAATTTTTTTTTTCTTCATAGAAACTATTTAACCGAATATTTTTGACTTGAATGTAGCACATTGGAAATGCAAGTTAGCAAGTACTTGAATCCAATGGAAAATCAAGTTTTTCAGTTCTCTGTTTATAATTTTCATTCAATGAAAACCAGGTTAACAAAACATGTTTTGCTGGTGTGAATGGGGTATTAGTCTGCATTTTACCCCTGGTCTGCATTCGTCAGTCTGCATTTTACCCTCAGTCTGCATTTTACCCCTGGTCTGCAGTCATCAGTCTGCATTTTACCCTCAGTCAGCATTTTACTCTTAGTCTGCATTTTACCCCTGGTCTGCATTCGTCAGTCTGCATTTTACCCTCAGTCTGCATTTTACCCCTGGTCTGCAGTCATCGGTCTGCATTTTACCCTCAGTCAGCATTTTACTCTTAGTCTGCATTTTACCCCTGGTCTGCAGTCGTCAGTCTGCATTTTACCCTCAGTCAGCATTTTACTCTTAGTCTGCATTTTACCCCTGGTCTGCATTCGTCAGTCTGCATTTTACCCTCAGTCTGCATTTTACCCCTGGTCTACAGTCATCAGTCTGCATTTTACCCTCAGTCAGCATTTTACTCTTAGTCTGCATTTTACCCCTGGTCTGCATTCGTCAGTCTGCATTTTACCCTCAGTCAGCATTTTACTCTTAGTCTGCATTTTACCCCTGGTCTGCATTCGTCAGTCTACATTTTACCCTCAGTCTGCATTTTACCCTCAGTCTGCATTTTACCCCTGGTCTGCAGTCATCAGTCTGCATTTTACCCTCAGTCTGCATTTTACCCTCAGTCTGCATTTTACCCCTGGTCTGCAGTTGTCAGTCTGCATTTTACCCCTGGTCTGCAGTCATCAGTCTGCATTTTACCCTCAGTCAGCATTTTACTCTTAGTCTGCATTTTACCCCTGGTCTGCAGTCGTCAGTCTGCATTTTACCCTCAGTCTGCATTTACCCCTGGTCTGCAGTCATCAGTCTACATTTTACCTTTAGTCAGCATTTTACCCTCAGTCTACATTTTACCCCTGGTCTTACTCTTAGTCTGCAGTCTGCAGTCTTGCATTTTACACTGACTGATGTGTATCTTATTGATGTGTTGTTGAGGTATAAGTTGGAGTTGCAAAGGATGATTATTTGATTATCACACAAAAGTTATCAGTTGAACTGTGTATGATTTACAGTGGATTAATTTGATTGATTGAGGACAATTGGATTCATCAAGAAATTAGTTTGTGGAATTGCCTCGCTTTGATCACTTATTTTCATTTCTTTGCAAAATCTGCCAACAAAATGAAAATTATGTACTGTGCACAAGGTCCATTTTGAATGAGGATTGTTATTAAAGTGCACAAACAGCTGAAAGACAGGTGACTTAAATTTGAATTTTTTGTCAATTTCAATAGGCACAATTATTTTTTATCTCTCTGTTAAGCTGTATTCAATTTATAATAAACATGTTATTTTAATGTAAAGTCAGTTTGCTGAAATGGATCCTACCTCAAGAGACCAGCTATTTGTGAGAAACCCACATTTAAAGGAGCTTGAAGATGATGTGCTCTTTCATATTGGAATAACAGCTGGGGACCATAAAAATCTCAAAAATTTGTTTGGTGATGTCAAGGTAATTTCAATGCCACAAAAGAAAAAGCAAATTATTAGCATGGTTGTATGTTAATTAGATTTCAAGGCTGTGCTCTAACGGCGCCCGGTCGCCTGAGGCGACTAACATTTGGCCTCGGGCGACTGAAAATATTTTCTTGGTCGCCCGGCCGGGCGACTGGCTGGTGTTGGTTTCTTGATTTACAGTAAAAAAAAAATAGAAAATGTTGTTCAATCGGGCGCGCGTTGATATTCAAAGGTCGTTCCACGTGAATTTACGTGTAACATAATCATCGACTTTGATCGTGACAAGCTGCACAGTTTTCGATTTTAACCGCTTTTCCAAATAGTATTATAATTTTTCCTTTAAATTAGGATGGCTCGTTAGTTAGTTTTTGAAAAGCAATTGTTACTTCTGCTCTGACAGGCGTAAAGTACGGTCGACGATTAATAAATCGCTAAATGAACACGGGAGTCGTTCTTTTAAAAGAAAATGTTGTTCCATCGGGCGCGCGTTGATGTTCAAAGGTCGTTCCACGTGAATTCACATGTAGCATAATCCTTGACTTTGAACTTGACTAGCTGCACAGTTTTCGATTTTAACGGCTTTTCCAATAGCATTAAAATTTTTGCTTTAAATTGGGATGGCTCATCAGCTAGTTTTTCAAAAGAAGTTGTTACTTCTGCTCTGATAGGCGTAAAGTACGGTCGGCGATTAATAAATCGCTGAATAAACACGGGAGTCGCTCTTCTATGCTAATTTAATATTTTAGCCGGCTTTTTACTGCCGTGTCTGCGAGGCAAAAACATAACTTAAGATTGTTTTTCCAGTAAAACACGATGTATAAAAAAGAAAAGATAGCTTTTTTTTTGTGATTGTTTTAGAAACGCGTATAAACTCTATAAGTCCCGCATTGTCCTTGGTGTCATGACAAGTTATTACGTATCACGCACTAAAAATAAAATCGACCGAATCCACAAAAAGCTCATTTGTCTTGAACATTTCACCGATAGGTTTTCAGGAGGTCAAAGGATACGATGTTTCATGAACATAAAAATAATAAATAAATGCACATAGTTCTATTTGACTCGTTACGAAAACAGTTTGTTTAATTTTTAATAATTAACTGACTGATTTATTAATTTGGGCGACCAACTAGGAGGCCCGGGCACCTCAGCTAAAATGTTTGAGAGCCCGAAGGGCTCCCCGAAATTTTGATTTGGGCGACCATCTTTTAGGCCTGGGCACCCAAGCTAAAACGCTTGGGAGCCCGAAGGGCTCCCTGAAATTTTCCTTAGAGCACAGCCTTGGATTTGTAATGTAAGTGGAAAATACAACTGGGATTTTCAGCCAAGGAGTTTTGAGATGTTATTCACTTTTATTTTGTGCGAGGTTTTGGAACCTCTTTATTTTTCAAGTACATCTTGACCTACTTTCCTGGAAAATTACAGGCTGGTTTCTATGGCTATTATGCATAGATCCATGAAGATCTCTTATGTTTCCAATGTTTGTTTATTTATTATTTAAAGAGGTTGTTAGTGAATCTTCTAAAATAAAAGAGACAGCAGAAATGAAAACCAATACCAGAGAAGGAACAGTTTTATTTTTTTTTATTACAGTTTGTCTGCATGGGAGGAAGTACAAATCGGATCAAACATTTTGCCAAGTTTATTCAAGGAGAACTCAAGGACCATTTAAAGGATGATAATGAACCTCTTAACATGTCAAAGTCTGATCGCTATGTGCTGTACAAAGTTGGACCTGTTCTGGCTGTAAATGTGAGTTCTTTTCAGTGACGTCCATATAAAAGGTCCCTTTGCCTCTTAAATCGTTAGCAAGTGCAGAAGAAGAAATCACTGCTGACAGTCCTCGAATCTTGCCTGAGATACAACATTTACTAAACTATTTACTTACTTTTTATTTCAATCTGGTGTTCATCATTGCTTTGATTCAAATTTAATCATACCTCATCAAGCAGACATAATGGATAAGCCCCCATCGCAAGTTTGTGAGAAAGTGCCTATGTTTGATGTTATGCCTTCTGTAGTAAAACTCAAACTGGTTTGAAAAACTTAAGTCAGAACAAATTGAACCACAATATACATAATTATGCATGACTTGTGTGCTACTTATCAACATTTAGTTTCTTTTGAGACAGTGGTGTAATTACCACTTAACTTTACAAACTGATCTACCAAACCTTCAGCTAGGGTCTATTACATCAGGAGTTTTTTTCTAACTTTCTCTAATATACCAAAATATTTAAAAAACTAAGTGGGTGAACCCCAACATACCAACCAAGGCAAACATAAGGTCAACAGAAGGCTGACAATGCAGTCCACACTCTGAACATTTAAACAGACAGAATCCAGAATCCAAACCAAAGATTTTAGACAAGTGACAATGCAATGCACCAAAATTTTAACATCTGCCAATCTGTGTCCTAAATACCCCCACCCTACTTAGTTAAGATGTGTAATATCGTATACCAGGCTAAAGGTGCTTACATGTACATGAAATATTTTCTTGATCTATAGCACGGCATTGGAACCCCTTCTTTAGTGGTTATCATGCATGAAGTTTTTAAACTCCTTCACTATGCAGAAGCAGAAGAAGTGAAATTTTTCCGAATTGGCACATCTGGAGGCTTAGGTACTGATTAGGTAACAATTATTGTGTCACATAATAAGTGCTTTTAATAATCCCAGGAAAATCATTTATTTATTTCTATACGGTAGTTGTAATTGTACCATAGAGGGTAGATCTTTAGACCTATAGGTCTACTGTCAGTGACTTTGGGTGATATTTTGGGAACAGTTTTAGCATCAATCCAGATCCTAGAGTCAATGATTGAACAAGACCTTTGAGTCATATGATTAACAAATATTATAATAAAGTTTGGATATGACGCACACTGTCATTGGTTTAAACAGCATGCTCTATCAGAGTTTTATATGATAAGCTCAGTTATGCACGCATTCTGATTAATTCTCACTTATGATCTATTGGAGGACAGACATATAGATGTTGTCATCATTAAAACTTTTTAAAATTCTTTATTATATAAAACAAATAGATTCCAAGTTGCCGTGCATCTGTTCAGTAATAGATCACAGAGGACGTCAAAATGTGGTAAGAACATCTGTGACACACTCAGCTGCACCACATGTGCCACTTTTTTGTTCTTACCACATTTTGACATCATCTGTGATCTATTACTGAACAGACGCATGGCAACTTGGAATCTATTTGTTAATTAAAGCATAGAGCCGAGCTAAAGCCATCACGCCAACTGCCAAGTTGTCCGACTTTTTCCTGGACTTATATTTAGCTTTTTTTTTTGTTAATTGAAAGTGAAATTTCAGAACAAGCAAGCCGGCAAGTTATTGCAATGTGGGCAGAGAGATGAAAATCCTCAAAATGAAGATGTTAAATACAGTTCACTTGACCCTGATTACCAGTGACAATAGTCCATTTTTACCTCATGCTAGGAGGTTATTCATACAACGAGATTTAAGTATGGACCTCACTGACACTCACTCATTCCATTCTGATCTGTTAGACAATTAATTTATATGCATTGAACATGGATCAAATTTGTTTTCCCCTGCCTCCCCTACCAGGCTTTTTTCTGTCCTCAAAGTTGTGCTATTTTCTGATCTTTTGATGTATCTGGGAAGGGGTGGGACAAAGGCAGACAAGTGTTTTGTCTAGATTAATTTCACTTGGCAGATCATGCCATGTAATAATAAATGTCTGTTTGTAGCTAGATGAAATGAAAGATTGTCATTATGATACCAACAAATGCAGAGTAATTTTATGGGGCCTCAGTTAGTCAAATAAATATGAAAGTGCAGATTTAAAATTATTCAATTTTTAAACTATTATTTTAAAGGCCTAGAACCTGGGACTATTGTGATCACAAGAACAGCAGTTAATCCTCTTCTAGAACCTTTCAGTGAGCAGGTTAGTTTCTACATAGAAATTGTTTCCTGGTTGATGGACAGGTGTAAAAAAGACTTCTATTTTCAGTTGTATGTTCAAATATTTGAAGAGCCTTTTTTTTCCCTTTGGACTAATCTGTGTACTGAAAGTAATAAACTTCTTTTCAACCTTGTGTGAGGGCTACTCTGGGGAATATTGGCCCGAGTTTGTGGCAGTATGGACCAAGCACAGCGAGGTCAGTACAAGAACGAGTGAGGGCCAATATTTTGCAGTAATGCTCAAGCAGGCAAGGTTAAAGTAAGTAGCTTATCATATGGCACTTGCACCAAACTTGTTTGCTTTGAATTTGTCAGCTTTTCCTATCAAAAATATATGGCTTATGACCATTTCTGTGGAAACAGTCTGTAAGGCAAAATCCAGACCAAGAACCAATCTGAACCAATCGGAACTCTCAGACTTACCTTAGGACTACTTTGCCACATAATAAAATGTTATTTGTCAATCAAACATTTATGTCAAGTACAATGTAAATTTTGCGTCATCTTCCATCCCAAAGTATTTCAGCCTTTCTAAGCACTATAAAATCTTACAGTACCACCCTCCACCCATGGTTAATGCAGATAAGTAGCTTGAGAAACCTGATGAAGTGTTATCTAGTACCAGTGCTGTTCACAATACTCCTGCTCACTTTGTGACATGAAAATTGTGTTATATTATGCTTTAATTAGCAGCTTGATAAATTTGGCTCATCTTTGGTGCTTCCATTTGGCAATTAATACAGCTCAATTCTTTGATGATTATTTTCCAGTTGACTTTGATCTCCCCCTATTCTCAATCTGTCAGAAATCTGATGGGTGTGAATATCTTTTTCTTTCCTCCCATGGGTGATTAACTGTTTAACTTACAAGATCTGATTGTTAATTCTCTCCTCTTGCTGCTACACGATTTCTTGTAAATTAGTTACAAGAATTTGGGGTACGATCAAGATAAAAACTTTTTCCTGAGTATAATGAGTATTCTCATTAACTGTTTGCTAGAAAACATATTGGTATCATAGGGAGAAGTTACATGTTAATCACTTCTGGGAGGTAAAGGGCTAATTATGGAGTGATTGATTATAGGACCATGTGTCAAACTAACTACATACAGGAAAAAGTTTATTTATCCAATTCCTATTTCAGGTGATCTTGGGTAAAGTGCTGAAATTTCCATCAAATCTGGATGAAAAGTTACAGAAGCAAGTAATGGATTGTAGTGATGGTTTACTAACAGCAGTTGGAGACACAATGTGTGCTCATGATTTCTATGAAGGTATGTCAAGGGTGTGGACAAAGCAGGTAGGATATGAACGATACCTGCAAACCCCTCTCTCTCTCTCTGACGACAAAACTTTAAAATTACTTTCAAGGAAAATGCCAAAGTGAGAGGAAAACAGATGAAGAAGGAAATCCAGTCATGTGCTAGCATTTTTTTTAACATGAAAAACCTTATAGCCTGCTGTGTGGCAGGCATGGAAGGAGGGAAGAACACATGCATGTAGGGCACACTTGGGTGAAAGGAAATGGTGGAAGGGGAGAAAGAAATTGGCCCCCTTCTTCTCCTCCTCTCCTACGATAGCATTTTTTAAAGAAATTAACACTCTTTATTTGCGAACTTGTTGTGCATGATACGACATGCTAAATTATCAAGAAGCTTAACCCCCTATTGCTACCCTTCAGGCCAAGGAAGGCTGGATGGTGCCTTCTGTGACTACACGCTTGAAGATAAACTTGAGTTTCTTCAGAAGATTTACGATGCTGGTGTGCGCAACATTGAAATGGAAAGTGTTTGCTTTGCATCCATGTGTAACCGTGCTGGTGTCCCTGCAGCTATACTGTGTGTTACACTAGTGGACCGTCTCAAAGGAGATCAGGTAGAACTGACACCAGAGCAACATGAGGACTTCCAGATGCGGCCTCCCAGGCTTGTGGCTAGATTTATCAAGAAAATGTTAGCAGATCAAAGCAACAGCTGTGAGTTTCCTCTAAGGAAACGACAAAAGGCTAACTAAATGTTTCACAATCACATCATCCTTACTGATTTGAGTGTTATGTTGGTGGAGTGACTTAAAATCAATTAATAAGAATTTTCTTGAAAGGTGTCTCTTGCTTTAGTGAATTTAAGGCAGAACCATTATGGAGAAGCAAGGAATTATTAGGATTGTAATGCATGTAATGGACTTCTTTGTAAGAGGCATTAATATCTTTATTACAGGCTGGGTTCCATAAATAATGTAGCATTAAAATTGCTGGTCAATTGCTTTTTGTCAATAGGGCTAGCCATATTTCTCTAGAAATGATTCTTTTACTGTGCTTTAATAATTATAAAATAATATATTATTGGTATCACTCAATTGGTATTTTTATATTAGAAGGTAAATAGATATTGGAAAGTTATTTATTGACACAATTTAATATAATAACTTCATGTACAAATTTATTTTCAGTTTCAATACTGTATGTCATTGTTATTTGGTTGTAAATGCATTATTTTCATAACACAAGGATGAATGTTTTATAGAGTGTGGTTTATATGGTGAATAAAAAGTAGAAATACTGAATGAAGCATCCAAAGATGTGTGGAAAATGGTCTTTAAAATTAGGCCCCCATCATGCACACCTGGGGCACTAACATTGGATATTTCAGGAAGTTCAGAGCAACCAGATTTCTTTTTAACTCACTTTTCCCCTTAGACAAGTGCAGTATTTAATTTACTGGCCCAATTAATATGTCCAAAGTTAGCTTTAAGGTTTTGGCCCAATTTTTGGTAGTCTGATGGGGCAACTGAGATCATTGTGTTTTCCTTGTCTGAATGGAAAAGTTACCTTCCTTAGACATTCAAATGGCCCAAGTTTCCTGCCCATTAGAACAAATGAGAGAAATTTTGCTACAGTTAATAGAGTTTAATTTTGAACTGGGGCACGATAAACCACTAGAAAAAGATCATTTCATTAACTATAATTGTAAAAATAGGCTGCATTGAGACCAATACTCCTACCCAGTTGACCTTATTGAGTGAAGACTACCAGTAGGCAGGAATTATTCAGTTGAAACACAACATTACACAGCAGAAGTCAATTCATTGTCAAACAAATAACACTTTATTACTCTACTTTTACAGTAACATTATATATATATATTTTTTTGTTCACACCTTGCAAAATCACCTAGGTATGTAATCAAGGCCATTCTTAGCCATTGCAACAACAACTGAAGTAAATTGACCTTCTCTTCAACATAATTATTTACTGAATTCCATCCAAACTTGTATGGTGAGTTATCTGACTATACACAGAGCAATAAAAAAGCACTGGCTGGTGGAAAATTGCCATGGGCCCTCAGTGATGTTTGAGCAGAGACTGATGGCTGACACTCTGCCTGACCCTGAACAGCTAACATTTTTGTAGGAATTTTTCTCTTGTTGACATCATTTATGACTGCCGGTCTAACTTAGAGTTCAAGATTACACAAAACCTCAATAACTAATTCAAAGTGGTTCAGATTCAAACCAAATTTAAAGCCAAAAGGGTTAAAATGTTCTTTTTTCTGTTTTCTTCACAAATTATTCCTGTAAACATAAATTAATTTTATGTACAAAACTTTCCAAAACTTTTATGTTGACCCTTAGCTTCTAACATATACATAAATAATTTACAACACTTTGCAAAACCTCAGGTTAAATATGCCTCAGGTGGTTAAGCCTATACCCCTACATATACCAGAACAACTTTGCAAGGTACCAGTGATAAACAGGAAGACTGTAGAAGTTGTTCTTTGCTGACAATATTGCAAGAAATAATACTGTGCAGCTCTAATATTACCTTTGGCTGGTTAACAAACTGAGTAAGCAACACACTTCTGCACTATACCCCTGACAGAATAAACTTCATATCTCCTAGGTCTTTCCTTTGCATTTTGCCTGCGTTTTAAGGTACTCCCTTCTTCAAAGGGAGAGTTTATCACACAAGATCTTAGATTAATTCTACCAATGTCCCAGCAGACCAATATTCTCACACTGGTATTTTTGGGTTCACTTCATGTATATTTACTGCTGCAGTAGTCCTTGGCTGTTCAAACTTTTGAGAGCATTGACGACAATCTCTTGCAGATACTAAGATTAAAAAGATTGAAGAACAAAAATCATTTTGGTAACAAAAACATATTCTATTATAAAGATCACACCCTCCAAACCTACCATACAAATATTACATGTCTATAAGATAGTTTGCTATATAGCTGGCAATGCCTTTGGGCAAGATGAAGCAAATCCTGTGTTCTGATTGGCTACTCAATCTTTGTGTGTGTCTTTAATAAGGACCAATTCAAAATAGACCTTAGCCAATATCCAGCCATCTTGACCTCATGCTTGGTCAATAACATGTAAGTATAGGTAGCTTAATTTAAATCTGGACTGTGTGAAAAGGCAAGAATAGAATAGAAATTCTCTGGTCTTACCTGAGGTTTGCAATATTCTTCTAGCCAGCTGAATATACATGCTGACAAGGCTTCAAAATTTGTTACATTGACAGAGGCATTAAATGTCATGAATTGCTGTTCCATGATCTGTCGGAACTTAGAAAGGTAAAATAAAAATAAATGAAACTTGACCTTCCAAATATGCTGTAGAAACTAGGAGTTAGAATTTTTAATTGCTGATCTATAAATTTGTTAAAATTTGTTTTAAAACAAGATAGAGAGGTTTTTCTTTAAATGCTACACCATGTACATGTGTAATAGTACTGACAACTTACCACAGTAAATTTGGCTTGATCTGGTACTGTTTTCTGTCCCTGTGCTGGCTGTGAAAATTAGAAGGAAAAAAAATGAAATGATGGAAATAAAACAAAAAAAAAAAATTCTGTTTCAAGATTTTACTTCTTTCTGAAATTACATGTATATCCAGAAGAGATGTGCATCCAATACCAAGACATGACCTTAACCCTTGACACCCCATACATATTTTCCATACTGTTCTCCATAGATTTCCCAAGATGCTGACAAGGAGAATTTGTTTAGCAATCAGGAGCTCCCCTAGTTGGTGATCATTTCCTTTTTTCTCATGACCAGTATGTGTGATTCAGGGGTAAAACTGTAAGGAGAAATTAGATCCTAGTCCCTCTTAGGGGTCAAAGGCTTAAAACAGGGTTACAAGTTCAGCTGCTGTACCTGATTCTGGTGTGCTTTGGCTATTTGCTCATAATTTCTGAAAATAATGGGAAAAAAATGCAGTTTTTATCTCTAATCATAAACTGTTTTATTGAAACGGAAGTAAAAGAATGTATGGTGTGCATAACCAGCAAGTTATATCAACAGTCTTACGTCTTCATAATTTTTAAGGCCATCACTTCTTTCCTGAGTGCTTCCAGTTCCTCCTCTTGTTTCTTTCTTTGTTGATGCAAGTAAACTATATATTCAATTGCTGAAACAACAACAACGACAAAAACAAAAAAAAATAAATAAGGGGCATCTTGAATGGCCAATTACTCTTGCTAGTGATTTTAGATGTTTATACAGTGTCTGAAATCAAGGGATTGTTAAACATTTGTGTCTCAGATGTCAGATGAAAGAATCTTGTCACCAATAATGTCTAACACCTAACAATTTACAGCAAATGATAATAGGAAAAATGTGATGTTTAGAGATGTTTGTTTACATAAAACATATTCCTTACTATTAACTATCACCAACTGAGGGTAAAACAGCTCATTGACAAAAATGATGCATGTTTCCTCTCTTGAACACTAGTTTACATAAAATTCAATTCAAGTTGGTTTCCTGCTCATGAACAGCATTAAAATTGTTGGGCAGCAGTCAATTTTTCTCCACATTAGTGACAAGCCGGTCACAGTTTTGAACCCAGTTACAAAATCTTTGCTTTTAAGAACTCATTGTCTTACATTTTTGCAGAATGATTGCCTTGCTCAGCTTCTGCATAGCTGCTGCATTGTTAGGTTGATGACAGGTCGGCACAATTGTCTGTAGGTCATCATAACCTTTCTGAAAAGAAAAATAAAAATTTCATAAACAAAAAGGCACAAATTGTTTGTTTGCTTACAAACTTCTCTAGAAACATAAACTGCAAAATAAAATAACAACTGACTCGTATGGCATCCCTCCTTTTCTGCTCTGCTGCACTGTGTGCAAACCGCCTCTGTTCTTTGGCAACTGTCAAATCTGTGTCTTCATCAGGGGAATCTGCAGAAAATAGATAACATTGATGCACATGTTATGTTCACAAGTCAGAAACACTTAACCCTTTTTACTCCAATGATATACATATAAATTCTTAACTCTGTCTGTGACATAATTTCAGTCTTGAGAATTCTATATTAAGTGGAACAAAATCAATTAATTGACATTTTTTTCTTTCTTCCACTGAACTTGCACTTAAAAGATGTATTTCTTTACTTAGTATCACATGAAGAAATATCCTCTTAATCACTCCTTGGATTAACAAGGGATGGATCACCACTCTATAACTGGGCCAATAAGTAAATCAACCCTCAGTTTGTAATACATCCTTGCTTAAAATCTAACTATTTTGTCGCCATATCTACAGAAATTTGAGAAGGCGGCTTCCCAATACATTAATCTTTTCTTAAAGAAGGAATAAAATTATGTGACTGAACAACACTTACACCACTCACATGACCATACATGTATGCACACCACTAAAAACAAATGACTATAATTACAGTACTGTATTTATGCTATTGACTATATGCTGTATACATTATTTTCATCACTCAGATGTAATACTTAAATTATATGCTCAATTTACTGACATTTATTACCACTACAGTTTGTATTATACCCCCTTTCACTCCCACTAAAAAATAATTTCATATTACAATATTTACCAAATAATACACGTTTTCAAGTGAAAAGGTGGCAAAGAAAACAAGAACGAAACATAAATTTTTATTTCATACCAAATTTTCAAAGCTTAAATTATAAGCAATGTATGAAGTACAGTGTAAAGAATTGATAATTTTACCTTGGGAGTGAATGGATTAATACATACAGAAAATAGTGATAAATAATAATATTTTTCTTGTACCAAAGTGTGTCCTTGATGTATCCTCTTCAGGACTGGCTGGCTCAGACTTGACATCAGTTGCATCACCTTAGATATGAACAAATACTTAAATGTAAAAACAGTTATGTCTGGTTTCCCAGATCAGTTAATTTTGACTTTGCAAGAGTCTGAACTCCTGAGAATGAAGTAATAAGAAAACATCACAGCTTATGGGAAAACAGGACCATCTGTTTTCACAAGGAACAGAACAATTGTTTTGTTGTACATCCATAGAATGAGAACCAAACAAATGAGCATCAACAAATACACAACTTTCTTTCTCTGACAGATGCAAACATGAGACAAGTACATCATGAAAATTACCTAATATCAAATATAAACAAGACACATCCAAAGGTCAAAGAAAGTATTTCTTGTTTGCCCATAATAGGGAAAAAGCACTAATCCTCACAGGTGGACTGTACTTGAATAAAATACAGATGAAGAACTGGGTTTGAAACCTTTCCTCTCAAGTACTAGTTAGGTACTACCACTGATTAAGCTACAAAGCCAAAAGCTAACAGCAAGGAGAACTCCTTTAGGTTTTCCTTTCTCCTTTCTTTCTTTAAGGTTGGTTTCACTGGCTGGGAAAATCCTGAATGGTCAGGGATTTCATTGTCTTCCCACCATCCCAGAGTTTAAAGACTAATTAAAATTCAAAATTGAAGACATCCCCTGCTGCCTGGGTCAGAGACAAATTTGAAAAATCAGGAGCATTTCTATTTTTCCAACATGTCCCAGATTTCTGCAACGATTGAGGATTTATGAAAACTCCTATTTTTACCATTGGGGATATTGGCCAAAGTTTTAGCTCACTATCAATCACTGTCAATCCCCTTGGCTCCATTATCCTTGAGTCACAAATAAAATGGCATCTCCTGATAATTATGTTTGCAACATCTGTGACGTTAGGAAAACAGTGAAATCACCAATGGCCTGGGATTTTCTCCACATAAGAAAACTAGCCTTCACTTCTTGCCCACTAACCATTCCCTGAAATCTCCAATGCTTTCATAAAAAGAATTAACGAAAAATCAAATCAACAAAGTAATTAAATAGGTAGCTTACCTGGGTCATCATAAAGCTGGTCAGGGCCCCCTGGAATAACCGTCACAAGCTGAAAGAAAGGGATGGTTTACTTCAGACATAAGCTGTGTTTCTGATCCTCATATCAAATAAACAATGCTTGCGCACTGTGCAAAAATTGATCTACACACACATATATGTACTCTGGTTTATATTTAGAATACAAGCAACTGAGATCATGGAAGTCTTCAACGACAGGAAAAACGTACTTCTTAAACAGAGAATACGGACAAAGGGATTTAAGGGAAAGGAAAATTAAGGAATTCCTCCTAAGTATAAATGGACATGAGTGAGCCACATGACTTTCTGAGTCGATCGATCGCAAAAGGAAAATGATGCTACGGTGAATGAAGTGTTCCCCAGTCAGCAGAAAAATGAAACACCACTAAGAAAAGTCCCTAATGAGAGAAAGATCCTACACAAATCAATCTTGAACTAAGATTCCCTAACCTGGTGATTCGTAGGCCAGTCCTCGTCCTCGGCCATTTTGAATCCTTACCACCTATCGGATGTGATTGCATTTCCCGTATGTAAGTGAAGGTTTACAGAGCCTTGTGGGTTTGCTCCTCCCAGAACATTGCCTGATTTGGTAAAAAAAGCTGCACAGACAATCAGCTGAAGACTGGTTGGAGTACTTCGTATATTTTACGCTTGTCACAGCGTTGTTCGTCAGTGTGGTCTGTGAATAACGAAGAAAACACTAATTTGTTTCATCGAAGACGTGGCAAAATGAATCCATCTTGTGCCCGCTGTAAAAAGACTGTCTATCCAATGGAAAAGCTGAATTGCTTGGATAAGGTGGAGTAAACTCATTCCATCCCATGTTGGCAGTGAGAGCGTGGGGTTCGCTCGTTATAGGGCTTCGCGATGTTGGCGTGTTTTGTTCTGACATCTTGCTTCTGTTTCTGCTTTTTCAGTATTGGCACAAAGGATGTTTTTCTTGCGAAGTTTGTAAAATGACGTTAACGATGAAGAATTATAAGGGGTACAGCAAGCTACCCTACTGTTCAGCGTAAGTCAGTAAAACTGTAGTTAATTATCTAGAGTCCTGCCACAGCGATTTCCGTCTGAATATCGTTACGCATGCATTTCACATTTGCATAGAAATAAGCGTTAAGACTCCCTGTGTCTACAAAACGGTTATCAATCGTGAGCCGTTCGTTACTTCAGGTTAATTGCAATCACCAACCGCGCTAGCTAGTTGTCACGACCAAAAATCTCTGGATTTTCGATTTTTCTTCTTCTTGAACAGTCGCTACGTGCTAATAGTTAACTGAATGATTTAGCGTCGAAAATCCATTGCATTTGGAATATAATGCTCCTCCCTCAATTAATGTCACTTTCGAAATATTCAACGGTTACTATCCTTCTTCCTTAGTCCAGTATCGTTCAAGACTGAATTGTTTGTACGTTCTTTGAATATTCTCGGATCGTGTGCATTATTTTGCCACAGTATGGAGTATGTGAATAATAAAGCTAATCTATTTGACATTGCACAAATCTGCCTGTTATTGAAAACGCTGTAGCGATAGAGTAGATTGGAATCTCAATTGCGATAGCTAGATTTGCTCTCGTCCAATCGTCACACCCTGTGATTACTATTTTTTTGATTTCATGTTGAGGTGAAAGGTGAAACTTCTGCAGAAACTTCCATTCAGCTAACTCCTGTTAAGTTTTGTTTAAAATCAAATGAATATCGTCAGAAATAAATTAAAGTTTTCGTCAAGAAGGTGATGAAAAATATCTGTTCATTTGTTCGTACAGTATTGATTGTACACAGTCCTCGCCACGTTATCATGGCTGTCGGAGAGACTTTTTTGTTTATGTCTGTTGTTCCTCTGTTTTGATTAATTAGTAATGGTTCCCTCGGTCGAAAGAATTAGTAATTAGCTGCAATCCTTTTTCGTTATCTGTAAATTGTTCCCCCTGTTTTTGTTTACACAAATTACTGATTAAAATTTCCCTTCCAAGGGTTCATTGAAATACATTTAATAAAAATTTATGGAATTTTTGCCCATGGGTGTGAGACATTTACATGTGCTTTGCATGGTTGGTGTTGTGTCATGTAATTTCACAGAAATTCCACCTTTTTGAGGAAAACTTGAAAATGTGAAGGACTACTATTTGTTGCTTATTTTAATGTTTGATTTTACTGGTTTGGCACTTTACAACTCAAGAAAGATGTTAACATTGATTACCATGGTGAAATACAAGCCTGAGGCTATTTTTCGTTTTCCAATCATTTTTAACTGTTCTCCCAACTTTGTAAGTGAGTTTTTACACAGCAGATCAAAAAAGCACAGCCTGTGAAAAGCTCATTTATCTTGTAGCAAACATCACCTTTTCTGTAGACCACATCCCTTTTTTCTATATGTTGCTATTGTAGAGATTGGGAAGGGAAAACAGGTGTTTGGGCCTGTAGCCCCTAGTTTTTAATAGTAATGTCATGCCAAATGGTATGGGCCATTGCAGATGCAAAGTTGGTAAGCTGGAGTAAAGGGAACATGGGTATTTTTGTTAGTGATATAACTCAGTTACGCAGTATCCTGCTGGTAGCAAAAGAATGAAAAAGTTTTATTTACATGTCACTGAAAGAAAACAAACTAAACAAGTGTCCTGTTCAGGTGAAGAGCAATCAATGCATGATACAGTACTTATGAACTTAAGGTGTATACATCCTTCCTCAGTTGAAACAATCTTGTTTAGTAATTGTAACCTAATGAAATGGGAGACTCAAATTAATGTTTAAATTTTCTAATGGATTATTTAAACAATCATTTGCCAAAGTGAATGTTGTTGAATAATCCTGAGACAAAATCAAGGGAATTATTCAACAATGTTCGCTGAGCCAGTGGCAAATAATTATTTTAGTTTAATTGCTCGGGTGCTTTTGAATTCAATTGTAAATGCTGTAAATAAAGATAGCATTGGGCATATTTTATTACAATCACCTACCAATCAGATCATGTGCATCTCTATAATCAGGTAAGCAATTATACTAAATCATTTTAACAATTGTCAGAGTTGCAAATATTCTTCTTCATCAATGTCCACAAAATATCCTGGGCCAAATGTCGTGGATTGCCTCACTTTCTCTTTTAAAATGATTTGAATATGCTTTTCAGGCACTACCCCACTACAAAATTTACAGCAGTGGCTGACACACCAGAAAACCTACGGCTGGCTTCAAATACAAAGAAACAGAGCAATGTGAGTTGACTTTGTTTGCTAATGAAAAGGGGATAAGTCTCTAAAAAAACTGTGAGGCATGCTGGTGGGGAGTACAACAAGATAATTTTGTTGTAATCAACTGAGTTGATAATGTGAACTGGCCACTGTAAAGAGTTTCAAAGTTGGTGTTTAAAGCATTAGCCCTTCACTAGAGAAAAGGCTGTTTGCATGCATTCAGGGAAATTTGGTGAATTGCTTTAAGGTCATCCTGTGAAGGACTAACATCCTGTCTTAATGGATGAGCAAAATTCCCTTTACCTCTATGCCAACAAAATTGGGATAAGAACTCGGTGTCTTGCAATAAGGATTGGAGTAAAAGGGATTTTTCTTGGGAGATTTTGGAGAAACAAGCCATAGGTAAACACTGCTTTGTTCAATTGAAGTACCATGTGCTTTGCTATCACTTACCCTGCAAGAACATACACTGCTGCTGCTTGTGGAACACCAAGGCTCTTATGTGAATCATGCAGTAAGGGGCTAGTAAGGGTTTCTTGTGCATCACTCTTTCTATCAATCTTTCAGATTCAATATCACAAGGACTTTGAAGCTCAAAAAGGGCATTACACACCAGTGGCTGATGATGCAGAGACAAAGAGGGTTCAGGAGAGCAACAGGATTGCAAGCCAGATAGCGTACACTCAACACTCTTCAGGACAGAGTCGTCTTGGCATTCAACAACGTAGCCAGGAAGGTATGTTTTTTTTTGAGTTGTGGGTAGATTTTTCCAAGTTCAAAAAATGGCAAAATATGTAGGATGAAAAAGTGGCTGGTTTGGGATAACTGGGCTCTGAATGCTTTTGTCTAGTAGAAAAGATATAAATCTATGCCTGACTAACCTAAGAAGTAGTGAAATAAGTGAAATAAAAGGTTGTTTTGAGCCACTTGTATATATGGTAATCAGGAAGTTTAGTAGCCTGGCATATAGACAAGATGATATTGACTCTATTTGACTCTTAAAAGTTCACTTTGTCTTAATTCTGCTTTGCAACAGTGTTGATTTAAATGTCATACAAAAATTGCAATTTCATTAAAAAGCAGTTTGTTTGGAAATGACCCGGTTAATTATATTTTGGCAAATTACTGTTTCTTGCAAGGTTAGTTTTAATCCTATCACTCCTAAGAGTGACAAGCATCCAATATCTCCTCTCACTATCAATGTTGAATCAAGCATTATGATCACAAGAGGAAAGGAAATGATTGCCATTTGAAGAAGTTAAACAAATTCTCCTTTTCAGCCTCTGAGGAAATAAACATATGCTGATGTTAGTGTGTAAAGTGTTGAAGTGAATGGGTAAAGTTCTGATATAATAAGTCATGATAGAATTAGTTTTTAAGTGAGAAGAATTAGTATTTGGCTGAAATTTTCTCTTAATCCATCTAATGTACCCAAGCAAACCTACAATTTCTGGCATCTTGACCCAGCTGTTAAACCTTCCTTTGCATTATTAGAAGTGAGACAAATCCAGACTCAGCGGCGCATGTCTCAAGAGCATCCAATGGCAGCAGATCATTCATATCAACCTCCACCACAAGCGTATGTGCCAGAACCTTCACCACCAGCACCAAATCCTGCTCCAGTATCAAGTGCAAAGGTTAATGTTTTTCTGAAGAAATAGCTTGGTGCTGGGTTCTTTGCTAGAAAGCATAATCATGTAGTCTTGTAAAAGTAAAACAGAGCAATGACATTGGGCAATCAGATTGAAATAAAGTACCAAAAGGAGCCATTGACTGGGTTTTCATGGGGTGGTGGAAAAAGTTCAGATTTTGTGTCAGCTACTTTGTTAACTGTGAACAGTTTTGAACTGGTTCTAACATTAATGTCTGTGTAAAAAAAGTTACTCAGGTATGCCTCAGAATGCTGGAAATCACATCTCAGAGAACTTCACCCTTTTCAAATTTTTCCAGGGGAGTATGCTCTTTATGCTCTCCCACCCCCCCTAGAAGGGTCTATTACATTTGTAATGTTAACCCTGCACTGAGAGTTTGTGGTAAATAACAGAGGAAAAACTGGAATTGAAGGAAACACAAATTAATATGTTACATTCAGAATTGGTTTTGTATCTGATTTATTGAGAGCATGGGGCAAGTTTTTCTCTACCTTCTCAAAACTGGATTGCTTTTCATGCTCGCCAGAAAATTGTTATAATGGTTGTCAGTTATGCAAAGTTCATTTCCATAACTTCAGATTCTTGTGGAAATTTTACCAACGATGGTTGAAACACCTTATAGAATTGGGTCTTGAATTTATTGAATTACTGATATGTTGCAATGAGACCTAGCAACACAAACTGATCAAATTTGCATTTTTCCTCTGACAGAAATATGTGGCTCTGTATGACTACACGGCAGCAGATGATGACGAGGTCAGTTTTATGGAAGGTGACTTGGTCAGTGATGTTACAGTGATTGACGATGGGTGGATGGAGGGACGAGTGGAAAGAACAGGAGAGTATGGAATGCTGCCTTCAAATTACGTTGAGTCAATCTGATGAAGAGATGCAGCTTTATTTTGCATTTGAGCCAGATTGTTAGTTGCATTTGTTAGGAAAATAATTTAAATAGTGTGTTGGACTTTTGTTAAGGGTGACATCAGTAGAATTTTCTTGACTAACACGATAATATTGATGACTTATTTGGTGCTCGAGCCTTTTACCCAAGATATTTCAAAGTTGTCACAAATAGGAAATTAGCCATGTGAAAAATTAAATTCACCATAAAAGTTTAATATTACTAACTCAGTTAAGAAACATTCTACAGCACTGAACTAAGAAAATATTAGACAAGCGTGAAATTGATTACACCAGAAGAAATATGAATGTGACTTTGCAGTGGTTCAAAGATCATGAATTATTACTCAAACTGATTCTCCTCCATTCTTCATGGAAGGTAACATTATAAATGTGGTGATGGCTTGGGCAGTGAGTGTGAGCTTTTGTATGTTCATGTTTGTTGATCTGTTTGAAGAATTGACTGAAAGGAGATGGGTGGAACCCTATTTCTTAGATCTGTGTTCTGTGTAAGCCATAAGATGCTGTAATTTTATGGGTGTCTACAGAAAGAGTAACTACTGAGAGAAATTCATGTACTTCAGTTGAGATATTCCTAGGTATTAAACAGTAAGAGAAATACATCTAGGTACATGTAGGGTAGAATTCATACCATATGGAACATGAGCCCCAAACTGGTGTTATCACATGTACCATAAGAGCTTTGGCTTGCTAAAAGTTGAAGCAGTTTTTAGGGGAAAAATTTCCTTAATATTTATCATTAAAAGGTCGTAACTTTTGCTTCATGTGAAAGGTGAAACATTTTGTTTTCTATTAATTTTGAAACCTGCTAACAACTGAACAACAAATCCAAATCCACTTAGGTATCAGTTAATTTGAAGTGGGAAAGTCAGCCATCACAAAATGAATTGGCTGCTAGAGATTTCGAGTAAGACATTTCAGTGTCTGCTACTCAGGCCTGTTTTTCCTTTACTGTGCTGGCATAAGTGTCCATATCAATCAAAAATTTTCAATCAGTATGCATGCGCTTGCACTTATACTTGCTTTGAGGCAGTTTTTGCTGGGGAATGAGCACTTTTATGCATTTGCTTTTATCAGTAGTGCAAACAGGTCTTCCAACTGAAGGTTCAAATCACAAATGCAACAAAGAAAGTAAAAGGTCTTGACTCAGTTAAAGCTGATGCCCAGATACGAACATCTATCAGGGATTTTGTGTCCACTGTTTGCTTTTTTTAAAAATAAAGTTAACTCTATGTTTACATTTAGTATGGTAGTTTTCTGTAAATCACCACTAAATACTTAATTTGGAGTCTAGGGGATAGGTGCTGTCCACACCAATCTAACCAGCATTATTTCAGGAATGTTCTTTCATTTTTTTCCTTTTAAAAATCTCCTATTCTGTATCGCCTAAAAGTTTTTCTTATCACAATTTCTCTCCTTGTGGGAACGTTATTGATAAGTGTAGTATTACTGCGGTTGAATGATCAAGTTCTTGTATGATATCCAAAAACAGTTTCCCGTTTTGCATGTAACATCCATACATGTCGAACCTTTAGTTTGGTTATTTTGTCTCGTTGAGCGCTCTTTGACTGGATGTCGTGGAATCAACACCAAAGTGGCCAATGAGGAGAAAGAAAGATATTCTAAGGAGCCAATGAGATATCAAAGTAAACTAAAGAAAACTACTATAAGTGCGGGAAAACGTGAATGATTAACGATTGGCCGAGTTTCATTTTGCTTAATCGTCGGACGTGGAGAAGCAGAAGCCGTTCAATTCCGCTTTACTCTCAATGTTCAATAGAAATTTGCTCCAAGACAAGAAATTGGCTTTTGGGTAGAAATTAAAACTTTCAGCAAATAACAGTGTTCTCCTTTTTAGGCGGTAAACGGTAACACTTACCGCCTGTAGTACCTCTTATTACCGTTTATAAATTGCTTGGAATTCTTGAAAATTCAACAGGTAAAAGGATCGCTTTACCGGTTTGAAAATTTATTTTACCTGTCATGCGTAAAATAAGGGAGAACACTGAAATAAATGCAGGGTTAGTACGGGTCCTGGAAAGCGTAGAAAGTTTTCAGGATTTTCATGAGAGGAAATATATGTAGGACAGTAAGGAGAATTGATTTTGAAATCTTGGTAATGAGAGGGTTTAAGGTGATAATCGAAGCCGTGGAAAAATCAATCTTAGTCCTTGAAAAGCCGTGGAAAAGTTCTTCAAATTTATTTCTGAAAATGGGTACAAACCCTGTTAATGATCATTTACGGCGGAGCCTTGGGTTTTTTTTAGTAGATTACAGGTTAACGTGACAAATCTAAATCGTGCCCCTAAATTCTTAAACTTCCCCACCAAGCTTCAGAGTTGAAGAAGTCGTTAAGTGGAAACTCTTTTTACAGGTGATACATGTGGTACCCGGCTGCTTTCCCCTTAAGCCCTCCCTCCCCAGCCCTTTCCCCTCCCCACCGCCCTAATTCCTCTTGTAATCTGAAATTGAGCCCCAGGACTACTCTACATTAAAGGCTCGGTTACTTTGTTTCCCCGTTGAAGAAGGTACCGAAGAAGATCGAAGATGCCGTTACGATATCTTCTCAGGTTAGTCTTGAAGTCCATTTACCAGTGTTAAGTTTGTTCTGTGGTAGAAATTTCCAGTTTACCATTGTAATTAAGTTGTGGTACAACTTAAATAATCGCAAGGAAATTTCATCACATGATGTTGAAACGTACACTGTACACTGACAGAGTGAACCTTAAGCTGGAAACGTCAGCTTTGGCTAAGCTGCAGAATACCTTGCCCTGTCATTTTACATGTCACTGAATAGGAATAACGTTCATTGTGTTGTGCCTCGATCTTCAAAGCCTCCCGACACATGTAAATGAGGTGGACCAAAGTGGCAGGGTATTCTGCAGTTGCTCTCTCGTTCGTTAATTTAAAATTCTAAGTCACTTTTCTGGGGTGTTATTTGCAAATTGATTTTGTTTCCATGTTTTATAGTTTTCTGGCCAATGAGCAAGTCGTTGAAAGAGTAAGTAATGAACCTATGAAACTTATTGAGACAAAGCAATCTTAAGAAAACATTCACTCGAACATGATTAACTAAATCTTGTTCAAGTGAATGCTTTAACACAGATGTTAAAGGCTTTAAAAATTTTTTAATCCACCTTTCCACCATCATTTATTCTCATAGTTTGGTTATATCAACTGAGTTGATAATCATAATGTAAATTGATCATGGTTAAGAGTTTCTGAAGCTGACATTTTGAGTGTTAGCCCTTTGTTAGAGGGAGATTCTGATGCAAAGGGCTAATGCTCGAAACATCAGCTTTATTGTGGTCAAGTTACATTATCAACTTAGTTGATAAAACCAAAATTATCTTGTAATACCCCCTACAGATGCAGCACAACAGTCTCTGTTGAAACTTGAACCATTTTATTATTTTACATTGCCTTAATTTAAACCTACACGAATACTTTTTCATTATTTTGTGAATATTCTTACATTTTTTAAATTTAGTACATTAAATTGTACAATTGTATTTTGACTTTCTTTTGAGAGAATGAATTAAAATAGATGTTCAGAATGTTATTTTTGTAAAGATCAAGGTATTTGGGCTTACCTATTGCCCTTTTTTTTTAATGATCACCCTCTAATTTACATGATGAAATTTAAAATGTATTTGTTGTTTACAACAGTCATAATTGCTTGACTAATTAAGGGTTGCTGTTCTTGACAGCTTGCTAATTCATACCCCATTCGTCGTCTGGCTCAGCTCACACATTACACCTACAGACAGGTAACACTGTGGGGTAAGTCATTCTCTGGTGTGACTTAGGAATTTATATGTAAAAGTTGTTAAAGTTCCTGGTTGTTTGAAAGGTGGGTAACACCATCCTCTGGATAAATCACCTTCTGTTGGATAGCACAGTATGTTTTGTTAACACCTATCTGCCAAATAGCAATTTATCCATCCTTTGTGCAAATCAAGTCGAGGTGTTGACTCAGTAAAATGGAGCAAAATGGTAAATAACAAGATAGCAGTAGCAGTAGTCCAATTTCATTTTGTTAATAGTTCACTAGTAAAAGCCTCAGAATTTTAAGGAGCCATGCTAGTCAGAAATAAATTAATTGTTGTTATTTGTGATTATTATGAGGATCATCATTACAACTTGAGAACCAACCCGCTTTCACGTCAAAAATGAAATCACTACCCCTCTAAATTAAATCAGAAATAATTTAGTTCCAACTCAAATACAAGATCTATTTACTTTTGTTAACAGGTAATGATGCTCTTGATAAAGCTGTCAAATCAAGGGAGGCTCCAGAAAACGTTACGAAAAACAGCCAGATGTCAAACAGAGTTGTTTCCTTCTCAAGGAATTTTTTCAAAAATGTTCAGGAAGAGATAGATAAGATCCAACAGAAACCAAGACAGTGACATTATCACCTGTCCATTGGTAGTCTTGTGTGAAATCTTGAAGGGGTTAACCTTTTGCCTTTTTGTTCTAGAACAGAATGGAGAAAGTTAGGAACTTATGAGATGGTTGTTTAAAAGTGACAGGGTGCAAAGAAAATTGATTTTTCAGTTTGCCCTTTGAAACCATTTCCAGCTAGCCCTAAACCTCTTCATACTAGCCTTTTCTCATCTGCAGACAGAAAAGTGTCAATCTTTTACTTGCCCTTTAAGCAAGTGATATATTACAATCCACCAGATCAAGCGGAAGATCAGCTTGCCTGGGGCAAATGGTCAGGACTCTCTCTACATACTGCTTGAACCCTGCATTGTGGATTATTTTCCAGTTGTTTCAACTTGCTAGACCATGGGACCAAAGAAATGTGAACAGACAAAAGGAAATTTAAGTTCCCACTTTCCAGAGGATATGGTTAAACTTCAAAAGAATCAGTTGAAAAATATATGTAAATGCAAAGAGGGGCATGATAATGTTAATTTTTTGATGTTGCTAACCTTTGAAAACTGGTTTTCAACAGACAAACCTAACCTTACTGAACCACAAGTGAAATGAAGGGATATTTTTTTTTACCATTGATGTTTGTTTTCTTGTCTTAAAATTTTTCTGGGGTGGAATGTTCAATACAGATGATGGCCAAAGTCAAAATGCCTTTGCGGACTCCAACATACCATAAGTGGAAAATTTTCTTTAGCTGCAAATTCTTATGTGGTAAAACTGGGGTTTTTAACTCTTACAGGTGGAACCATTAGATAAGATTATAGAGGAGCCTATAGAAAGTTGACAAGAAAAAATAATACCCATTGACTATGTTAATGTTTAAGATATTTTGTGTAAATATTGATGCATATCTGAATCTTTGAATTACAAAGTGGATTACAAGTGGCTAGATATCAAATGGTCTAATCCTTGACCTTCATGTCACGGTTTCCTAAATAGTTTTCCTCAGAAAATTTACACAGGATACTTTCATACTATCCATTACATGCGTAGAATGATGTTGTATTTCTCAGACTGCATAAGAACCATTTTGTCAGCCACCTTCATTGTTTTTCAGACCATAAACATGACTGTGGTAGCATTGTACAGATAACCAGGTCCAAATTGCAAAAATACACGTAAAGGTCAAAAGATGCATGATATCTCACTGGCAATCATGAAAGTGATCTCCTTGGAAGCCTTTCTCACAACATGCTCCTAGAGAGCATGGTGCATGACAACCCAAATGAATAAAGGGGGTTAGTTTCTAAAGAAACTGTGGTGCTGTGTCAATGGGAGAGTATAACAGGGTAATTTAGTATTATCAACTGAGTTGATGACAATAAGTGGCCACTGTAAACGGTTTTAAAGGGACAAAGGTGATGAAGGGTTAATGCTTGAAATGTCAGCTTTGAAACTCTTTATGATGGCCAATTTATGTTATCGACTCAACCCAAATGACAGCTCAGTTACCTTACTCACAACATGCCCCTGCAGAGCATAACCCATGACCACCCAAATGACAGCTGCTGAGGAAACTGACATGAAAACCGTGTCAAATACTTCATCTTCTTTTAACCCTTTGACTCCTAAGAGTGACTAACATTTAATTTCTCCCTACAATATCACTCCTGAGTCACACTCTAAGGTCATGAGAATAAAGGAAATGATCACCAACTAAAGAAGCTCTTGATTGTTAAACAAGTTCTCCTTGTCTGCAAGTTGGGAAACATGTAGAGGACAGTACAGAGAATATGCATGCTCATGTTAGGGTGTAAAGGGTTAACTGAACATCTATCATATCACTGTATGAAATGCAAGGGTAAACAACAACAAAATAGTATTGTGTCTCTCGGAAAGCATGGCATCCTACAGTATCAGGTTGAATAGCTGGTACTAATGCCCACTTAGCATTCACTTGAACTCACAATAAAGATGAGAACAGTAAATGATAGTCCTCTTTGATCAGACAAATACACTAAACTAATAAGTTGTAAAATTTAACTTTCAGTTGCACTTACAACATTTAACAGATAGTTTCCAACTAACTGAACTAACCCTGCCCTCATTTGAATTTCAAACTAAAGCAATGGTAATTTGTTACAGAACTATGTATTTCCTTTTTTGCAATTGTTTAGCAAGTGGCTGGGTGATGTGAGGTTTAAGAAGCAGCAATTCTTTCAAGGGTTTTCTTATAGTGTGATTCCAGCTCTTGGTATAACTGCTCAAGGTGCTGCATTCGTTCTTGTGGTGTCTGCATGTTGACAGTTGCACTCAGTTCTTCAGGCTTCAAGATTAGCTTCAGCTTTTCCATATCAGCTTTTTCTTTCTAAATAAAATATAATTTTAACCCCTATGAAACCACTGTTCACTACTATTCTGGCAAAGTACACTTATTTTAGAGTCATTGGACAGATAAAATACCACCTTGATATACATGTAGCTCAAAAACAACTTTTCACACAAAAAATATAAAATTTGCACTCATTGTGAATGTAATTTCCTGATAAAAGTAGTTTCTGAAATGAATTTCTTAAAGCTATTTGCTAAATGGTACATTTTAGGCGTCAAGAAGTCAGATTTTGTGTGTGTTTCAGCTATGTTTCTCTGGGTATGTAGCAATACATTGTACAGTATACCTGAAAAGGAACATTGAGCCTCTTTTTCACTTCCAGCCGGTAAGACTTGTAATCCTCTGCATTGCTAAGATCTGTGACCCGAAGACGGAGAATCTCATAAACTCTTCTGCACTGAATCTGAAATAAAGACAGAGAAAGGTCTATTAACAAGTTGAACTTCACTTTAATCTCTCATAAGCTAACCTAAACATTACCAATGCTTAACTTACCTCAAATTTTATCTCACAATTCAGGCTGGGTTGGTTGTTTAGAAATTAATTAATGCCCTGCTAAGAGAATGTATGCATCTCCACTATTTTGCCTCTTCAATCACAAAACTTCTCACCTTGTTGATTTTCAGTTTTTCCCGAGCCTCTTTCACCATTTCACCACTAAATCCATTGCGCAGGTTCTCTTGTGAAAATGCTGACAGATTAATACAAGCTAAGGCATCTACATAGTCTCGCAATCTCAGGAAGTCAAAGGAAGGATCCTCAACTGTAAAAGAAAAAATAGTCAAACAGGTAAAAACAAGTGATGAAATCATAACTACTGCACACTGCCACTGCAATGGTGAGACTGATGATTTTGTGCTAAATAGTAAGAAAGGAGACCCCACCAAAACAAACATTTGCAAAGGAAAGGGGTGGCATGTAGTTTCATGCCCTAGCTCCTTCTATCCTATCATTGCTCACCTGTAATGTCCAAGACTTGTGGGTCCTTGATGTAAAATCTGTCAACTGTCTGAAGCATCTGAGCTACAAAGGAGGCAATCATCATAATAGTATTGTCAGCATCATTATTATCCATTGACGCAGGGCAAAAGTGCAAACTTAACAGGAACCTAACAATATTCCACAAAAGCATAAAAAGCAGTTAAAAATTGCAACTGATGAGGGGCAGATGAGTTTTGTAAGTTCAAAGCTTGGCCAAGGAGTTGAACTGAGAGCAGCAAAAACAGATTCTGTAGGTAACAGGATGAGGGATTTGAATGCATAGCTAACAGTTACCTAACCACTTGCAATTGGATAATCCTCAAGAAAATTTGAATTTGGTTCTTTATTTTTAGGTGAAATGGTGAGTAAAAACACTCCTATTTAGTTTGTTCATGTCATATGGTAATGTACTTCAAAGTGTCTTGAAGCTTACTTTGAAAACATTTTATTAGGCAAGAAAAGCTGAATACTGAACACTGAACACTGAATGACTAGAACTTCCTTGGTAATATCAGATATTACCAACTCTACACAATGAACTAACCTCCATGGCCTTGTCTTTTAAATGGAGGAAGAATCAACATTTGGCTGCAAAAATAAATCAAGTTTTACCTTAAGTAATTGTGTCCACTGATGAATTGTTCAATGATGGTATTTGACATTATTTTGATGTAATAAGCTTCTATACATTCTAATGAATTGATATTTTCTTGAATAAGTACCCATGCTCTAAAGGCACCCTCCCCTGAATAAATATTCACCCTGGGCCACAATGTCAAAAAAGCACTCTCCCTCCCCCCCCTTCCTCCCTTACTTTCTTAAATAGTAGGGAAACAAGAAAAACCTGTTTCTACTGCTACTTTAATAATAGGGAAACAAGGAAAACCTGTTTCTATTGCAACTCTAATAATAGGGAAACAAGGAAAACCTGTTTCTACTGCTACTTTAATAATAGGGAAACAGGGAAAACCTGTTTCTATTTCCACTTTATTAGTAACTTCTTAAGCTTCAACTACAGCTGAGTCAACACAAGAGAATAATAAGTGACCCCCTCAATTAATTGCCCTCCCTCCAAGAGGTGCCCCCCCCCTTCTTTTAGAAGAAATTTTAACCCTTTAGCTCCCAGAAGTGATTAACATGTAACTTCTTCCTATTATATCCTTACATTTTTTGGCAAACAGGCAATGAGAATACTCAAACTTATCAGGTAGAAGTTGTTATCTTGGTCTGACACCAAATTCTTGTCTCAATTTCAAAGTTGATGGTCAGCAGCAAGAGGGAGAATTAACAATCAGATCTTGGGAGTTAAAGGTTTAACTAAATGTCCAGGGGCTTATTTGAGGAAATATGGTACATGTACAAACCTAATGCGAGGTCTAATCTTATCTGGATATGCATAATACTGGTACACTGTCATGTATCCAACCAAACTATAAAGTGTCTCTCCAGCTTCTTTCCTTTTCTCAAATCTACAACATATTAGTTACAGACAAGATGTTATTGCTCTTTTTGCATGGGAATCATAGAACTATCACATTCAGACGGGTTGAATAATGGAATTAGGTGTACTTAAGGCATCTGTCAATCGAGTATTGGTGGATACTATCAATCAACACATCAAACAAGTGTCCATCTATATATATTGGGTGATATGAACCAAGTACCTGTGGGTATTGGGAAGGGGCTAGGAGAAGAGCCCCATCCCAGCAAAACAACAGTTAGCAATACATATATACCACTGACAGTCCACTGATACACCACCGACACTTGACAGATATGCTGCCAACTGTTGATCCCAACATAACTGTTTAGGTGTCCATGGAGTGTTGACTGATGGTGGCAACTGACATTCTACCAAGTTGCATGACATGGTAACTGACAGTCAGCTGACAAGTTGACTTAAAGTATCATTCAATACTTTGTTGACTGATGCCTTAAGTACATGTAATCTGAATAGATTAAATACATACAAGTACACTTTTTCAGCGCTTAATAAACTGTTTTAACTCTTAAAGACCCAAGAGTGACTAGTACCATGGGAAACATACAGGGAATAGTATGAAGAATATGCATGCTGATGTTTGGGTATATAGTGTTAAAACACTTGTAAAGAGGGAAAATCATTGGACAGTAATGATATCTTAAAAGTATGTTATTTAAATCAACTGAACATAGTGTGGCAAACTTACAGAATGAAAAAGTGCCATCTTTCATCATCAGTATCTAATGAAGCAAAGCATACCAAGGTAATTATTTAGCCATTTTTAACCTTTGACCCCTACCAGTGACCAGCATTTAATTTCTCCTATCCATATTACCCCTGAATCAAACATTCAGGTCATGAGAATACAGGAAATGATCAACAACTAAAGAAACCCTTGATTGTTAAACAAATTCTCATTGTCAGCACCTTGGGAAATGTGTAGGGAACAGTATGGAGATAGGCATACTGATATTAGCTTGACTTGTCAAAACAGCCATGCTGGCAAGATGACCAATTGAAACAACCTGATAATTGATTGAGAATAATGATAATGAAACCACAATCTCGTACCTATGTATGATGATGCATCAATGAACCATAGCAAGAATGTCTGGAGTCTTTCATGGTAATCCCTGAGTCTTGGAGTAGTTATATCAGCCTAAATATAAAATTATGATATTGTAATAATTACAATAATTGTAAAATTCAAACCAGATTAATTGTTATCTTCCATAGTTTCAGACTGCAGTAATGAATATAAGATAAATGATAAAACTGAAACTGGTTTGAGAAATCTGAAACCAAGAAAAATTTTTAACCCTGCTCAAACTAGGCTGCAGAGATAAAGGGGTAAGTTTCTGAAGAAACTGTGGTGCTGCATCAGTGGGAGAGTATAGCAGGTAATTTAGTGTTATCAACTGAGTTGAAAACGTAAATAGCCACTGTAAAGGGTAAAAAAGTTGAAGTTTCGAGCGTTAGCCCTTTGACAATTGCTAAACCCAAAATTACCTGCTAGGCTGCAGAAAGCTCATTAGTGAGCCACATTAGGGCTGTATGTTACAATCCTTAACAAAACTATTGGGGCACTTGCAACAAAATAGCTGAAAATGAACACATTTTGAAACCTTGAAGCCACCAGTGCCACCCTCCTCTCTGCAATGTCTGGGGTTTCAGGATGGTTTGCAAAGGCACAGCTCTATGCTTTTGCTCAACTTGTTTAGCTTTTTTGCTCACCCCATCCCACATTTTTAGTACATAATCATTTTAGGGGACCTGGAGATGAGCTATGGCTCAGTTGCCATAGTGACCACAGTGACCAATGAGGAGATTGTTGCCCTCCCTTACTGCTTCCTTAATCCATTTACTCCCAGAAGTGATTAACATGTAACTTCTCCCTATAACATCCAAACACTATCCAGCAAACAATAAATGGGAATTTTTAAAGTTATCAGGAAGAAGTTGTTATCTTGATCTAACACTAAATTCTTGCAATTAATTTATGAGGAAATTTTTTAATAGCTAGAGAGGAGAAATATCAAACAGATCTTGGGAGGTAAAGGGTTAACAACACTTACCCTATAAACCTATTGAAAAACTGTTTTGATTCACATTTCATTATGTACCAATAGGAATTATGACAATACTTGAACTACACAAAACATGTTCTTGCTCGCTAAGTGGAAAAATCACCTGATACATCTCATATTCAGCATCATTTTGCTTGTATGAATGCAGCAGTTCCCCCATTGGTCTGAATTTCCCTTCACCAGGAAGTTTTGCAATAAACTGATCCAAATTTGTCAGAAATCCTAGGAGAATACAAAGCAATAGTGGTTTATAGAGTGAAGAAATCATGGTAAAAAATGAATGATAGGTTTCCACATTACCAGCTGGGTATCTCTCTGCAACAATACTCATAACAGGATCAGGCTGAAGAGCAAATAAAATGATAAATATGATATAAAGAGATAATGAGTTATTACATGGTACTCTACTTTTCTGTGAATAATTTCAAAATTGCTAGCCTATGCAGCATCATGCCACAATTACAGCAATTTTGAAATACTCCTCAAATTTCCTGAAATAGGAAGCCCCCAAATCCTCTCATTCTCTCTTCTTTTCAGTTTTTCCTCTTCAATTTATCAATTTAAGTTATGACATACTTAAATTACCCCATTACTCTGAACAAGATTCTAATTTATCATGGGTAGGCACTCTGGTATCCGCTATACTCCTAGGTAGAACAATAGTCTAAGTAAGTAACTTAATTAATCAAGATCACAACGCAAAAAAACTACTGCTAGAGATCAAACTTGGACTCTTCTTTCAAGAGTCCAGCACAGTGATCTTAAAATAAAGGTAGAATTCTGGAAACAGGGTACTTCTTACCTCTAATCCTTTGCTATTGACCTGTCCATCATGTTTCATGCCTATGTAAGTAAGAAGGCTTCCAGCATGATAGTACAACTGAAAAAAAAAGGGAAAATGACACAAACTGTATTCACTGAGCATCACTTAGTGACTAGCAACTTAACTGACAGATAAAAAAAAACTGCCTGAGTCACTAACTAATGGACTGATGGACTGACTGGCTGACTGACTGATGGACGAACAGACTTGCTGGCTGACTGACTGACCGAAAAAATCAACCAAGTATAACTTATTACCATGCGCAGTATTACAAACTGCAGGCTTACTTACCATCATGCTTCAGTTCAATGATTTAGAGATTTACCTGCACTTCCACGTTGCTGTAACCAAATATGGTTTCACTGCAAAGAAAAAAATTTAAAGGTTCATTTATCCTTTTTACTTTGATGTCTAATTGGCTCTTATTGATAATATCCATTGATCTGATTGGATTTGGTAATTCAAAAATAACTCAAAACGCACTCTACACCTTAATGACAAAAATGGTAACTATATCTTTGGATGAAGCAAAAGAATTCACAAGACTCACTTGTCACCGAAGTACTGGTGTGAAAATGTTGGATGGAATTCTTTGCCCTTGTCAAATACATCATTCTCACATTGAACTGCAAAAATGGGAAAAAATTGGTTGCAGAAGATTAGTAACTTTAAGGAGCGTGACAACAGTTTGCTTTCCTGAGATAGGGAAGATCATCCTGAATTTAAAACTGAGAGACAAATTGCTCAAATAAAGCGTTGATTTCAATTTCATTTCTGAAAAATCACTTGTTTCTGTACTTCACGAGTTTCCTGTTTTTCTCGATTAGAACATCTGCAACAGAGCTTTAGTTTTTTTATTCTCACACACGCAAAGCTGTATGAATATTCATTGCAATACGCTACTGAGACAGTTAAATTAATATCTCCCTCGAGAACTCCACTGACAGAACATAAGTTAACTTGTGCACTTAAATTTACACACGAGAAAGTCGATTGAATGCTTACCGAGCTTGAAACGTACAGCTGTGTTGGAGTCGCATTTATAGCGAGCAAGAGCCTGGTCTGCCATGGAAACTAAGACATAACAACCAAAATATCACTACGTTGTACCACAAACGAAATTAGCTACAAATGTAGCGTTTTCCTCTAGAAATGATCGAAAAATTGCTCACCATCCATGTTGCCGGTTCGCGCGCTTTCTACTCAAATGTACAGACAACTGACTAGTAATGACTGTGGGACTGTTTCCCAGTCTCTCTTTGAAATGCCACAGGACACTCAAGCATATTACTTTTCTTTTCTTTTTTTTAAATTATTTTTATTCATTTCCTTCTTTCACCCCTTTTCTCTCTTCTTCATTCTTTCTTTCTTCTTTACTTCTTTTATTCCTTTTCTTTTTGGCCTGTTGAATGGAAAATAGTTTCCTATAAGATAATTTTCGTTGGAATTTCCTACAGCAGATTTTCCCTGACTTAGTTTCAGTTTAAGCGAGTAACTAACTCTTCATGGAAAGTTTTTTCGTATTTTCCATCTGCATTCACAAACTTGCCCGAGATATTTTTTTTAATTTTAATCTTCACTCCCACGATAAATTAATCAAGGGAAAACCGTCATGAGAAGACTCTTTTTTTCATTTCTCTTTTTAAAGTTTCCGATACTCACACGCAGAGTTTGATCTATGCGGTTGCTTTACAGAAGGAAACGTAAGAAGAAGCCACAGTGATTCATCATTTCTCCTATATGTGATCGTCATAAGAACCATTAGAAATAATTCAAGCGTGAATCGGTAAAGGAAAACGCCAAAGAAAATAAATAATGTCTTAAAGCCCATAAACTCTATAGTATTTTTAGGATTATCAAGAAACAGAAATGCAATAACTTTTTCATGTGAAGATCTCCCGAAAGGAATAAGAGAATTTTAGCCCTTAAAATGAAATAAAGGAATGTATGATTTATCTAACATTTCGGCTTGCAAGAAGGAAATGGTAACATCGCGTTGATGCATTAATAAATTCTAAAAAGTGTGAAATCTGAGTTGAAGTTGTGAATAAAAAGTTTTACTTTTCCATACAATTGTCCTTTCTCTTATTTCGCCCAGCCGGTTTGAATTTTGATCTCTTTTACAGTTCTTAAATACGTTTTAAGTTACATGTAGATTTGAGGTCACCAAAGTAGAAGGCTAGAAGTATTTCAGTAAATGTTCATCTCAAAAATTACCGATTTTAATTGGAATTTAAATTAAATGTGTAAAAAAAATAAAATAAGTTAAAATACAAAATATTCTTAAAAAAAGGTGAATACGACCGCCGGTCGGTAAAAACGCCTTGATTGACTTTAATTAGGTCACCCTAAATTGTAGCCCACGGATAAAGATTCGAAAGCCATAACAATTTAATAACACCAATACGGCCACTTGAAAGCGTAGGAGCTTAAGACTGCAGTATAGAAATTATGTTTGTTTATGGTTGAAGATAAATTGTCCCGACCCTTCCCCACTTAAACGTAGGAGCTTAGACTGCAATATAAAAATTAAGCTTGTTTGTAACTCAAGATAAATTGTCACGCCCCCTCCCCTAGACTATCCCATTGAAACGATATCACCTGGCAAAGAGATAAAGACACTAAACAGATCACAAAATTAACAAGCATTCTTCTCTGCAAATGAAGATAAAAAAACTAGGATTTTTCTGTCAATACACAATGAACAATTCCTTGCTGGAAAATTCAACGTTTGCAAACGCAACCGAAGCCTCCAAATGCATTCCTTTCAGAAAAGAAGATTCTATCTCCGTGAAGGCCACTAAAGCCGCATGCTACACAGTTCTGATGCTGCTTTCTTTTTTCGGAAACGCGGCAGTCATCGCCATTGTTGCCAAAACCAGGCAGATGCGGACCACAACGAACTATTTGATCGCTAACATGGCAGTGTCAGATTTGCTTCTTTCTGCATTTGCGGTGCCCAGAGAAATGACGGAGTTGTTCATTGGTTTTCAAGGATGGTTGTTCCACGGTCTGTTCGGTGCCGTTCTTTGTAAAACTGTTTATTTTTTTCAAGACATTTCAACCGCTGTATCGATACAAAGCATTGTTGTCATTACGCTTGATAGATGTATAGGGTTAGTGTCGCCATTTCGGAAGCCTTTCATAGCTCCACGACGACGCAAGGTGGTGATTGTTTCCATCTGGTTAATAGCGATGAGTCTGCACGGCATTTATCTTTACATTTATCGCGTGCAGAGGGTGAACGGTGCGAATGTATGTATTTTCAGCTTTGAGCCAGCATTTGACAATTTACAGGGATTAAGAGTTAACTTCATAATATTGTCACTACTTTTGATCGTCATTCCTCTTGGCATTCTTATTGTTTTATATTCACTTATATTTAAGGCTTTGGAAAAGCGGAAGTCCTTTTGGCGAAAATGTTCCTCTTCTCTGCTAAAGAGCCGGCAAAAGGAGAACACTAAAGTCATCAAGAAAATTTTAGCGATTATCTGTTTGTTTATGATCTGCATTTTACCCATTGATATTGTAGGTTTTTTATTTCTTTTTGCATGGCACGAGGGAATCCCGTGCGGTATGGACAATTTAAGCTTCGCAGTCAAGTTTATTTTTTACTCCAACGCCTCTCTCAATCCTTGCGTTTATTTCATCTTAAATGAAAGATATCGCCAGGGTCTACGAAACCTCTTCAAAGGCCACAAATGGTTCGCACAGGAAAGACAGTTAAAAAGCGTCGAAATGACCACATTTTAATAGCTGTAGCTCATTGACCCCTGGTTTGAATAACGTTTTATTTAGAAGACAGGCATAATAACTGAATTTGATGGTTGTTTTCCTTTACTTTGCTCGCGGTCACTTAAGCTCGTCAACAAGGGTAGAAAAGTGGATTGTTCCGTGAGATAACATGGCTTTGTTTCGGGAGTGGCGTTGAAAAATAAGGGTTTAACACGGATTTGAATGGACAGAGTTGTCTGACACTCTTCAAAGTCGCAAACCAGATTACGATAATCGTATATATGTCCACCGACGGATTATAAACTTTTTTATCTACACAATTCTGTGACCAATTTTCAAGGCTTCTAATACCATATGGACGGTTTTTTTTTAATGCACCTGACGCCACTAAGTCTAATTTCACAAAAAAACTAATAACGGACTAAGTAGTTTTCACTCGTTAAGTAATTAACAAAGTGGTCAAATTCAATTAAACTATATGTAAATCCACTAAAAAAAAAGTAAGATTGAACATTCGAAGATAAAATCTTGTCATTTTCGAGCTGAGTTTGTGTTAAAAACTTGAACTTAAGTTTTTTTCGAAATATTGGTTTATATTTTTCCTTTTGTATTTGTTGAAAACAATTAAATTGCATAGTCAGTCTTTACGCGACATCTATGTTCATTTAAAAGAAACCGTAGAGCTTTAGGTGTGAGAACATTATCTTTTGAAGAAAAAAAGGCACTCTTTTCGCGTATTTTTTTTTACCCTTGTTGTTCTTTCGTCTTTTGCAATTTCTTTTGTCCCCATACCAATTAGGTTGATATCTATCAAGAAAAGTAATGAGATATTACTTTTTTTCTCTTGATATATTCTTCACTCAATAGCGGATAGCAAATTAAAATCTCCCCGGAAAAGGCTTTCAAACGGAGCCGCACGAAATTCTGGAATCTTGTGGGCCGATACAAACGGGTTTTTATTAACTAATCTTACTCGCAAGCTTAAGAATTGAATCGAAATTCCTTACAGTGGGTCCCACTACGCCTCTAGTAGTATTTGAAGTAATCGTTTTTCCTCACGGCAGCCAGTGAACGGGTCTATTTGCTATAATCAAGAAGCTAGTCATTAACTGACACCTGCAGGGCTGGGAGGGGGGAGATTTTTTTAGGGTTTTTTTTATGGTTTTAAGGGAGAACAGAGTGGGGGAAATCAGTCGCCACTTATATAGTTTAACAGGGAGACCAGGGAAAATTGATTGTTTCTCTCCGTGCTCCCATTCACCTCCACGCCCCTCTCCTCTTCCTCACGAATCGAGCACCGTAGGTACTCAGGTGCTTTCAATAACAGACCTCTGGATGCTGAACGAAGATTACGCTTTAGATAATGGTAGCTTACAGATAGAAACTAATCATTGGTGAAGTTGATTTATCGATTGGTGGAATTGATTAGGTAGTTTTAATGGCGCGAGAGGTGAAATAAATAAATTATTCTTATAAAATGATTTAATCACCGGAGGTTCTTCCACCCCACCCCCACCCCCACCCCCGACCACCCCCTTCCCCTTCCCAACCCCGCATATAGTTGTTGCACATCAAACTGTATATCAATGAATATTTGCTAATTCATGGGTGTTTCAATTTCTCTACTCTTCAACTCCTTTTGTTCAAGCTCTTCTTAAGCTAACAGTTATGACTCCTGCACATGCATGGCGATCCTTACAAATTTCTTTGAGGAATTTTGCGAAAATTTTATAAGAAAACCATCGACTTGGGCTTATTATCTTTTTTTTTACCTATCAAAGTGTTTTTTCACACATACTATTTTAAAATATTCACGTCTACTATCCAACGGTTTGAATTTCATATGTTCGCTATCTTGTGCATGTAGGTGACGACTTTGAGGAGGTTTTTAGCGGTGAGGCCGCGCGCTCAAAGTCCCGCCTCGCCTTCATTCTCCTCATCTACCTACAAACCCCCCTGACTCCCACTTTAGATTTCGATGTTGCGATGGTGAAAATCTCAAATATGATTCCCGACTAGACAGTTATCAACGCAAACAGAGAGTAATGTTAGATCTTTTTATCTCCGTACGGAAAATGGTTTTGAAGACGTTTACGATAGTGCACCATTATGACGCCAATACCAATATTGTCTCGAGTTACGGGTTAATTTCGAAAATTGGGGCTGCGCTGTCATCCAAGGGCGGTAAATTAATCCTTTCCAGAAGTTCACTTTGCAAGTGAAAAGTCCAGTGGTTTCTCACGATTGTCTTCAAGTCATTTTTATACTCATTTGTGGGCAGAAAGAAGATGATTATAGCTTCACTGGAAAATCCATCATTTTCGAACCCAACCGAAGCGTCTGAATGCATTCCTTTCAGTAAAGAAGATTCGGTGTCCGTGTCGGCCATCAAAGCCGCACGCTACACAGTTCTGATATCGCTTTTGTTTTTGGGAAACGCGGCTGTCATTGTTGCCAAAAACAGACACGTGTGGAACACTACGAACTATTTGATCAGAAACATGGCAGTGCCAAATTTACTTCTTTCTGCACTTGCGGTGCCCAGAGAACTGAGATAGATATTCATTGGCTTTCGCGAGGATGGTTGTTCCACGGTCTGTTCGATGCAGTCCTTTGTAAAACTGTTTACTCTTTTCAAAACATTTCAACCGCTGCATCGATACAAAACATTGTGGTTCTTAAGCTTGATAGCTAGATATACCGGGGTGGTGTCGTCGTTTCGAAAGCCTTTCATATCTCTTCAAAGGTTAAAATTCGTAATTGCACTCATCTGGTTAATATCGATGGGTGCATACACTAGACATTTCTTCATTGCTTGAATTTAACGGGTCATAGGGTCAAAGGAATCCATTAGTGTTTTTTTTAGCAGCTCTGAGCTGGCTTTTGACACTGTTTGCGGGTTAAGTTCGCTTCATAATACTCTCCACGTTTTTGACCTCTTTACCTTCATTGGCCGTAAAAATTGTTTTGAACTCGATCATGTTAAGAGATCTAAAAAGAGAGAGAACTTGCTGGAAAAATATTTCATCTTCATTCTTAAAAAGTCCACGAGAAGAAAACATCAAAATTATTTGGAACACTTTGGCCATAATACTTCCATTTCTCATTTGCATTTAGCCTACAGATGTTATAGGTTTTTCTTTTTTTTTGCATGGAGTAAGGAAATTCTTTTTGCGATCGACAACTTGAGCTATGTAGTCAAATTCATATTTAATTCAAACACTTCACTAAACCCATAGGTTTTTTTTTCTTGTATTCAACGAAAGATATCGTCAGGGCCCTAGAAATATCATGAAAGGATATGAATGCTTAGCATCATAGGCAAGGGAGAATGAGATTGAAATGGAAACACTGTAATACTTAAGCCTGATAATGATGTCAGGGGTTTTGCTCACAAGCATATTGTTGCCTGTTCTTGGCTGATAGATAGAAAAATTAAAAAAATGATGGTCCTTTTCAAACAAAACAAAACCGCTCTTTTTAGAGAGTCGAAGGTGACACAAGGCTCTAAGTTTGTTTTGATTGGTGCGAAGTTGTCGACCCGGGCGTTATAAATTGTTCAGTATTCAAATGCATTGGGATTCAGTTGAGTTTATAGCGTGCAACATTCGGCGTGCTTGAAAATTTAATCAAATATTTCATTTAGTTTAATCGAGCCGGTGTACCAAAAGCAACTCACAACGAAAATAAATTTTCATTTTCATTTTATGTTTTTGTTTGTGGAATGATACTATCTAATAAATTACTTAGGGAAACGTCAAATCTATTTGGGGGTAGTTATTGGAAACCTATAGTGGTTGCTATATCAAATAATACGCACTGCGTGGTGTACCGCATTGGTGATATTTTTTGACTTGTTAAGTGGAAGAATGCCTGAAGGCAGAGTTGATTTCCTGAGAGACGGTAAACACTCAAACGTGTGATTTTACAGTTTCTTTGGAATAAATGATGCTTTTATTTTTTGTTTTGTTATTTTCAAGGCTTGTCTCTTTTCCTGCAAAACAAAAATTGAAAAATGAAAAGCGGGGTAAAATTTTAGCAATTTCATATCAAATTCATCATAATTAAAAAAGGCCCCTAAAGGGTGTTATTTACGCAAGTTAACCTTTCTCCTGAGAGCACTTTGATCAAAATTGTTTTCGCAGCCGTCAAGACAACACAAATACGCCGGAAAACGTCTACCCAATAAACGGTAAAATTCAAATTTTAAGGTAATGTAATAAAATTGAAACCAACCTACAAACGGCGTGTGATTGATTTCTTACTCTCTGCGCTGAAAAAATTAGTCAGTAGAACAAGCAATTTTAGCCTCCTGGCGAGTGCAAGTAATCGCACGCGTGTGTAGCATGTGGTGAGGGAGACGCTCGTCTTCTCGCTTAACTCACGCATGATTCATCCCTAAAAAAGGAACTGCGCTTTAAGAGAAACAGGCAACAGGGGTTCATATCTCTTTTCACAAGACTTTATTTCTTCCACTAAATCTCATCTGTCTTTTGGGTTGTTATTTTACATTTTCATTGTTCGTGCCCTACACTTTCCGCTTTATTCGAACACAACGAAAAGCCACAAATAGATTACACCAGCATTTGATTTTCGTTCTGTCTTCCTACAGAGGCGGAAAAAGTCGCGAAGTAAGACATATCCTAATAGAAATAAATATGAGCGTAAAGAAAATGGCAAATAAAGAAATCATGTATCGAAAGATAACATCAAAGTCATCTCCAAGAGTGGAATACAAATACATCTTGAGGAGACTATGCTGGTTTTCAGTGCTGGAAGCAACTTCTGTTTTTCTTTATTTACGGCAGTGATCGGTTACGACTGAACCAAAACGTTAATTTTAGGAGCCACCATTGGCATCTTATAAACTAACTAATAAATAAAGATGTGTTCACAACAAAACTACGTCTTGGCAAAGGCGTTCTCGAGAAGCTTGCGCAACCGGAAGTGAAGTGTCAAAAAAGAAAAAATCCAGTAGTCTTCCATTATCCGTTAACGTCTCAAAAATATCAACACTCGCGTTCCCTAAAGATCGAGAAGTTACACTCTCTTAGGCTCTATATGGTCTCTCTTACCCGAGACAACCCTCCCTCGAGAAAACTTGACGGAGCGTTTATATGAAGTTTTGAGTTGTGACAGCTGTTCCCTTAAAAGTCTCTCTAAAATTGTATGCCGACTCTTCTCAGGTAAGAGCGCCGAAGTATTTATATAAGAAAAGGGTGTCTCGCCTCCCGAGAAGACTTCACAATTTTTTCGTGTAAATGATTGGTTGAATTTTTCAAAGAAGTAAGCGGAAAGTTAGCCCAGCCAGGATAACTCGAGGGAAAGTTGTCTCAGGTACCCGAGACCATAAAAATGGGCCCCAACAACCTTAACACTCACTTAATAGTAGATACACCTGATTTATCTCGTATCCAGATCCAACCTTGTAACCGTAACTGAAATGCTTACTCGTGGAAGGTCTGGGCACGAGACTTATTAACACCTGACAGCTCAGTGAAAATGAAATAACCTTTTTAACTACATAGACAGCTACGAGAATTCAGACAACGAACTCAAGATTATCAAATCGAGAGTTTTACCTTCATCTCGCGATACGCTTGTTATTCAGTTCATCGCAGTTGGAGTATTGAGGCGTGTCGTTCAAGCTTGGCAGAGATAATTAAAAATGTTTCCCTATTACCTAACTAATCATTTGCTTAATGGATAAAGAATCTTCGTAGAAAAAATACAATACTGCGATTTTGAGACTATTCATTCCCATCCCTAACGATAAATACAAAATAGGGTTCCTTCCTATGTTTTAATAATAACAATAATAATAATTCCTTGAGGTTACCAAGTCTTCGAAGTGACTTGATATCGAGAAGGACTTAAAATCAGACATCTTGCAAAAGAAAAAATGGCTGTATGAGGCCACTGGACCAATCAGTGGCGAATTCCCCACGACACCTTGAAGCAATTAACAGCTTTTAAAGATGAGCCGATTGAATTCCGATTGAATTCCGATTGAGTTCCGATTGAGTTCCGATTGATTTCGACCATTTGCCGGTACGGTAACGAATACGATGAATAGAAGAAGGAAGTACGCCAGCAGTGTCACGTTATTGGTTGGTGTTTGTTCTCTTCTTCCTCCTTTTGCCGCGCCTGTCGTTCTTTCTCTAACTCACACCAGCGGTTCTTGTTGGATTCTGCGCCATCAAGGAGAGGTCGAATCTTTGGGTTGAATGTAGCCAAGCACTGAAAAGGGAAACAACGAGTCAAGGAAAGTAGCTCCCCACTTCACTTATTAACCATTTAGCCCCTTATATCAGTCTGCTTATTCTCCATACCTTTCTTTAAACAATTCCTTTGATACTGACAAGAGAATTTGTATATCGATCGAGAACTTTTTTCGTTAAGCGATCATTTCCTTTATTCTCATGACCTTAATGTTGGATTAAGAAGTAATATTATACGGATAATTTCGATGCCAGTCACTCTTTGGGATTAAGGCTTAACAAGTGCTCAAATCACACGCGTCAAATATTTCTTCTAGTGTCCCTCTCCAAACTTAACAAAAATGTGTTTATTCGTTGACAAAGCAAGACTGTTCATTTGCATTACTAATCCAAGTTTTAGTAAACTTTGAGGATTCCTTTCTCCATGATCTATTTTTCTCACTATATCTTTTTCCACCCTGAATAGAACTGATCAAACTTTCATCTTTTTGTTGGTGTTTGTAAAAGATCTGGTACATAGGGTGGTAACCAACTATTTAAATGAAGTTTGAAGACAATGACATTGACAGAGGGGTGACTTAAACCTTTCAAGCCTGCAACAACGTAACCATGCATGAGTTCTGACAACATATTCATAATGACATGCGCCGCATACCTTGAAGACGGGAATTCCTGTCGTTTCGAAGAACTGCACCTGGAGTGCAGGTAGTTCGTCGACCTTTTGCCTGTCCATGAGGGCCTACAAAGACAAATGGTTATCACAGACGGTGAACAGTTTGCATTTGAGAATGGCAAGTAATCAAGATTTGCCGGCAATCACTAGTCGCGGGTCATTGCCTATTAAATTTATATAGGCAGTGGCTTTAAGGTCAGTGTGCTGGACTCCGGGTCGAGAAGTCTGGGTTCGAGACCTGGCCGGGTTATTTTGTTGTGTTTCTTGTCAAGGAAGCCTAGTGAAATGCTTGGAGGGAGGAGGAGGTAACCGTAAGATTGACTAGCATCCCGTCCAGCGGGGAGAAGTGATTGTTACATACTTCTGGTCGCTTCATGCTAAGGAAATCGGGATGAACTCCGGCTTCTTGGGCCACTTGGGTTAAGTACAGACTTTTTCTTCAACTACTGATGAAAATAGCGGTTTCTGTAATTAATCTTTGCCTTCGATTCACCAGAGAACTGACACACGGCTTGCAACTTGACAAATCGTTTACTATGCTTTTTTTAAATAAGGCATACAATTTTGAAAATATAATTGTTGCGGACTTCACAAGTGAGGGCATCCAAAGAAGACTTCAGGAAACATTATATATAAGAAAAATGTACAAAATACTATATAAGTTGCCCAAACTAAACGTGATTGTTGGCATACTACGTGCCAACATATAAAAAAAGTAATGTCTTTATGTGTTTTTTACTCACCGACGGTTCCATCTTGAGTGTGCTTCGCTCAAGATCTCCTTGTTGAAAGAACTCGCTTGTCACAAGATGGACAACCTGGAAAACCAAATCTCAGACGTTAATAATCTCCTAGATAAAATCGTTTCTATTCAGGCAACATGGAAGCTTTTTTGGTCAACATTTCAACTTAGACTGTTTGCGACTACTGGTAACTCCGCCTATGTCGGTCCCTAGTCCGCTAGGATGCGAAAGGAGGAGGGTTGGGCATGGGGCTGAAAACCTCATTCTGAAAAAACCTAAGCTCGCAAAACCAACTCTAGAGAAATAACATAATGATGGCCAAAACAAGCCAGGGAACTGGAGAGAAGACAGAAGACCGCCAAACCCGGCAGGGAGCTGGCAATCCAACAGAGGATTCCTTGAAACCAAAGCAGAAGACGAGAGTGACTAGCTGAAACGTCAGAACCCTATGCCAGATCGGAAAGCTTGACAAAGGCTGTTCATAGGGGCAGCATGATCGACTGGCAAATGACAGAAATTAAAGGTGTTCTCTAGCCGTGGCTTTATGTGCATGGACACACTGAGGGGACCGACTAACTAACTACTACTAATCGCACACATAGCTCCACCATCTCACCTCTTTCTGTATTTCCCATGGCTTTGTGGTGCCATTGAGGTCACAAGCAGTCATCATCATTGCCCTTAAAGAAAAAAACAACAAGACAATGCATTAATTTAATTTGGAAAACTAAGTGGTTCAGGAAGTAACGTTAGTAAGTAAGCAAGTTTTGCATCTAACTAGTTAACGACAATCACAGAGTGAAGGAAAGTAAGACCCCGCCAATGTGCTCTCGAGTTACATGAACCTCGCTGCATTGAAAACTGCTCTACTCTGCAATATGACATTAACAACGACTAACTTCCGGGTAATCAAAGCAAACGGAGACTCCTTCATAAAAAGAACCTTACTTGAGCATGTCTCGGTGATCCGGGATTGTGGGATCCAGTTCTCCTCTTTCAACCAGAGGAAAGAGAATTGACCGCTGCCTAAAGGAAAAGGAGAAGACAATATCGATATAAACCCACAGCAACCGGGCAGTAAGCTGAAAAATCAAGAGCCAAGGTAGGTGAGAGAGAAGCAGTCTCTTTCTCGTTATTAGAGTGACACAGGCTGGAACACATACGTGCCAATGAACGAGTGCAATTGTCTCGAATATCCTCGTCCTGAAGTGTCTTCTTTTTTCCGGTTTTTTAACCATGGTTGTTATAAGTTAATAATTTGGGCTGACCTTCACCATTCTCTGTTTTCTTCAAAGATTGAAGCTTAGTCACACTATGGTCCATATTGTTGGAGTAGGTTAGCCTACGTTGAAAGCGCTTTTCAAGTACAAGCTCTGGATTGCAAACTCGTGAAAATGAAGCTCTCTCACTCTCTTCTGCGCGTGACTTGTCGCTCGGTCTAAGTCACGCGCATCAGGTAAACTTGTGTGTCTTTTACACAGACTAAAGTAAAACCGCTTCTTTGATCCAATGAAAAATATAAAGAATCAAAAGAAACCATAAAAAGTAGCAAAACCTCGACATCGGCATACATTATCCTGAACAGTTTTCCTTATGACATTGTCAGGGACAAATTTTTGTCTCAAAACGTTGACAGATATGAAAAGGTTTAGCGTACGTGATCTGGCGCGATGTACTCACCTGAAATTGACGGCTAAATCCGTCGACAGGATCGAGTGCTTTATATAACTTATAACTTGTCTGTATTCGTCTGCGTTTAGTTTCTGGAAAATGTTGTGACCCTTCCAAAGCAAACAAAGAAAATAAGTAGCTGTTGAAAAGTACACTAATTTTAATTCCATTTTAGGCGATTTTTAATGATGAAATGTTACTGAACAAAATAAGTGTTTAGTCTCACCTCTGTGCTAAGAATAATCACAGCATGGTTGAAGTGATGATGCTCTAAAGTAGATGTGGTGTAAAGCTTGGCTAATGGCGAGTCAGTTCTGTTAGTGAAGAAAATTGCACAAACACAATGCTGAGAATGCGGATTACTTTACTAAGAACTCAGGCAGCAGCAGACAGGGTAAGCAGAATATAAAAGCGTGGGGTACCGATGAATCTTTTGGAAATATGGCCTTATAACTTGTGTGTGGGGGGGGACCTACAATGTACAATGGGTGGAGTACCTATGGACCCGCATACCACACATTTCACTTTCGTCCACAGCAACTGGTCATAAAACTGATTAAAGTATCAAAATGAGGATTTCAAATCACAAAACAACACTGTTAAAAACATAGTTTAACCAACAAATGAAATGAAACACACACAAAAAACCATGAAACCAAGGTTTGTATAGGGTCAATGCGTGCGCAAAAGTAGAAAAGATAAGAAAAACATTGCAAACTTAAATGCACGACTTCGGGCAGAAATTTTTTAACTTGCTTATTTACTGATTCATTCATTTTACTTGGTATGAATACGTCCTTTCAATGATAACAAGAAAGTATTATCTTTCTTTGCTAGGTTTTTTTTATATGCATCGATTGGTTTCATGAAAGGCTCAAAAAGCCGTAACACTGTTCTCGGTCTTGTTAGGGAATTTAGATCACTAAAAACACACATGGGCAACTTACTTGGTCTGAAAGGCGTTGTTGGTTCCCCTGTGGTCCAGGTCATGACACAGACACCCAACAATCAATCCGAGACATTCCAGATTGCTCATAAACTTATTCATACCTCCAGTCTGTTAAACAGAAATACGCCAGAAATGAAATATCAGTATCTGAGCAACTGCGCCCCTACCACTACCCCTCCCCTAACCCAACGATAGTAAACTGATAACAAGTTACGGTTAATGTTAGGTTAGGGGAGGGGTAGGTGCGCATTTTCGTTACTATGAGCCAACAGAACTTAACCTACCGTGAGCATACAAAACATTGACTGAGCTACATTGAAGGCGTGTCTCCAGTTGTGGTAAATCACATTTCTGTAATTCTTCCGAACTGTCAACAACCACCTACATAAAATCTGAAAAAGAGAAAATTTTTTCAAGAAATTGATCTCACGAAAAACTCCGCTCCAAAAAAAAAAAAAACGAAACAAAAAAGGAGCAACAGCAGCAATTACAGAAACTTTGCACTGTCATAACCTCCACTGGAACCAATGCCCTTTTTTCTTTCACTCCCCGGGATCTGATCACTGAGTCTCCTTCTTAGTTTATCTACATTTCCCTTTAAATTAGCTATGAGAATTTGAACTTTCCTCGATCTTGATTGCAAGAAAACTTGATCACAATGTAAGGAAAAGTTACAAGCTATAAATCCTCTCTAAATAGAAGGTATTAATAAAAACACTATGAACTCGATTAGTAGCCACTAAGTAGATCTTTTCAGTTATTCCTGAACGTTGCGCCCGTCTATTTTACGTTTGTTTACTCAGTCAAAACTCAGTCATATGGAAACAATAGCCTCCATTTTGCGCGAAAATATACTCCGATATTTCCCCGCGAACAGTAACGGCTCCGAAAAGTGAACAGTTTTGAGAGAGCTAGGTCCGAGAAAAACTGTGTGCCTCGAAAATTCTTGGAGTACTGAACGCAAGGTTTGAAAATCGGGGAATGTCATTGGGGAAATATCACCAGATATCCCCCAGTTTTAGCAGGGGTATATTCGGTCACGTGATGCTTTTAGACTAATCACGTATGTACAAAAAAATGGATGGATTATAAGTAAGAACAAACCTCATAGTCTATGTGAAATTCATCAATGAAGCCACAATCAATGAACATTCTGAGTGAGGCTTGAAGCATCTGATCAGGCTCCAGCGAAAAGTCATCAAACTGAAAACTGTCTACTTTGAATTCTTCAGCTTTTGACACTGTTGTGTTCTGTAATGGACAGAGGACGAAAAAGTCGTTACACAACTAACACATGTAAAATCTGAGAATAATATGCCAGCTGTCTGAACAAAAGATAGAGGGATTTGATCATAATTTCATCTTAACTAACAACTTTTTAGAAGAGAAGTAAGCTCCAGAATCTCCGCCGTTGACAAGAAGATGACAACAAACTATGATTTGACGCGTTTTGAGATTCTGAATGTGATACAAATTCGCCCATTGACGCGGCGATTTTGAAAATAACTCAATAACGTGACCATTTACACTCGAATGATGTGGAAACTCCATGTGCGACTGCGATTCCCGTCGTGGTCACCAGAAAATCATAACTGCGGTCAAGAATGCCTTTTTGTGTAGCCCTTTGACAGATAGAGGTGGAAAAAAAAGGATGAAACTTTACGACGAAAAAAACGGTGGGTCTAAAACGCACGTCACTCGTGATGTAAAAAAATTAATTTGTCAGTGTCCTTACCTTCAATCTCTCAAGTTCACCTCTCTTAGCAGCAGCATGGTAAGAAAGAACCTGGGTAAATAGATACCAGGGAAATTAAAGATCATGGACTATGCAGACTAAAGTTCACTTACGCTTTAAAGTAATATCACATGACTTTTCAGCATCGATACGATCATCGTTATGATGAAACCTAGCTGAACTTTAACTCCAAAGCTCACTGGAACCAAATAAATGTTGAAATAGAGCAGTTTTCAACTGGGTGTCGAAAAGTAATACGAAAGTACTTTGGTATTGCTTGACTTCGCTTTGGGATTGGTTCACTGAGAAAACTCGCGCCAGCTTCTCAACCAATCAGATTCAAACTAAAACCAATTGCGATTTGGTCGCACGCGTTTTCCCGCGTTTTACGCAGTATGCTTGTTTTTACTTTGAGTTCTCATTGGCCAACGCTGATATCGACCTTCACTGCGATTGGCCGTATGATAACTTCGGTTTTGGTTTTACGACGATCAATCGAAAAGTGCACCATTTTCTAAATTAATTGTTCATTCTCATCTACAGTGAGGGACCTTGCTAACCAACTGATATTGTCACCTACCTCAATTGCTACTTGTTGCTTGGCTTTTGCCTTTGCCATTTGGTCATAAATCATGGTGTTGTGAATCCCAAGACCACAAAAAATGGCAAATGCCTGACAAGAGGAAAACTGGACTGTGAATCAAACTTTGATAAACAAAACTAACTCTGTTGCTACAGCCTGACTAGACCTTAATCATTTGGTGAAATATTTAATAATTATTCCATGAGCGCGTTCTGGATATGTGATGATAAATAGCCAACGAGGCGCTAGCTATAAACAATCTCGTATTCAACAAGTGCGAATGAAATAGTTTTTTTAATCAAATTTCGTTAAATCCTGACAGTTTACTTAGTTAGAGCTTTTTGTCATCTCCGTAACAGTTGGGGTGATGCATTTCCATATATGGTGACTCGGATCATAACCGGATTTGAGTGATCCCATCAGAACACTAGAAATGCAATATTGAGTATTGAAAATAAATTGAAATTTATTTGTAAATTTCTACATACTGTCATACCTCAAATAAGGTTTCATCGCTCTCATCAAATGGTTTGTTGTTCAGTTTGCTGATTAACTGAGCAACACCTGAAATTGAAAGAGAGCTGACTGAGTTCTTATAATGATTACTACACGTAGCATGCCACGCCTTAGAAAAATAACAATGTCTTATTAAGAATTTGTCAATTGGCTGTTTTAGAACCAAATCCACAGCGATCACAGACGCTAATAAGAAGAAAAGATTAATTACCAGGAGCTATTTGAGAACCTAAAGCAGAGACATGAAAATAGGTAAAATGCTAGAGTGACTATAAGCCCTGACAGCTTATGGGTTACAACCTCTGGGCTGAGACCAAACAAAGCAGAAGCAAAGTACACCAAAACCAAAGCAAACCAAAATTGAATATTAGTCTATGGCTTCATAATACAGACCAAGGACAATTAAGAGACAAATGCACTTGATATGTCTTGAGCAAGTGATTCAAACCATATTTCCTAGGCTTCAGCCTCACGGGTAATTCAATCAATTCCATGACCATCAAATTTTGTGCAGATGATCCATGACGACATTGCTATATGATAATATCTCAATTACTTCATCTCCAAACTAGACAATGGATTTTCTGTGAGCCAAATGAATGAAATGATATTCTCACCAATAATTTCAAACTTGTTGTTTCTAATTGGCATACACAATATTGGGCGACGAGCATCAACACCATTGTCAGAGCTCATTGCAATCTGTTGGAAATAAAAAAAATTTCTTAACTTTCACCATTTGCAGAAGAGAATGAGTATATCGATACTTCAAGGTATTAGGTGCCAAAATTTATAGAAGCACCAGCAGCTATGAAATCTATTTCAAAGTGTTATGGCTTTTTTGATATCCACTCAACTACCGAAACAGAAACGTTTAAAAAGGGTATGACTCTTAACAACTTATATGCTTATCTCTAAATTAGCTGAAAGTAGATAGCATGATCCAAAATGCCGTTGTTTCTAGCAAACACTTCATTTTCTTACAAAGTATAAAGATCACTGATATGTACACACTCAACGATCTTGGTGATGCAAGGAATCTGAATGGTTTGCTACCTCACGCTAATGAACATTTGTAAATGAGGCTCTCCCCCCAAAAAAGACAAAAACACAAAAATGGAAACCAAAGCTACCAGTAAGATTTTCAGTCGAGAAAAAGACTTAAATCAACTTTCCCTCAAAATTGTGATAAATGTCGGTGACCATGACCTTCATCGCTGCAATTTCTCTTCAAAGTATTGTATTTTCATTTGTATTTTGTGATATTTAGACAGGCTGGCCCAGGTCAGCTTAAAGCTGGTTTAAATGGGGGGCCTGTGTAAACAGTGACAAGGCCAGACCACAACACCGGGAGTTATGTTCCCTACTCTTTGCGAGAAGTTTGTGGGTTCTTTTAGATCCCCTGCTAGCCATTACAGAGAAGAGGCAAGAGACGGCCTACAGCTTATCTTCCTTATCCGAGGAAGACTATAATTTCTCACCATTTATCGATGTCAAAGCTAAAGGCAGCAAAATATCCTCAAATATTTTAAAACCCTGAGTGTTTGTTAGGTCTGGGGATTGAAACCTCGAGCTCCCTTGCGGCTGTGCGACGCTCTACAACGTGAGCTAACCGCCAAGCGCGGTATAAGTGAGTAATTCATACTGGTTTGTTATTTCCGAGCAAAATTTTCAGTGGAACTAAAGTCACCCAAGTTTCAAAACATACTTTCAAATCATTACAACCATAATACTCCTTACTAAATAATCTTGTTTTCTCAGTCCGTACTGTAAGAGAGGACCAAGTTTTTTCCACTCGGAGTTATGGCTCAAGTGCGAAGCCTACAGGCCATAAATCCAAGTTGGGAAAACAAGGTTCTGTAACTTACAGTATGGACTGAAAAAACACGGTTAGTAAGGTGAAAATTTTATCTGTAGGTTCAAATAGAGGGAAAAAGATTTCAATTCAAACAAACTTTGGCCTACTAAGTTGTCCAATCATAGTGCCATACCGACTGAGGGATATAAAGAACTCTTTCTTGTGCACGCACTTGTGTGAAATTTGACTGTCCACATGAATAAATCTCCAGATGGTAGACTACCCTTTACACTAACTTTTAAGCCAATATAATTTTATCTCTGTAAATCACAATGACTCCAATCGTTATTTAACGACTTACAATTCTCTTCAACCTCTGATCTTGTGCAGCATCAGGAACATTAAGAGTCTTAAAAAACATGATTGAACAAAAAGGTGAACTTGCAATTCATATCAATATGCACTAACTTTAGAATCTAACAACGGGACATTCAATGAATGAATTAAAAAATGATATATTTTGAGCTTGGACCTCAAAAGGCACCACAAATAGTGCCACCATAGGGCCCCTTTACTTCAAAATATGTTCTTCAGGGACTGTGATGGCCTACAACATGAGTTGACCATCTATTAAAAGATGAACTTAAGTCACAAAAATTTCAAGATTATTACAAAGGAATTGTTTTCTTCGGGGAAAGAAATGCACAAAATTTATCTACAATGTATCTTGTTTGGACCAAACTAAACCTAAGAGGAAATACAGATTACAGGTCATTGCTGTTACCTTTCCAGTGGATGCAACAAGTTTGGCTATTCTAGTACTAAAAGAACCATCATCTCTTCCTTCACTATAACTACAGATTGAATTAAAAATTAAAGTAAATCAGACAAAGTAGAACCTCCTTTTTAGGACACTTCCAATGAGGGACAAACTCTGGTGCCACATAACAAAATGCCTTATGTCTCTTGTTACCATCTATCAATGGACATTTCTTTTCAGGGGACACTTTTTCTAGTTCCAATGCTGTCCCCAGAAGGAGGTCCAACATAAAATCAAATTGAGCTCTCAGCAAAAAGATCTTGACAGGGTATTGATTGTTGAGCAGAACTTAAGTGTCATGCAATCATTGTATAAGGTAAATTCAATGGGAATTTTTTGTGTTTGCCTGGATGAAAAATACTTTAAAGTGGAGATGCATAATGGGTTGATTAACCCTTTAACTCCCAGATCACATTTGTAATTCTCCATACAGTCAACCATACAATTCTTATCGTGTTAGTTCAGAGAATTTAGTACAGATCAACTAATTATCCCCAAATTGATATATTTCTTTATTCTCATTACTTATCTGGTTGATATTGTATTGATGTTGTAAGGAGAAATTCTGACTTGGTCAGTCATGGGAGTTAAAGGATTAAAGCTGGCACTTGAGTTGAACCATGTAGATCCTTGGAACTCTTACTTTCATCTCAAATAACATGACAGCATCAAATACTTGCACCTGCCACCACCTGAGATGTTTAAATTCGGTTCTCAGAGAGCATCAAACACCTTACAGTTTACAGTAACAGAAATTAAGGTAATAATTTGGTGAAAAGAAACTTACATTGTGCTATTACTGTTGCGACCTCCTGACACTCGCAGATTGAATACTTTAGTTATTCGTAAATCCTAAAAATAAATAATAAAAATGAAGAATAAACTTGACTTCATTTGTATCACATCAGTGTCTCAATCTGTCATCTAATGGGTGTTTCATTCATTTTCTATCCATATGGCTTGGTTCAGGCAATCGTGAGGAAAACCATGATGAAAGTTGACATGTGAAAGGCCGATGAGTTAAAGCGAGCCAAACTGGAATATGCTTTCTGGCCCACCCTTGCAAAACTCTGTTGCATTTTCCAAGAATATAAGTTCCAACTGTGGGTTTTAAATTAAAATGAAACAGAAATGACAAAAAAAGTGGCCTTTTTCCTTCAATTTTGGGTTTCTCAATCTGACTCAATGAAATGACTGCAGAGAAGTTTTTCAATAGATTGTTCTCAGTAGTTGTCCAGTACTAACATGTCTGATGTAATTCCAAAATTTTTGAAGATTTTTTACTGACTGAGTATGGGCTCATCACATAGGAAAGCATATGGCACTCAGTCATTACGTACAGCTAGAACTTGCTCCGCTTGGTTCATACATCACGACCTTGGGCCAAATATTTTCCCCTGCCACCCCTTCCACACGGTTCATAATAACATAATATTAATTTACCTGTGATCTTTCCTCTGCCAGACTGTTGCCAAGGACTGGATGCATCAACAGAAGAACTGAACATCGTTCACATTTCAGCATTGACAATGCACGTCTCATAATCTTATGTACTACCTTGTCCAGAGAGGTCTGTTCTTCAAAGATGTCATGAACAAGCTCCAGCAATGCCTAATTTCAAAAGCAACAGGAACACAGGCTAATTGTTACCATTTGGTATGTAAAGTTTTAAGTTATTCCTGAACTACAGATGCCAAGGATCACAATACCATTAATTGAATGGGCTAACATCAAAAACTTGTTGCAATTCATTGATACTGACTTCAGGTGAGGACATTTTTGAGGTTGGGAGTCCCCACAAGGCGTTATGGGAATTAGCCCTCAAATGAGAAAATAACCCCTCAAAACCTGAATTTCTTCCACTCTAGACAAGTGCCATTTAAATCTGAAAAACCCTGTAACTCTTCACCATGAAATCTGCAATTAAAATTAGACGACCACTATGCAGGAGTCTGATTTGTCAATCACAAAGTCCTGTTACCAATTAATCTTAATTGTTACATTTTCTGTAAAAAAAAATAATCTAGAACAAATATCTCTAATGGACACAATGCCTACAGATAAAAATTCCTCCATTTTGGAAATTCCCCAGTTTTTCTCAGGATGAGTGGTTGTTGCTATGGTTACTGTGATCAATTCTGTTGTTTAGCTGAGTGGATTTAGTATTATTGGCTGCTTCAACGGTCCAATTGCAGGTGTCCATTTACTGCCAACTGTCTGATTTCATTGTCCCCTTACAACTGTACAAAATGATTAGTGAAAAATAAAGCAGCTAATGCGCTGATTACATTTGAGGAAATTGTAATTGATATGATTATTGCGATATTTAAGGGTGGAAAATTCAACTTGAATATGTTCAATGAATTGTTTTAACCTATTTACCCTATTTCTGTTGAATTCCTTTGCTGATAGCTCAAACAGCTTTGCATTGGTGATTCCGATTCCACAGAAAGTCAGATACATTTCACAGACCTGAAAAAGGTAATAGACCATGAATAATAGTTACAACCACCTCCTTGTCTAGTGGAAACTTCACTATGTAGCAGAGTGCAGCACTTAAGCAATCAGTGGAGTGAAGGGTTATGATTTCACCACAAGCAACTTGGAAGCAAATACATCTTTCTCATATGATTTTATTTGACTTATGTCTAAGGTTGGAACAGACAAAAGCAAACACAAAATGAATGCACCTCTTCATCTTCTTGTGTAAATGGTACAGGTCCAGGCATTTTGTTGATTATCTGAGCCACACCCACTACCTAAATAAAAAAAAAAAGGAGAAATGAAAATACCAATATGTAGAGGGTGCATCAGTTACAGCAAAAAATTAAATTGATTTCAGAAAAGAATAATGTTTGTCAGGGAAATGTCATGCCACTTAAAGGAGAAGATTGCTAGAAAATTAATACCTGTTCCCTCACTATTGTATATCCTTAAATCATGATTATTTTGGTATGGTTGAAAGTCCAGAGGGTGACTGAATATTCTTTAAAGACACAAAAGGCTGATTTAAACAAAGTAAATTCCTGTGGTTTACCATCTAACAACAATTAGGAACCTTCACAAATTAAAGAAAACTAATTAACATGCATTTTCAAATATTTTCAGGAATTAAAGATGAGATAGCCCATTTTCTGCTTTTTCAGTCCTCTGTTCTTTCATCAGCAGACAAACATGAGAAAAGTCTCTAGATCCCCTTTAAATGAGCCATTTAAGATTATTGCTAGCCACATGGATTTGATAAATAAAATGATCAGAATTTCTCAGCCTGATTTAAGATGGTTAGTTTTCTCTATTTCTTTATGCTGTTTAATCTGGATTTTCACAAACAAAAGCAGCAGGAGAACAGAGTATAATAACAAAAAAATCCTATACACGTCTAAATAAAAGTAGCTGATGCCATTGAAATATAGAAACATAATTTGTTGTAGTACATAACAAGAGAATTCTGCAATTTCTGGTGCTTATAACAAACACAGTGTTTTGTACCATCTATCTCACCTGTTCTGTATATTTAGAAAAAAAGTTAAATGTTATGTTTTCAAAAGTTTCATTCTGCTGGCAGTCCTACAAGCTGCCCCTTGAAGCAAGCTTGAGGCACTGACTAGTTAATTCAAAAATTAAAAAATTGCTTTCATTAGCTTCTTACCTCCCCTTCATTGTTCTTCACTGGCTTACATAGCAAGCTCTTGGTATGATAACCTGTCTGGCGATCAACCTCCTTGTTGAAGCGAGGATCCTGTGAGGAGAAATGACCAAAATTATAACTTGATGCAGTCAACCAGATGATAAAGAAATGAGACTATTTTCTTAATTTTCTGATACAACACAGAGAGGACAGTTGTATCCCATTAAATATTGATTATAAACAGGAGACTTGAAAAAATTGGTTCAAAATGTCCTAGTAAAATCATAAAGTGACGCTCTGACTCATTTCATCTTTCAAAAAAATGCACACACCCTCTGAAACATTGGAATGTTGCCTTCCATGCCCACAACCTGATGGACAATTGCATCATAAGCATTTTGAATAATGCATTTAGAACTACAAGACACATAAGGATTCTACTTAACTCTTCAGGCAAACCCAAACAGATATACTTGATGTTGTTGACATTTCAAAGGAAATAAATTCAAATAGCAAAAGTTCAGTTAAAAGAATGCTACAAAATGGGATTTGATCAACTCTTCATTATCTTATACTGGCTAAGTGAGAAGTGTATCTGAAATATGTTGTGAAAGATCTTTAACATACTTCTTTGAGGAGCCTACAGTTACAGGCCTTTTCTCATAGAGAGAAAATGGTTTTGATCGTAAAATGAATTAAATTTTCTTTATCTTTAATTCTGCATGTTCTCTTTCTTTTTCTTTCTATTATTTTTTTTAAAGAAAGAGGTCTCTATGTCATTCTACTGTATCAAAAACCTGCTCCAATAACTAGCTCCGGATTCACTCCACCTCACTACAAAATTTAAATTTGACTTTGAAGCTTCTACCCTGAGAAATTTTTAAAAATATGAGCTTTATATTGCTGATGGTTTTTAATTTCGCACTGATAGGTATTTTATATTTGCAAGTTATTTTGTGGGTACAAAGTTATTTGATTATCTTCAAGGCCAAGACCAAGAATCTTGGTAGATTTAAATAATGACATGCTGTTTTATGTTAAAAAAGGTATAGCATGGTAAAAAAGCTAGAATATGATACTTTTTTAAAGGACTGAATGAAAAAAAAATCAATAAGTGTTGCTTTTTTGGTTGTTGTGAAAAAGGAAATTTGAAATATTGTTATGAATGATTAATTATCCGGTGAAAAACTAAAAATGGTAAAACAAAACACAAACATAAAAAATTAACAAAGAAAGATTTTTTTTTTGTAAAAAAATAAATTTTCACATCTATCCGAACAATTTTAGTGTAAGTGACAGTCATGGAAGTACTTCTCAGGAAATTACGAGAGAAGTCATTTCCATCGTTCTTGTGGTTCAGAGGGGCTTTTCAAAAGGTGAATAAAATTGAAAGAATCGTATGCAAATAGGTTTTGAGACAAGCCCATCGCGTATTAACGCACAGAGAACCTGCACTGCTTAAATAAGCACTCGCGGGGATCTCGCCTGTCAACAAAGTGCTCTGGCACCCGATCAGATTAAAACCAACCGCTTCAATGTAAATCCGTCATCGGAGGCACGCTAAACAGAGCGCTTACTAGACGGTCCTTAATGTCTGGATACAAGTTGATTGCGCTTCACTGATCATCCAAATCACGTATAAGAAGACAGAACGAAATTGTAAACTACTGTAGTGGAAGCCACAACAAACAATAAATGTCGAGGAGCTTGAAAAATTTCAATTGCAACAGAGGCGCGGTAACACTGCTGATTTCATTCCGCTGTAACTTAAATTTTTAAAATTCTCAGAAGTTGAAAAAGTGTTGTACAGAAAAAAAAAGTATGACGAGAATCGATCGCTCCTAGAAATGAAAACAATCAATTCGCCCGCTGAAGTGCGAAACGTGAACATTGTTTTCGCGAACGCATAACTCGTTGTGCATAATTTCAACTTTATAGCTTAATAAGCCATCATAACAATCCCAGACCGGTTGGAGAAACGTCGCAGTGATAACATTATATCGAATTTGAGTGAGATTTGATAACTCGAAAGATTTAAAGTGTTTTCAGCTGACGACACGATTTTTCCCCTAGATACGACCAAAAGAGCTAATGCAAATTTAAAAAACCGCGAAACCATGATTCATCAGCTGGAAAGACGAAAGGTGCATTTGTTTTTTAACATGCTAAATGTTAGTTTCTTGTACAATACCTTTCAGCATTCGCGGGATTTTATCGAGGGTAGTTTCCGGACTATTGTAAAATCGAAAAGCGCGGATTTCCTACAAAGCGTTTAAGTTCTCGTTTGCCTTTCTTTGAATGCGCTTCAGTTGGTAAAATACAAATAAAATGGAACTGAATTAATAGCGAACAAAAATAGGTATCCATCCCACTTCGTTTGATCCGGGCCATCCCATTTAATTTCTGCAAATGGTATTCGGTCTTCCACGTCCATACAACTCCAAGAAAGTTGCAGGACCAAACAAAGCAGCAAGTTTTGTATAAGCTATCTGGTGAGCGTACAAAAAAGCAAATCTGCTTGCTTGAATCGAAAGCTCGAAAATTAGTCTCGCGCGGTACGAGATTCGAACGACTGATCAAAATAGGAAGACACACTTGATTGCATCGATTCGAATGCACTGTTAACTTATGGTCATGTCGCCTTCTTACACGACTTGCAAGAAGGTATCGTTTGCAAGAAACGTTTAATCAACGGCGATTCAAGCGAGCGAATGTGGTTTACATACGCCTAAAACCCCTAATGATTTATTTATACTTAAAACGTTACAAACCGCATACGCATCGGGGATGTTAACTGTCTCTCCAGTTTCAGCCGCGTATCCCACCAGTCCTTTGCCCCAAGGCACTCGAATTTCCTTCTGCTGGTCTATGAAATCCTTAATAGAAGTCGAGTTCGGCCCTCCAACTTGCACATCAAAAACCTTTGAAACCAGTGACTGTTTACCTTTAGGTCCTTCCACGAGAAACAATGAGCACCGATCAGCATTTGTTAGAATCCCAACATTGACTAATATTTTATAACTAAGAGTCGTTAGGTCCAGATCGTTCGCTATGTCCCGTACAATCTCAAAGAAGAATTGCCTTTCATTGTTATTCTTTAAATCTAGCTTTGTCTCGGCGTTCAGGCCGATTGAAGATGGTAGACGAATTTTTGACTCAATTAGTGCCCCCAATACATGCTGTTGTCCACAATTCGGCAGCGATTTCGTTTTCCGAAGCAGTCGTGAAGGGGGACTTCTCACTCGTATTGTTTTTTCCTCCCGAATTTCACAAGTACTCAGATCTAGAGAATCAACAACACTGGAAGATACTGGTTTAGTAAAAAACTGCTTGCCTCCATAACCCAAACCAAGTTGCCGCTTCGGATTCCCCTGACGCTGCGGTTCAGAGTACCTGCGAGTTATAGGTAATGACCGAGCTGTTGGCTGACCCGCTTCACTTTCCCCTTCCTCGCTCGCATTAATAATATCCACAGTATCGTTGAAACGAAAGTTTTTTTCTCCGATTGTTCTTCTGCCGCAGTTCTCAATTAGTTCAACATTTGTGTCGAAGACATCAGCACACTCTTCCCTCGCTTCATTCCATAGTTGAACCATTCGCGCGGTACCTTTACGCACAAAATATTCCTCAGCGTGTTCTGGATGGTCATCGAGCCACTGTTCCACCTGGGTGAACGATAAAGTCATTGTTTAGCCATACTTCGAGGTCAATTCAATCCTGACTGGCCACACATTATGGTAAAAGCTGAAAATTTCCCCGCTCTGTGCGGCTAAGCCGTCACTTTGTCATCAAGGATGCGATAAACCTCGGTCGATCGCGCATGTAACTTATGTAGAGAGTGTAAACAAACTGAAATTTGGCCACACTGGACGATGCAAAATTCTCGAACTGCGCCGCGATGGAAGATTCTATCCACGCATCCCAAAGATGATTTGCCTATCACTCCTCAGCTTAAATCAAATGCTGCTAAATCAGGCTCTTGTACATGTAACAGAATATCTGAGCAGTGTTACACAGATCTGTTGATAAAACAAGGCATGCAAGAGAGCAACGATACACTGATGTCACGAGTCAGTTGTTCAACCGCAGACCACTACAGGATGTCGAGTGAGCCTTTGTCCGCTTGCCGTCTTGATTCGTCTATTCGTAACTCATGATAAGGTTTCTTCTGATCGCGAACGCCCACGAAAATATCGCATAGAATATTGATAATTTGTATTTAATATCTCCCTACTTCAATAACAATGAATCGGCCGACCGCTTCGGGAAAATGAAACAGACTCCTGATTTCAATTTCGCTGCGGTTGTTGTGGTCATGTGAGAAGAGAGAAGAACCAATCAACAAAACGACTTCGCGCCAAATCGCAAATTTGTGAAATATACATTATCCAAGCTGTTTGACAATAGTTTACTTGGCAAAAATAGCCCCCAGAGAAATATGTCATTTGAAGTTTCAGGTGGTTAAAACCGATACCATCTCCGCTCTTTTGTCGCGTCTACCATTTGGTATTTGAGTCACGCACTAAGATAGATAGCAAGCGATAATTCTGCAATAAAATTATTTTCGTCTGTCACTCGTAATCATCACCAAAATTCCCTTGAATTTCCTTGTGCAAGGTTAAAAGAAGTGCATTTCCTTAAAGAAGCGTAAAGATTCGTTCTTATGTTTATTCGGTTTATTTAATTTTGTCGGCTTTTTTGTTTCGTCACCTGCATCATCGCGTAATCGGTGTCTTCTCTTTTTTTTTAGCCCAACGCGCGCGGTCTTGAGCCTGTCTAGAATTTAATTTGAAACTGATGAAATTGCGGCTGTAACTTTGCGTTGGTCTGGTATGTTTACTTCCACTGACTATCCAGATTCCCACGAAAGATGTTCAGGTGCGGAGATTTGGTTTTTGCAGTTGTTATGCATACGCTCTCGCGGCCGCAGAAGATGAAGAGGCGACTGACATTGAATTCGATCGAATAGAGTTCTAAAAGCCAGAACTCAATTTACAAAAGCTTAAGGTAAATAGAATCTTAAAGAGTAAAAAGTGAAAAAAAAAATTTTCGAAAACGGTTTAAAGAAATTCATGTTCCTAAACATGAAATTTGACAACAGTAGATCTAGAAAAAGAGAAAATATAAAGTGCTTCACTGTATATAAGGATCAGTAGACTCGAATCGACGTTAATTCATCGCAGCGCCGAACATTGCACTTTCAAGTTTATGAACAAAATGGGAAAATCCGACTTGAAACTGATGAATGAAATAGATCTTAGCGGAAAGAGCTTCTCCTCTCATGAAAGCGTTTTAATCTTCCGACTAAAACTTTTAGGCGGATTAGCTACGCAATCAGCAATGCACGAACAAGTTTATTTTTATACACATAGTGACCACTTCCGCCCCATTGTGCGTTGATCGTTTTGTTTTCAGTGTCAAGTGGACTTAAATCTTGACGCTAACAACCATCACGCGAAAAAAATGTTTCACTCTCCAGAGTCGAAGAAGCATTCAAATCGGTTGAATGGATAAAAATGAAACGTCAACTGTCAGTAAAGACTGATTTGAGGTAAACAACTGCTTTCCGGACAGGTATTTGTGAGAGCCTCAGCCCAGATTCTCTATGAACAAGATTATATGGATATAGCAGCAAATACGTAAGTTGCTAAGTTGATAATGATAAGCCAATTATATTGAAACGCATCGCAGCATTCAATCCTCTTAACACAGTTTCCGTTGACAATTAGTCTAAACAACTTTGATGAGAGCTAAATGAGAAAGAAGCTTAGTTATCGATTGAACTTGAACAACGGCAAAGGAAACAAACGTAACCAAGCGCTGAAGATTCCCAACCGTCTAAGAACTATTGTGCTTATGAGTGTATGCACAGCAAGCAATCGCATTTTGTTTCATCCCTGCGAAAAATATTGTGAACACAAACGTTGAAGTGATTTCTCTCAGCGAGAGGAAGTTCTTGAAAGCTTTTGTTCACAACATTCCTCACACACAGAGAGTTGACAACGGACGAATTTCTAAATTTCTGCATTTACATAAGAGTACTCCTTTCGCATGATCCGTCTTGACATAAAGAAGACTGTGTCACTCAGACCGGGGAAGGCAAGTGATAAAAACAAAATTCAGTGTGTGGACATTAGCATAACTGAGAAAAAATTTGCATCCATTACTACTCTTTTTATTTTATTTTATTTTTCACCATCATTATCATAAAACGGTTGGGTTAATCTGTATGTATATATATATGTTTTTTTTACATAAACATACGCGAAGACAGGCATTACCTTGGCAAAAAGCAAGGGTTGAGATCAGGTAGTTCTATATTGCGATATAGCAACACAATTGATTAAAAACATAAGTGATGTATTTAAGAACAATCGCCACTAACTACAATAACAAAATAAAAAACTTAGATACAACAAACGAATAAGGATGTGGTACTCCGTCTGTTGGTCGATAATTTGATTTCATCGAGTCAGTTGATAATGCGCATTGCCACCGTGAACAATTTTTTAAAGTTGACGTTTCGAGGGCTAGCCCTTCGTCCTGATCACTAGCCCATCGTCTAACGAAGGGCTAACTGGCCATGCTAACGCTCGAAACATCAGCTTTAGAATTTACACTCTTAGCGTCGGTCAATTTGCATTATCAACTCTGTTTATAAAACTAACTTATCATGGACGCGACTAGATCATTTAAAATGGAAAAGCCGAGGGTCCAGTTATTCAAATGGAGGATAAATCTATCCTGAGGATAAATCACTAACCAGCGGATAATTGTTAACAAAACGAATTAACTGCGCTATCCACCGGATAGAGATTTATCCAGTGGATAATGTTATTCACCTTTCGAACAACCAGGGCCAGGAAGAGAGTGTGTGGAAAAGTAGCAAGTTGTATGCTACTGAGTTGATTTCTGAGGGAGTGTTGCTATGTTCGGCTAAAAAGCTTAACATGTGCTTAAAGTCTCTATGTTTCTCGCAGTAATCTTGTTTGGGACAATAAAATAGTTTGTCGCTAGCAAAGCGCTATCATCGGTTCAATTTTTGTCCCAGCAAAGCGCCATTATCGGTTTAAGTTTTGCCCCAGCAAAGCTATCATCGGTTCAATTTATGTCTCAGCAAAGCGCTATCATCGGTTCAAGTCATGTCCGCTATTATCGGTTCAATTTATGACCATTTATGACCTAGCTAACCGCAATCATCGGTTCAATCTGTGTCATATAATCTTCATGTAATGATCGGCTTGAACCTGAAATTGAAGCCCGTCTTTCAATGCCTAGATTAATGGTGAATGAAGATTACAGCGGAAATGGAATGGATCGAGAAAAGAAGAGTCGCAAACACGAGGACTGGGACAGAGATGTTCACCTGAACAACCAGGGCTTAATTAAGATGGGGAGGTGAACCACCAAAATTTACAAGTTAAACAAAATCGACTCTACTAATGATTAAGTTCAGGGACTTTTATTGGCCTTATCACGTTTAAGGTTGTTTCTCTACACCCTGGCAATCATCCCGGTTGCTTTATCAAATAGAGTTATTCATTTTGGTTATTACAGTGGTGAATCCAGGGTGGTTCAAGAGGTCACCCCACCTCCCCCTCCCCCCTCTATGGTGCCTGTATTTCTTTTTCTTTTTAATTTTTTTCGTTTTTTTTTTCACTATTTGTCTGACACAACAAAATATTGCCGACGCCGACAGGATCGCGCGTACTTTTTAACTTAATGTGAAGTATTTTAATAACTTCTCTTGAGCATGAAAGAGACATTACTTAGCTTAGGCTGTTGTGTAGAGGAAGAAAAATGATAAAGAAGATCGCAGTTTTCGTGATCAAAGTTTGCCTCCTTAACTTGATATTTCTGGATCCGCCCCTGAAACTAGACTCATGAAATGGACTATCGATCTATCGATCCTCTTGACCTTAAACAATCCGATCATAAAATAGAATAAAGGCTTAGTGCGATTATAGAGTAAATAAATTGCTACTACTAGAGAAAGGACCTTATCGCAGATGGCAAAATATGCATCTTCAGATTTGATTGCAACGAATGGCATAAACTGAGGCACGGAAATCTCAGAGTTAGCCAGTCCTGATCAGCTGGTCCTTATCTTCGATATCTTCTTTGGTGCCAATCACCAAGATAAAATGTGGAAAATTGAAGTCGCTATAAACCGACTCCATGGCCACAGGAACTCAGAAAAGTTCCAAATATTGGATAACCATATTATTTAATTTCTTTTCCACACCTGTAACTGAAAGAAAATTTTGGTGCATTCTCATAAATTGTTTCAGTCGCTCGTGAAACGTATATGGCAAACAAAGCCTGAGTTGTAGAAAATGGATTTGGTTTTAAAGAGGATGTTTTGCCGTCACTGTGTCACCGCGGAGACACCACAATGCGCCAAAATTTGTAAATTGAAAGACCTACAAAATGACGTCATAAGTGAGTATGACCCTTGGATCACGTGCACGGATGAGATTGGACCTTCCTTGGCGACAATATTGTTCACGCATTGACCTTTTCAAACCCCTATTACTTTCAGCTGAGAAAAATGTAGTTTTGCACTGGATGTTAAGAAACTGTATACCTTCCCAATACTGGGTTCATTGCTGAACCTCTGACAAAAAATACTAGCCCTTTTCCTCTTGATCCTCAGTCATCAAAAATCTGTGCGTATGAGCAGTTTTTCTAACTGTTTTGTCGTCACTGATACGAATTTTATTGGCTTGAAACTTTCCGTAAGCGTCATTTTGCATCCTTTCTCTCCATCTCTTCTGGCGGACTTTTGTGGCCACTACCTCCTTGAAGGAGGCTAAGCCACATACGTTATCAAAATGAATGGTAGTAAATGACGATAGAAGCCGAACTTCACCCGACTTCACCCCATGTCACTTATCGATCGTTTCCTAGTACCTTCGTAGTTAGCGATTATTAAGCACAGCATCCACCTAAGAGAGAAGAATGCGTTTGAAACAAGTTTATTTTGTGCTTAAGAACACCCAACATATTATTTTTTTCTCAGTGGTTACCGTTTGAATCAGCGAATTATGCCCTACATAACCGAAGATGTAATTTTTCGGCTCTTGCAGTAACACACGACAATAAGCAATCATTTGTATGACACGTGATGAAAAACAAATTCCTTACAGAAATATATCAATGAATGAGATTGGCGCATCATGAAAACAAAGAGGAAAATGTTGTCCTTGAAGACAGTGCATCTCACCGTTTGAATCAGCGAATTATGCACAGTGAACCCGAAGATGTAATTTTAGTGGCTTCTACCTCCTATGGGAGGCGATGTAAAAAAATTCATTTACGAAAAAGGAGGCTAGAGTCCAAACTCCGTGGAAAATATGTTTTAAACTTGGTAAATGAACCACAACATTTGGCTGAAGTAAAAACTCTAAAACTTGTTAAAATTTCAAACAAAGGAGCAAGAAATTTACGCGAACGAAAGCTCAAAAGCAACTAACTAAAGTTCATAAACAAACTAAGAGTAAGCAAAAATGTCCACGTCAGTTTTCTGATGTCAAGGTTAGAGTTCTTTGACGTGCTGACTAATTTGTGAAATCATACGCGCCGCGTGTCAAGTACAAAAAGAATACAACGAGGGGAGAGAAAGATAAAAATTGTTACTTGAAATTTAGAAACGAAATAGATTTCCACAGGCGAAGCTACAGATGTCGTCGAAATGAGTGAGTGAGAGAGTGTAACAATAGAATTCCGGTCTTGACCCAATTTTGACCCAATGTTTCCTAGTGGTACTTATTGTTTGTTTCGGAGTACTACAGTAGACAATAAACACCTCGCAATCACTTAGAATGACGCGTAAAAAAAATAAACAAAGATTTTCCTTGTCTTTCCTAGACATATCCTAAAAAGTGTGATCGGCACATCATGAAAACTTTAACATGCGAGACAATTTTCTGCAACACCACCTCTTAGCATCATTATACAACTGACCTCTTGTTATTTTTAATGCCATAAAAATTGTGCTATACCAACCATATGCAATCTTAAACTGCCTATTTTTCGCAAAGACGCTAAAACGAGCGAAAACCGAGCCGTGATAACTTCACCCGTTTTTCTGCCCCAAGCCATTCGCAGCATCTTACCTCGTTTCTCGACGCTGTAAAGCGCGCTCAAAACCGCCACCTATACAGGAAAAGGCTTTCATGACAAAGCCGAAACAGAACGTCGACCCTTTCCCGGTGGAATGACGTCGCAAGTGCCTGTCAAATGACATTCCGTGTCACGTTCGCAACCGTGACACAGCATTCTTTATATTTTCTTCTACGCTTTTCAAGCACTGGAACGAAAGAACGACATTGAACCGGAAATCACCCCGACAAAGACAATTTCAGACAGAAACGTGTTGTTTGAAAGGTATGCATATTGTCTTTTCAATTCGCACAGTTCATTCAGCAGGTAAGATTTGAAGTCCTGCTAAATCGTCGGTGAATATACGTAAAGGAAATTCGGTTGAGGAGAAATTCTATTTTACGAATTATTTATTTGAAAGGGAAAACTCTGCAGGGCGATGATGACTTAAAAAAAAAGAAATATTTTGATTCAAAAACACATTTTTTTAATTCGAAAGAACTAAAATGGACAAAACTTTTCGGCGCTGCAGAACGTAGACTTAAAATTTTATCTTCGATCCGTGATCGCGCGTCAGGTGTTCGTGACACTTCCGCAGTACGTCAAAATATTTTTAGCGCACTTGTTCAAAATTAGCATTTTCCCACGCAAGCAGACAAAAAATCACTTTGAATCTAACTGGGATTTTATTTGATAATTGTCAGGTGTTTAGGAGTCGTCTCAATATTGATACCCGGCAATATCGTCACATATATAGATTGCCGCCCACGCATCGCTCTGCGTGAACATACGTTGAAAGTAAACGTGACATATGTCAGGTTGGTTTGTCATGTTGCGTGCGTGTGATTCTTACGGTATCAGCATTATCTCAGAAACAAAAACAAAATAAGACAAAAAGAAGCAAAAAAAACGAAGAAAAGGGCAGATAAAAGAAGACAAAATATTAGCTGTTGCAATTTGGGATTATTTTTAGAGCGTCTGTGTTGATACGTCTTCCTTTTTTTAATGTTTAAAAAAGGTTTTCGTTTTCAGCCTGTAGCTATCATTATTCCTTTTAAATTTTTTTCTTCACTCTGAGGTCTTTCTCCCGCTTAGATAACAAGATTTAAGGTTTTCATTTTTTTACGACGCCTAAAAAAATTTTTAGAAACTCGAATTTGCGTGACATTCCAGTTCCTTTATGATTTTCCGTGATTGCAAAAAGGACAATAGAAATCGGTCGTCTTCAATCCCATTAAAACCATAAGAAGAAAAGGAATTTTCGTGTCTATCCCGAACATAGTTTGCGCTTCCTAAAACTATTGGTGTTATAGCGAGTTTCAATCGCTCAAAGATTATGGGAGTAAAAAGACGTGACTAGAACTTTTGACGTCACGGATTTAGAACAGTCTTGTGACGTCATGACGATATTGCCTAATCCGAGTATATTTTAGCCGCGAGGGTGATTGGAAGAGCCTAAATCGAACCATAGATCAGCTGAAGAAAACTGTTCAAAGAAACGAAGAAATGTCTCGTTCAGACGCACAGAAGTTGAGTGCGGAGTTTATGACCGAAGCTGAAAAAGAAACAGAGACAGATAGACTTGTGAGAAAAAGCAAACAGCAACCTTTCATTCCAATCGGTGAGTTGAGCGATCGAGCTTGCATCTCAAAACGTAAATAAGCGTAAAATAAACATCGTGAATTCTTACCCTTACGTCTTCCATTAAGATTTCCGCCATTTAACTCTTTTAAAACTGCCACTTTTGAAACGATTTCTATGGCTTTTACGATCAAGCCTTTTCTGTGTCAATGATTTCGCCGGCCGGCTGAAAATGTCACCGCCTGAAGTTCTACTTTGCTTATGCAATAGAATAACTAATTGTTATATCGGGGCGGTTTTAATGATCTTATATCTACATGAAGCAGCATTATAAACTTCTGCAAAAATTTTGTTTTCGTAGAAACCAATGTATGGACTTTGGATTTTACACTATATATCTCGATTTAGTTTTCAACGTAAAAATAGATAGGCGTTAGCATATATTTTTAATGTAACATCGCTCATGTTGAAATTAAATACTGTACACGAGTGAGGGAAGGACCGCACTTATTGCTTTGGGTGAAAATTGTTGTCTCGAATACTTCAGTTAAATTTGTCAGTGTCGTTCTATTCGGCGTTCTTCGTTATCTTCGATAAATTGGATTCAGCGCTGCCGATTTCCCCTTTTGCGTGTAGTTAACACAGAAATTTAAAATTTAAATGATGCAAGGGTTTTGTCTTCCACAATTAAGGTAGCAACATTTACTCTTAGTTTATTTCTAGTTAAGTCACCTTATTTTCCCCTTGTTTTGGTATTTTCAAGTTTTTTCCTTCAGAGTGTCTTACCTCATGCATTCTCTTAAAAATAATTTGTCTTCCATTATATCTGCTCTGAATGAAGGTCTGATAGGGTTGAATTTTCACTCAAACACCTTTGGAAGGTTTATAATAATTTTTTCGGAAGGTCTCTATACAGAAATGAACTGATAGATGTTTGTTTATGGCAGGAATTGCTGGAACAGTGGCTGCATGTGTATGGGGTGCAATCGCTTACAAGAATAGAGGACCTGCCATGACCACTAGCAGATATCTCATGAGATTACGAGTTATTGCACAGAGTTGCGTAGTGGGTTCAATTATTGCTGGTATTGGTGTAACAGCATTACAAGAAAAACTTGAAGCAAAGGCTGCAGAAAAGAAGGAGTGATAGCAGTGCCACTTTGTATTAGATGGACTTATGAGGGACAATTGTTATTGGGTTAAGGGTTAAGAAACAGAAGTTCTGTTACTTTGTGTATATAATGCCTCATAGTCATGGAGTCATGTTATGGAAGAAATGGAGAAACAGGTGAATAAGCAGCATTCAATGCACAGAATCAATGGAAAAGTTACAAATGTTTGGTACATTTAGAAGAAAACTGACAAGATTTTTTGTTCTAGCCTTTAAGAGTATAACAATGTACAATACTTTGTATATAAAATGTTTATCATTGTGAATATTTAATTCTTAATTGGCTTTAATGCCAATTCTGCAGCGCCTGATGGCTACAACCAGTTCACTAAGTGATAACTTAACTTTCTAGCTTTTTCATTATGCAATTGAAGATGTGAGTGATTTTTTGTTTGTGTGTAGCTGGCCTAATGATCTAAAAATGTTATTTCTATTACAGTGACTATCTTGAAACAGCAAATTGTTGAGAAAAAAATTTTTGATTAAGATAATAAAATTTATATTTAAGCCTTTAAAATGGTTAACTGCTGTTATTGTTTACAAGTTTCATTTGGTATTGAGTTAAAAAATCAATCAATGAAGAAGTAAGGGCCTGCTTTAATGAAAACACTCTAACTGGGCAGATTATTTAATTTTAACATGTGAATAAGAGTAAATTCCTAAAATGCAGAAAAACAACCTTTACAAAATATACTAACAAACTTAACCCTTTGACTCCCAGAAGTGATTAACATGTACCTTCTCCCTATAGTACCTATACATTATCCAGCAATCAGGTAGTGAGATTAGCCCAACTTATAATCTACAAGATATTATCTTGATTGAACACCAAATTCTCATAACCAATTTACTTGGAAATGTGTAGCAGCTGGAGGAGAGATTTAACAACCAGATCTTGGGAGTTAAAGGGTTAAGACTGAAGAATAAACACAAGATACAACAAGACAAACACCTTACCAAATGCTGAGAGAACTATATGAAATACGAAACGCTTGCACAGAAGGGGTTTAAATAGAACCAGAATGAAACACACACGGAATATATACAGCAGTGTAATTTACATAAAGGGCAAAAGTAATGGTGAATTACTGTTTGAGTAAAAGGGCAAAAAAATTAATTAATTGGTGCGAGAAGCATAAGAAATGTGAAAGAAAATCAAGAAATAGAAAATTTCCTCAACGCCTTGTTAATTATTTTGTCGAGCCCTGTGCATGGATTCCTCCAATATTTAACAAAAAAGGAGAGGGGTTTCTGAAATACTGCACTGAATAAGGAACCATCCAGAAAGCAGACTGTCATAGGGTACTTAATGAAGATGTCACTTCAGTGACCTTAGGTGCTTGCTTCCTGTTTGCAAAACCACAGAACACCAGAGTTTACATTGACCCCATAAGCGTGGGGTCATCAGATGACATCTGATGGCCCTGATGATTTTTCTATGTTGTTGGCGTGAAGTAAGACAGTTAGTATGTGACAACATTTGTAATACATCATCCAAGGCTGTTTTTCTTGACATTATAAGAAGTATGGACAGTGAAGCTGATAATATTGTGGCACCAAATGGAGTTTCTCTCCTGTCATGAAATCTAACCCTATCAGCAGTTTATTATGTTTTCGGTGGACAGGGGTGTTCAGAAACCTGTCAGAACCCTCCTGATAGAGATTTTCTGTGTCTACAATATTGCTTGCAAGGCTTTATGTCTTAATTAGTAGGAATGATCTGAACCATTTTCAGGTTTTATAAGCAATAGGTTGGTCAAATAATAGCCCAGGCACACCACAAAACAATTTGCTGTGTCACAACAACAGTTGTAACCCAACAACAGTCAATTGATAACTAGTTAGGGTTAATGTTGGGTTAGGGAAGGGGTAGGTGAACAGTTGCCCAGATACTGATATTGATCCTGCAATGGATTGTTTGTTTGACATGGATAATTTTCATAAAAAATTATATCTCAAAGAGGTAACTTTTTTGCTATGTCAGTGTCATTGATTGATTTAACAGACCCAAAAATTGGTAATGAAGTAAGCCTAACAACAAATTATAGATCAATACCACAACATTCACTTTTATCATAATCCATCACTATGGGTTTAATTCATCCATTTCATTCTTCAGACAATAATAGATTATTTTCTTTAATTCTAATATTATTTCCTTATAAAATATCAAGCTAAAGCCTAGATTACACATCACATTATGGACAAATTTAAAAAAGTATTAACTTGTGGCAAAACAATAAATCATTTTACAAAGTGGCTCTTATAATCAACTGTGTCCTTAAACAAATAAAGGCCAATGAATTTGAAGCTTCAACATCCCCCTGGTCAACCTACGGGCATTTTACTGTTGTCTGTGTCCAGGGGTGGGGAATTTGAACCTTGCCTGGCTAGGGTGGGTAGTTTGAATCAGAGGGTCACGTCTTTGGAATACAAGTGTTTTATCTTTTAACGTGGAGGTGTTTAGAGGTAGTGTTCACTTTCCTGAGTATTGGCTCAGAAGAAATGGTCTACAAGGTATGGATTTTAAAGCTTGGTCACTGCTCTTGGGTAGGTCAGTTGATTCCAATTTTTGCCCAAATCTTCGATGAAATTTCACACAGGGGTGTGTGTTGAAGCTTTGAATTGATCGACACATCTCTTGTGACAAAGTTTACATGCCTTGAATTAAATCAAGGCACAACGCTCGCATTTATTCATGCAAAAAAAAAAAATCATCATGGTGAGCTCAAAGGAGGCAGAAAAAAAACCCTAATATCTTTTGAAAGAGTATATTCCATGTTTCCATGCATCTGTTCCATTATAGATCACAGATCACACAGATCACAGATCACACAGATCACAGATCACACAGATCACATTTTTGGTAAAACAAAATTGTGATGTCTTCTGTGATCTATTACTGAACTGACCCATCCCAACATGGAATTTTTATGTTTTACATAACAAAGAAAAAAGTTGTTAAAAGTGATATCATCTATCTGTCTGTCCTCCAATAGATCATAACACCCAATCAAAATCTATGCGTAATTTGGCTTAATAAAAAACAACTTATTAATTTAATGTCTAAAATGACCCAATATCTTTTTAAACAAGTAAATTATTAATAATGGTAATAGGACCAAGTGGAGTCCAATCCGGTCTGTAATCATACAAGTGAGTCTGATTTGTTAATCACGAGTATGAATACAGACAGAATTGGATGACAGGAAGTCCTTTTACTAATTAATCATAACCATTAAATTTCCGAAAAAAAAAAACAAAACAAAACATTTGGGATGAATATCTCCAGTTGGAACAATGTCTGAAGTAAAAAATTTGGAAATTTCCCAGTTTTTTTTTTCAGTGCAGGTGGTTGTAGCTATGGTTATTGTGATCAATTCAGTGATTGGTGGATTTAGCTAAGTGGACTTAATATGATTGGCTGCTTCAACTGTGGGATTACAAGTGTCCAATAACAGCCAACTGTCTAATTACACTCTTGGATTACTACTGTACAGAGTGATTAATGAAATATATAGCAACTGATGCACCAATCACATTTGAGGAAATTGTAATGGTTATGATGAATAAAATATTATATAAGGTCTATAACCCCTAAAACAATTTGTGCATTGCAATATATTTTTTTGTGATTCTGAGGCTCCTCAGTAAAGGTTACCCATTTAAAATTTTATTTCTTGGAAGTTTATCATAAGTTTCATAGAAAAAAAAATTAAAATCTTAGTGACAACTCTCTCTTGCATGTCGCAAAGTATAAGGCAGTACTCTCTTCAAGATCTTTAACCTCTTTAAGCCTAACTACCTGTAATGTTAATCAAAACAAAAAGCCCTGATTGTTTATGAGTCTGGAAATTACACTGGCTGGATAAAAATGGTTGAATGTTTTTTTTTTATTGAATATAAGGTTGCCTGGAGATTATGAAGAGTGTGAACTACCTAAAAGCAACTTATTTTTAAGGGATGAAAGTGAACCATTCTGAGCTGGCAAGATTGGACCATCTTGCCTGCTTACAGCCAGGTAGCCAATCAGATCACAGAATATACTTTATTTTACCCACTCCTGGGTCAGCCTTATAACATCAGTTCTATTTGAATGCCAAAATGGTTCTTTGATTAAATTGGAAACTACTTCTATCATTAAGATATCAACCTTGAAAAAAAAAACAAAACAGTAACATGAAACACACTTGGAAACAACACAAATTGGTATTTTTTTATCACATACTGAGAGTTATTCCCTATGTAAGTCTTCTTTTACCACTGGCATATGATACCAAAGCACTTTGATTTACAGTAAGAAAGCAAATAATAAAACTCCATGTTTAAATAGATCCAAAGCAACTAGTTAACTTCTCCTCACCCAGAATGGCCATCTGACCCTAAGGATGAACTTAACCTAACTTCTGTGCTTCTTCTTGTAATCAGCTATCAAATAGAATATCTTGATTCGTAATGAGACTCTCTATTACAAGTCTTTGCAATTTCATGTCAGTAAGAACATCTGATGTATCAGAATCTGGAGCTCTCATGAGTGTTGGTCCAAAAACAATTGACAGATTTTCCTCAGTCATCATGTTAGCTTCTTTCTTTTTGGCTACTCTGTAAAAAGTACAAAGGAGAAAAAAAGAACAATGTGATATAAGTTATTATTAGGGGCCAGTTTGTTCCTATAAAAAGACATGAGTCAAGCAAACCTCAAACCAAATAAAACTGGTTTTGAATTTTGTTACAACCATGGCTCTCCCAATCTGAATTTCCTTTCACAGACCAAAGGTTTGGTTTGAGGAGATAGTTGCACCATCTCATAGGCACTACTTATCATTTCTACAAAAACTGTGAGAATATCACTGTTGTCATGTATTAGGTAACAATGACCAAGAGGTTTTAACCTTTTAACTCCCAGATCAAATTTGTAATTCTCCTAAATGTCAACCATACAATTTTTATAATGTTAGTTCAGAGAATTTAGTCTTGGATCAACTAATTATCCCCAAATTGATAGTTTCTTTAATCTCATCACTTATCTGGTTGATATTGTATTGATGTTGTTAGGAGAAATTCTGTCTTGGTCACTCATGGGAGTTAAAGGGTTAAGGGGAGACAAAATAAAAAAAGGACATGGTGGACTTGTTTGTGTGCATTCATGTTCTTCATTGGCTATTTATGTGGCAAGGTAACACAAACTCTGTCTTGCTCTTCATCAGGACACAGTGAAACATCTGACTAACTACTGATATTGAGCCCACTTTGACATGTAATTACAAACACTAACCTGTACAAGTGTCCCAAGAGGAACTTTAGTGTTTCGTAATGTGAAGCAGGAAGTTGTAACAGAGCCTTTGATAGTTGCTCCATCTTCTCTTTTCTGCTTGACAATTCTGGATTATGGATAAAGTATTTTTATTAACAAAAAACAGGTTGGTCTTTGGTAATTTCCAAATGAGTGTTGGTAAAACTAAAGTATCACAATCATAAGACAAACCAAAGGTACTCTATCACAAGAACCAAAGAGGATTGCCAAGCTGATATGCAGTTGAATCAGTGAGTGCACATGCCTCAAGGTTCTAATTTTGAATCTCTGAATTTCCCAGCTTTAAAAGAACTCTCATTCATAGGTTGCCCAAAGACAATAGTTAGTCATCTGTTACACCTGCATGGCCTATCCCCAGATTCTAATTGAAGCATTTATGGAAATCAAAGTATCAAATCAGAAGTTCAGTTTACTTACTTGCAGCATCTATAAATTTGCTGTATAAATCAAACGTGATGAGTGGAATAGGAAGCATACGGAAATACTGTTTGAGCGTCCCAGAAATAATGTTTATGTCTTCGTACACTGACAAGTCCACCTGGTCTCCATCTAAATAAAAAGATCAACACACTATGAACAGCAGCAGCATAAACAACAGTGACAAAAAAAGGCAACAGCCACACCAACAGTAACATCAACAACAACTAAGGAATAATTTGTGAATGGGGTTTTTTTAAGGTCTTACACCATCAGAGTTACTAAGTACACATGTTTCCAAGTAATTTAAATATTTTCTTTGTTAATAAGCAGCACCATCATAAAGATTTCTAGTAAACAGACTGTGTTACAAATAAGGTAGTACAATGTAGTGCTTCAATGCTGAAAATTGAGTCACATGCATTTGAAATTACTAATAAATGTTTTGAAGTAGAAAGTAAAATGCACTGGCTGCCTGCTAACTTTCACAATCCTGAATATGTAACCTAAACTTCTTAATATCAGGGGGGGGATTATACAATAAACTTGAATTATACTTATTAATCAGAAATAGCTGACTCCCCCTTTTTGAAGGTAATTTTTAACTGGGAAAAAGATTATATTTAAAAAATCCATCTGATTCTGACACCACAAAAAAGAGTGATTCACCAAGAAGATACAAAGCTACAGGTTGCAAGCAAGGCAAATCTTAGAGGCAAATTTTATAGTTGGTGTTACCTTTATCAAAAGAATTTTTAAGTGCTTCAACATCATCAGCAAAACCTGATATTCTATAGATTCCCTCACTGTCTAATCCTGCAACATTATAGAGATGACTGAAGGTTATGCTAGCCCAGTATGAAACTTGTTACCCATTGAATGCAAAGAGTATGATTTTGTTACAAAGTACATGATAAATATATCCATGACGAGGTCCAAAATTGCGATCACCTGATTGGCAAAGTGACTGCAAATTGAATTTTGGTTTAACTTTCATCCACTAAACTGGTGCTTGTTAATGATTGAAAATATGATTTACACAGAGATATTTTGTTAACACTTTACAGTTTGTTTCTCACCGTGTGGGGCAAAAATTTTTTAATCATACCTTTTCAAGCAGCCAGATTGTTTAATCCAGCTGTTAAATGAACTGATTAATCTCCACTAGGGTCCTTTTAAAAATAATTTCTTTTGGACTCTGAACAATCTTCCTGGCAGTTAACCCTTTACATCCCAACATCGGCATTAATATTCTCCATAATGTTCTCTGTACATTAACTAAGGTGTTGACAAGGAGAATTTGTCTAACAATCAAGAATTTCTTTAGTTGGTGATCATTTCTTTTATTCTCATGACCTTAATGTGTGATTCAGTGGTGATATTATAAGGAGAAATTAGATGCTAGTCACTCTTAGGGGTTAAAAATACCTTAAGAGCGAAAAAATACCTCTTCTCTCCACTTCCCTAATGCATGCTTCTACAACAAAAGGTCTCTTGGTGTTATGAAGTTTGACGAGTGTTGTTAAATCGACACCAAACACTGCAATGTAAAAATACAATGGCAAACATTGACATGTGACGCTGTTGTCTCTGATCACTAAGTCTGTACTTTTCCTGCAGTACTTCTCAGTGCATCAGTGTATGAAAATTCAATAATTCTTAACATCTGATTAGTTTTGGGAATGGGCTACTCAAAACTCAAAACTCAAAACTCGCATGTACACCTACAAATCTGACATTTTCACATCAGACCCAGAAAAACTTAAACAAAAGGACTTTGAATGACAAATTTAGTTACACTCTGACCAGTGTCACCAAAAAATTAATTTTCTCTCTCCTACCTCTTTTCACATATCTCTTATCTGGTTGGCAGTCTTCACGAACAACTTCTCCACATTGTTTGTGTGCATTGAAGCCACAATCTGTAATTATTCAGACACATGTTTAGAAAACAAGTAAGCCTCCCCAAGTCATTCTTTGGAGGTCACCATCTAAGAGTTCAAGAAGTTCTTGGAAAAGATGAACAAATTCACATTTACAAAGTGAACGTCTTAACTTGCAATTGTAGAGGTCAGCTGAAAACTATGCCTTTTAAGTGGAGAAGATGCACATTTTTGTGGTTATTTGATAGGAAGCCACTTCACAAAGAAAACAGTTTTCTTCAGTGGGAGATTGTTCAACTCATAACCACTATCCTCTATAACTTACTGACCTGAAAAGTCAATGAGCATTTTGCTTGCCATGAAGAATAATACCAAGAAAACTTTTTATCACCTTACCTTGACATCTGATACCTTGCATAATCAAACCCCACAAAAAATTGCGACAAGAGTCACACCAATGAGGTCCCTTAAATGTGTGAATCTGGAACAGGAGAATAATACATCAGTCCACAGGTCTGTTTCTTGAAGCTCCCATTGACTAATCAGACCTGTAAAGCTGTTCAGTTTAAATTTGGACTCTAAAATATACCTTTTGGCCCAATAATTTCCTGGGACTTTTGCAAAACTAGCCCCAGGTTATTTGACATAAAGGTGGGGTTATTAGTGCAACTCCAGATAAATTTCAATACACAATGGAAAATTAGTATTACCTTAAAGTTATGCTTCTTTACATAAGCAGATGGCTTTACACTCTCCCTTCTTCCAAAACTGAGCTTTTGATCCTGAAAGTTAACGAGGAATAAAAGTTACATACTCAGCCACTAAAGGTGCATGTTCCAAGTTGCCAGGAAACCCTATACAGCTGTCCAACCCTGTTTGACCCCCCCTCCCTCCTCTAAAAAAACCCTGTTTTTACCACTGTCCAGTGGAAATCAGTGAGAAGTGTCAAGTTGGCTATTACAAATCTCATATCCAACAGGCACCAATAGATTAATTATTTTCATAAATTTTGCAAAATCTACTTTGTTCTGCCATTTTGTCAGTGTAAAAAATGTCGCTTCCTGCAACATTTTTCAGCTTGCAACACTTGGCACATGCATTTCTATATGAGTCAACTCAGAATATGAACTAATAAATGGAGTTTAATCAATCAGAACACAAGAAATGCAATATTTGGAGTTAAAATTTCAATAACAAAGTAGAATCACAATTCAAATTCAAATACTGTGTGACATTTATGTTAATAGTACCCCATTTTTGCAAACTGATGTAAAATAGATCATAGAACAGGCCATCACAAAATCAGCCTTGAGAGGGAGAACTACAAGAACACCATAAAGAGTGATTCAAACTTGACTAAATAATCCCACGCCAAGAGGATGTATCTGCACATATAACCTAAAATGTGGCAGACAAGAGCTAACAACTTGTCTTGAATAACTTATTTTTAATTTTCTTGTAATCAACAATTTGCACTACTGGTTTGCACTCAGCCAATCAAAAAACTCTTTGAAGGACTTTGCATGTCTTTCACAAGACTGTTCATCAAAATGCAGAACCACAAAATGTTTATTATCTGATAAAGGTTTTCTTTTTATAGATGTAGCGTGGGAAAGAAGATTGCTTCAAACCATGCTACTGAGTAGTGACTGGTAGTTTCTGTTTCCATTGAGGAAAAAAAAAAGCAAAACGTTTGTCTTTTAGGACAAAATTAGAGAAATTAATCGATACGTTGCTGTTTACTTTCATTCTTCCTGAGCAGTACATACACTTGTGTGGTTTACATTTCTCATTAGCTTAAAATCTTTTCAACCACTTTGTTTATTGCTTCTTTTTTTTCAGATGATTGTTTAAGATTATGGTAATGACAACATTTTAGACAGAGGATTTACTCTGAACTACAACATACTTAAAAATGAACATACTTGAATGAATCTCATTGTTATTCTAGATACCTTAAAAAAAGAGCCTGCCAAAAAAAAATAAGCTTTCATCCCCAATATAAAAAAATTTTTATCAAATTAGAAAAACACTAACTTTGATTAAATTCTGGAAAAAATGCATTCTTTATTATTGATTTCACATAGTGAGGTGAAAGTCCAAGTCTACTGCTAGAAAAACAAACTTAAAGTTAAAAAAAATTTAAGTGTCCAAGAAGTGAGGGGAAATAATTTATAGAAAGGAAAAAACGAGAGTCGTAATCTAATGCAACCACACAGTTAAAATGAATTGGAATGAGACATCACAGTTCCCATGTTTTTTTTTTTTAATCAAACTCACAGCTGCTTGGGCTTTGCTGTGCTGCTTGCTATACTAGTGTCTAACAACTCAAAGTGAGTGTACATGAAAGTTAAAAAAAACTTATTAGAAAATAATTTGTTCTGAACAGGATTGTTATAGGCTGTTGGTGAGCACTGAAACCTTGAATTTTATCATGATAAACCAACAAAACACTTCATTTTTCTCCTATTTTTTTCCTTTTTTTAACCCATGGACATTCCCATGGCCTCCCTTTGAGAGTGTATCTTCATTAAATTTCACATATCTACACCTTGAAAGCAAGGCTTGAGGGTTAAATTAAGTTTTCTAATCAAAACATGAAGAAAGCTTCTTGACTTAATTTTTCTAAATATCATCACTCAGTCTTGTTTACTGAAAGAGCTTTGGAGAAAGAATAAAACAAGTCATAGATTCAAAGCATCTTGTACCTTTTTTTTAAACTAAACTTTGAAGGTTTGCCTACAACTAACATACATGGGAACTCAATTTGCCAAATATCACAGTTCTCTCATCTCAAGATCTACATCCAATGAATATATTTTATTAAGAATTACAGTTTGTTCCCTCCTCCCGAATTTATAGGATAATGATTTTTGTTAATTAAGAAACTTGAGTATTAGGAATTTTAAAATGTCAATCAAATTCTTTGGTTAAGTTACAAATCTTCTGTTTAGTTAGTCTTCATGTAAGGATAATGGAGAAACACTGTTTTCAGTTTTAATATTATCTCAAAGAAAACCTTGTGAAAGCAGAATAAATTATGTAACTACTAAGAGAAAAAATATTTAGGTCAGCTACCCACATGTTATTTAAAGATTTTTGGTGTTTGAAAAGAGATTACAGTGTCGATCATTTAATATTCAAGAAGTGTGGTCCTCTAATGATTACAAATTGATACAATAGAGACTGGCTGTATATTAATATTATTTCCAATGCAACAGCCATACTTCATAAATCACTATTTTAATACACTGTATACATAAATATAACTCAATCATAAATACATGTTCCAGTAGAACCATTTTCCCATTTTTTTTTCCTTAGCAAACTGAAAGTTGACTACTAATCAGTTTTTTGTAAACTACAAACTTCACAGTTCTACAACCCGCATAGAGCATCACAAAGGATTTAGCCAGGATTTACATATCTTAAGAATAGTAAATTATTTTAAGAATTCACACATAATTTTAGACAATTAATACAACTTGTCTTCATCAACAGTGTTTATAGTTAGTGACTTTTCAACATTAGGTTACTCACAAGAAAACAAAATCTCACTGTTAATTTTCTACAATCCCAATTAACACATGGACTGGACTTCAAAATGTGAAATTTGTTCACAAAAAATACAAACCAATGAGATACTGTCTAGCTTTATTTCAGCTTCAGTAGTCAGACTTGTTTGCATAGGTAATGACAGAAGTTAAATTTGGCCCAAACAAAGAAGGCTGAAATATTGTGCTATCTAAAACATAGAACTACAAGTAACAAAATCCAAAATCAACTCAAACTACAGACTGATACATTGACAACAGAAATGTTCACATTAATTGGGATTTTCACAAATCAGAACACTTTTACAAGCTGAGAAATATTATTCAGTTCCAAAATTAAGCTGAACAAAACCAAGATAATATATTCAAACCTGGTCTTTCCCTGAGGCATCTGAGGTTTCTTTAGCCAGTTCATTATTTTCTTTCATATCACCACCACTTCGTTTTCCCTCATCTTTCTTGGCCTCAGTTTTCCCAGGACTTATCATCATTGTATCAACATAGTCCTTGGCATATGTATCTATGTACATTGTGATCAGACCATCCGCCACAAGATCCTGAATGGTTTGAAAACGCTTCTCCCCTGTTGCAAAATAAAACTGGGTGTGAGTTTTGTAATTCAATGAAGCTGAACACCTGTGCTCCAAATGCTGTGCAGAAGCTGAATGAAACAAGAGAAACAGAAGTTTTTTATATAGAAAGCAGACTCCTGCTGTGGCAGCCTTCTTAACACAAAAAGAATATTCTGAATAAAACAAACCCCCAAGGAAGCAAACACAAAAGAATATCTACTTTTTTGGGCTTGAATTTTCATTGAAGGTTATTTTTGTCAAGCCCACTTAAAGAGAAATCTCAAACTGAAGCATGGTTTTAAAACAATAGCTTCAACTAAAAGAATCCTCCTCGAAAATGATTGAGGATAATTTCCGCAAATAAATGATTACATATACTGATACATACAAATATAAAATTTCAATTCATACGTACATAAACAGAGCAAACAGTAACGTTTCTGTCATTTTAAGTTTTGTCAACAGAAAGCCAAAAGAGGTTTTACATCATACATGTAATACTATTGTTTGATAAATTTCTCAATTCTTCCTCCATCAAACATTCAGAACTCAAATGCCACATGCCAAAACATTTCAATGCCTTCAGTCTTGAAACTAATAATGTAAGGGTGGGAATATTTACTTGTAATAGTATGGGTAACCAGATATCTTGTTTCATTAATTTTTTATTACTTTAAACACAACCAGAACCTTGGTGAACTCTCATTGGGCAACTGGTTGTGTTGTTAACAATTGTTGTTTTTTTTATGTACATGTACATAGCATAAATTTGTTAAAGAATTAGCAGAGGAAGTTGAAAATGCTGATTTTAAAATGCAAATGTTTGATTTTCCCAAACAACCCTTGGAAAGCAGTATTTGTCTGATATATGGCATGAGCAGTTAAATCTCTTTAAGAACTGCTTTAAGCAAAGACTTTCAAGACTGGGACTTAAATTACAACTAGACACAAGTCTTGTCATTACCCTCAAGTTAATCTAAACCATTTTTAAGATTCTTAAAATGTAAATTCATTGTCTAATTTTCAAATACAAGGTAGCCAAGGTGACCTATGAAAGTCTCGATTTTTTATCATGTTAGTAACAATAATTCAAACCTAACAAATTGAAAAAATTATCAAATTTGCCATCTGGAAAATAAGAGTCAAATTGATCTACAATTAAAGACATGGGCAATATCTTATGATGATCATATCATTCACATATCCAAGATAAAAATAAAACCACTTCACAAACTATTAGCAACAATTTATTCGCAAAATGGTAATTTAAAATAATGCTGATAGAGGTTTCACATCCACCACCAGCTGTTGCAGTATAATATATAGAGTAATTTTGAAGAAATAGATTTTTTGTTTGTTTTTTCTGACATGTAAACTCTTTACACTCACACATCAGTATGCATATTCTTGATACTGTTGCCCATACATTTCCTAAGGTGCTGACAGGGAGAATTTGTTACCCAATCAAGAGCTTCTTCAGTTGATAATCGTCTCCTTTATTGTTATGACTTTCATGTTTGAATCAGAAGTTATTTTGCAAGGAGAAATTAGATGCTAATCACTCTTAGGAGTCAAAGAGTTCACTCTTTATTTACTATTTCCTCATTTTTAGTTGAAACCTTTATCATTTCCAATGAAAAGGATGTGTTGGAAAAAAAATGGCTGTTGGATTTTAACCCTTTAACTCCCATAAGTGACCAAGACAGAATTTCTCCTTGCAAGATCAATATAATATCAACCAGAAAGTGATGAGAATAAAGAAAATATCAATTTGGGGATAATTAATTGATCCAATACTGAATTCTCTGAACTAACATCACAAGACTTGTATGGTTGACAATAAGAAGAATTACAAATTTGGTCCAGGAGTTAAAGTGTTAGCCTTATAATTGGGTCAGCCCTACATGTAAAGTACAAATTGTCACTATCACACTTTTTCAACAGAAATGTGCACAAGAGTAAAAAAGGAGGAGAAATAAGGAAAAAGGAAAACAGTATTCACTTACCTACATAGTGAAGTCCATCATAATACAAACGAAAATTCTTTGAAATTCCACCAAATCTGAAAGGGAAGGGAATCGACAAAAAAGATGTGTGCATCAGAGGCAAAATATATATTTTTTGAAGCAAAGTATACTCAAACACTTATCCAAAAGAAACTACCGCTTGACCTAGCAGAGAAACTCAAATAATTACTTCCCCCATATTCTACTATCTATAAATACCCTTTACACCCTGACATCAGTATGCATATTCTCTATACTGTTCTCTATACAGAGAGAAATTAATTTTTTTTTTCTGACAGCCACTTGGCTCCTAAATTCTTCAAAGTGGTAGCCAATTCAAAGAAAGTTGGTCGCCATTTTCAAAGACAAACAAAACCTCTTTTTTACGTTGTCATCGTTCTAGAAATTAAGTAGGGGAAAAGATCTTTAACATGCTACAAAAT